CACTCCAGCATGATATGCACCTTGAAGGAGGAAACTCCAGTCACCTCAGCTCAACTGGCTCCTCTCTGTGTGGAAGAACCTGTGTGACTAAACACCCCATAGCCCATCAGCTCAGAGACACAAAGTGGGAAAGTGTATCCAGATTATTGAGAGTGGTACAGGTAAGTAAGTAATGTTTATTTATATACCGCCTTTCACAGACAGAGTCACAAAGCGGTTTACAATTGTTATTTTTTGGGCATTTTGTCCTCTCACTTCATATAGGGGGCCATGTTATAACCTACACCGTCACAGACAAAGCTGGGCATCTTGACCAAAGTGTGTTTGGTTGCAAGAGGGAAGAGGTGTGAATTTCAAAGAGGTATGAGTCTTGCTTCAACTTTTGCTCATAGTTTATTTATATGAAACAGCATACCTTGGAAGATGAATTCCAAGGTATTTGCAGATGGTGATAAACTCCAAAGCTGAACCGTCTGTACGAGTGATGACAGGGATTCTAGCATTGGAATGTCTGTAACTGAAGAGGATGCATGTTGTGTTAAGGCATAGAGGGCTGTTCCATGGAAACTATAGCAAAACATTCATAAGTAAGGAAGATTGTTTTGTATTTATAAAGCACATTTCAGAGACCAAAGGCACACCAAGTTGTGTCTACAATGACATTACAACAAAACAAAGCAGGTGAACTACAAATATCCCTAAATAAGTCCCTAAACACATTTTCTTGCAGTGTTCTCAAAAGGGTCACCTGGTTTTTCCATGCTTTTGGAGAGACATAAATAAGAGAACTCTTCACAGAGCTTTGAGTCAGGATTTTAGGAGAAGGAAGTCAGTAGAGGATGAGCTGTGGCCAGTGTGGTCTCTCTCTGGACACTCTCTATAGCAGCAATGTTCAGCTTTGAAAAGGGACTCTTGACAAGAGAGACATTTTAGACATTTGTTAGAATTCCATAAAACGTTCCAAATAGAGAAGTTTACAAAAGTACTAGATATATAGAGTCATACAATTTCATTCATGCTATGAAGCACAAGCGAGGAACCTGCATTAGGAAGACATAAATGTTATAAGATGCAACTCCTGAAGTCTTGATCCACTTGAAAATAACCTTTAACAATAATAGGAAATCAAGGTTATGTCTTATCTCCTCCAGCTGACGTGAAGCTGTTCTATAAGTCTGATCCACAGTAGATAATAAAGCAATTTAAAAAAGACAGATTTTGGCTCATTTCACTCTTTAACCTTTTACAAAAGAGTTGAGTTCAATTTAGAATGATAAGAGCAAACCTAGGGGCTAATGTGATTTGCACGGTGAGTGGGAGCTGGAGGTGTCTCTGTGCAGAGGGAACAGCTTTGAATTAAGATATTTCAAACCTTTGAACTTCCACACGTAGAAAACAGGGGAAAAAACTTCGGGAACAACAACTCGATCCAGGTACATGCATTTTACATTTGTCCAAAATGTGATCACACAAGCATTAGCATTGCACCTGAGGAACACTCAGAACGTTGATTATCTCACTAAAGTTTTCCTTTCTGAAGCAGCCAATCTAATGTCAGAGTTATTACAATATTCAGCAGATGCGCAGTGCTGGCAGCTAAATGTAGGAGTATGGACCTGAGTGGCTCTTTGTGTTGTAGTGCTCTTAAGGCCTTTCCAGCTGCGAGCACTATTTATAAAAAGTGCATCAAAGCGTGGGAGAAGAGCATAATGTGGTGTCAATATCTCACATGGACACCGACGTGCGTTACTCAACTCTGACTATATAAAAGATTGATGGTACATTTGTAGCCACGGAAACACGTAGTAACTTTTACAATAATGGAAACAAGTTATTATATTATAAATTCCACTATTTATGTGCATAGAGTGGCAGACTAAGGGAGATATTTCATTTATTATATTTTATTTTTTTAGACTTTATTAAGGGCTCCATGCAAGCACAGGATATTAAAAACACACATAGTAATCACATATTTACAGCAAGTCACACATACAGAGAAGCCAGTGGCTCTAAAGCAAGTGAACCTGACTAATGTAAAGACAAACCAGAGACTGTACAATAGCAGTAGGTACCCTCACCACTCTACACATAAACTGATAGTAGCAGTGACGTAGGGCAGCAGGAAAGGATCGCACCCTGCACTCAGCAAACATCTGACACTGTGTCTGGGGTTCTTCAGCAGCATCCTCATCGAGTCATTATAGGGAACTGTTAACCTCTGCAGACTGACCTGCTTATAGCGCCGCCACTGTTGGGCTATGTATAAGGGAGAGCAAAAAGATTGGAACAAGGTGGTTTTAACATTCACAGAGCACACTTCATAACCAGCATGTTGGATTGGCCATACAGTTTACATCTCTGTGTATATCCCGGTCGTCTGTGAGGTCACTGCAATCAGGATGAAACTCACAACAGCCAGTGTGACTCAAGTAATCTATTACTATCCTGGATGCAATAACATACTATACTATGTTATGCACAAAGACACAACAACTCTGTGTATTCATCTCAACAAATCAGCACCAGCAGAGTTGTTGTGTCTTTGTGCATGACACTCTTTCATGAGCGACGAGTTTGCAGTTTGTCTGAGCAGGATTATTATTGCCATGACCATTATCTTCATCATTATCGGACACAAGGTTTTTCACGCATTATATTTGAAATGTGCGATGCAAGCTGCAAACAGTCCAGGTATACCTCAAACTATTGTGCTATGAAACAATCATCAATCTTTAGCAGCTGAGACCAGTGTTGAACATTTCCAGGATCAATATTCTCCCTCTGACATGCTGATCACACAGTCAATAAGTTATTATCACGGTGTACAGTACGTCTTGTTTATGCTGCTATTATGACCAATTCCTCCTCCATTCAGACCATTGTGTATTGTCTGATACAATTAAGACAGCACTAAACATGCTTACGGCTTGTCCTTATTCTTATTATAAAGAATAAGGACAAACCATTTCTGTATGTGAGGGTTAGGATGATCAAATACAGTATATATAATCTTAACCCTCACATAAAGGGGGCTAAAAATTAATATTAATAAGTAGCAGTTGTAGGAAGTACAGCTGTATACCAAGTTCTGAGGCCATACCACTCACTGAGAGAGGGCCAGGCTCACGAGGCAGATTTAGTGTTGAAAGGGCTGTTACTGTGTGATGTAATACTTAATGTATCCATAAATTAACCCTGAGCCCCATGAGAGCCTGTGCCATTGTGTCACAGAGGAGCAATGCTTGAAAGTCTGTTGCTGGAAATATATTAAATAACTTGGAATATGTCTATTTGCAATCTAATCTTTTTAAACGCCCAAACTGAATAGAATATAATAACATTGAAACGTAATAAAACACAAAAGGCAGTTTTCATATAACACATTTATTTTGCAGCAACATTTTTGATGTTCTGAGTTCTGAGATTTGTGATACAAACAAGTCATCCATCTTTAGAAAGAATAAAATACATTAAAAGCACATGCTACGACAACCATTCAAAATAGTATTAAGTATTTGTTCAGGCACACTTTACATTTATAGGTATAGATCCCATCACATTGTTCTGTCATATTTTTCTAACAGGGTGATTAGTCGGGAGCAAAGTATATTCAGATTATAAATGCTTATACAGTTTATTAAGGCACCGAATCATATCACAGTCCGCACGTCTCTATTTCACAGTTCACAGTATCATGTCCTCAAGAGACTCTAATCTGAAATGAAGGATTATCACAACCTTCGCCCGCAATAATCCCACCCTTTTCCAACGAAGCAAACCTTTTCTGTTACCAGTGAAATCTACTGCATTATGAGGTTTTCCTACACACATGCATGGGACAAACCAATCAAGGTAGGAGCATTCCATGACAGTAGTAATAAAAAGTAAGTCATTTTTATGTATGCAGCACCTTTCACAGAGTCACAAGGAGCTTTACAATTGTACAACAGTGATGGAAGCGGGGTCAGCATTCAGGGAGTGCATGCCAGACCTATTGCACATGTTTTTGTGGTGGGGAAAAGTTTTAATTATCTTTAAAATAGCCTTACAGATTATTTTAACGTCAGTGAAAAATAAAATAAAAAGTTTAACAGCCATAAGTAAGTCATCTTTATCTATACGCTTTTCAGAGTCCTAAAGCGCTTAATAATGACATTTTGCCACCTCAGCTCATTTGTGATGGCACCTTTTTAACACAGTCAGAGCAGCATAGCTATTAGAATTTAAAGTAACCATCTCAATCTATCTTTGGTTACCAAAGTGGTGAATCCTCTTGGACGTACCTCACTCTGAGCTGGCTGAAAGCTCCAATGTCCGTCTTAATTGCCTGATCCTTTCTGATAACATGATAATTGGAAGTCTACCCGTGTGTCCTTGAGTGACCAACCACTCCCAGTGTCCGAACATTGGCCTCTGCACAGAAACTCGATGAGTCAATGGTAACTCTAATTACAGCATGTTAAGAGCATAGACGGTAATTAACAAGACAATGGTCATTATTAACAGTGGGCGACAGTGGCTCAGTTGGTAGAGCTTTGGCCTTTGAGGCTGGAAGTTGAACTTTCGAGCTCACCACAAGACCTTCTCCACTGACGTCTGATGCTGTTTTGTCCTGGGGGCAAGATACTTAACCCTACTTTGCCTGAAGACCCGTAAGATGCTGTCGTCACTGACAGAGCAGCCGTCCTCCTGTGGACTCACCACCTGCAGGAGGATCAGTGAGGGGCTGGTGCTCTGTGGATTGAGTGCAGCTCTGACTGCCACCCCCGACCCCGGAATGGATTAAGGGGAAGAAAATGGATGGATGGTCAGTATTAAGTAAGATTAGGGTTTTTAATATTCTGCAAACACAGCTACATCAATTGAACCCAAGTAATATAATAAACATGACTGTCCTTGCACTGAGTAATAAATACTGTTTCCGAGTCAATGATTACTCTTTAATACCGCCTCAACACCTCTCAAATTCTGCAAGTATTTTACCAGCGGTTAAATCTTCATGTGTACAGATTTTGGGCATCCCCCGCCTCCACTGAGCACTGGTGCCTCTTGTAGCTGGTTTGCTGCTGGCCTTTCTGCTGCCCTCTGGTTAACTCATGTCTGTGGGCGGAAAACGCTTCACTCATCCACAACTGATCTGCTCTGGAACACTGAGACTTCCCTTTTCTCTGTTTCAGCTCAGTCTCTAGTGTAAACATATCATAAATTAAATTAACTGCTATATTATCTACTTTCCTTAAAAAAAAGATTATACTTAAATTAAATTATGAGATACAAGATTATCCCCCCTGGACTGCCACCTTAACGTGGTGGGGGAGTTTGAGTACTCGGATGATCCTGGGAGCTATGCTGTCTGGGGCTTCATGCCCCTGGTAGGGCCTCCCATGGCAGACAGGTCTCGGGTGACGAGTCAGACAAAGAGCAGTCCAGAAGACACCATGGACAGCACTCATACGAAACCAGTGACGTCGCCCGGCATGGCGCAGCCGGGGCCCCACCCTTGAGCCAGGCCTGGGGTCGGGGCTCGTAGGCGAGTGCCTGGTGGCCGGGCCTTAGCCCACGGGGCCCGGCCGGGCTCAGCCCGAATGGACGACGTGGGCAGTCCCTCCTGTGGGCCCATCACCTGCAGAGGGGTCCGTGGTGGCATGGTGCAGAGAGGACTGGGCAGCAGTCGAAGGCGGAGACCTCGACGACCCAGTCCGCACACACAACAGCTGGCTCTCGGGACGTGGAACGTCACCTCACTGGGGGGGAAGGAGCCCGAGCTTGTGGGGGAGGTTGAGCGATACCGACTAGAGATAGTCGGCCTCACCTCCACACACAGCTTGGGCTCTGGAACCCAACTCCTTGAGAGGGGTTGGACGCTCCACTTTTCTGGTGTTTCCCGCGGGGAGAGGCGGCGAGCTGGGGTGGCCATTCTCATTGCCCCCCCATCTCAGCCGCCACGTGTTGGAGTTCTCCCCGGTGAATGAGAGGGTCGCGTCCCTCCGCCTCCGGGTGGGGGACAAGTCTCTCACTGTTGTGACGGCCTACGGGCCTAACAGCAGTGCAGAGTACCCGGCCTTCTTGGAGTCCTTGGGAGGGGTACTGGACGGTGCACCGCCCGGGGACTCCGTTATTCTCCTGGGGGACTTCAACGCCCATGTGGGAAACGCCAGTGACACTTGGAGAGGGGTGATCGGGAAGAGCGGCCCCCCTGATCTGAACCCGAGCGGTGTTCAGTTGTTGGACTTCTGTGCCAGTCACAGTTTGTCCATCACGAACACCATGTTCGAGCACAAGGGTGTCCACCAGTGCACGTGGCACCAGGACACCCTAGGCCGGAGGTCGATGATCGACTTTGTTGTCGTATCATCTGACCTTCGACCGCGTGTCTCGGACACTCGGGTAAAGAGAGGGGCGGAGCTGTCAACCGATCATCACCTGGTTGTGAGTTGGATCCGCTGGCAGGGGAAGAAGCCGGTCAGACCTGGCAGACCCAAGCGTATAGTGAGGGTCTGCTGGGAACGTCTCGCTGAGCCCCCTGTCAGACGGACTTTCAACTCACACCTCCGGGAGAGTTTCTCCCAGGTCCCGGTGGAGGAGGGGGACATGGAGTCCGAGTGGACCATGTTCTCTGCCTCAATCGCCGATGCGGCGGCCCGTAGCTGTGGTCGCAAGGTCTCTGGTGCTGGTCCCGGCGGCAACCCCCGAACCCGGTGGTGGACACCGGCAGTAAGGGATGCTGTCAGGCTGAAGAAGGAGTCCTATCGAGCCATGATGGTTCGGGGGACTCCTGAGGCAGCTGTCCAGTACCGGCAGGCCAAGCGTGCCGCGGCCCGGGCTGTTGCAGAGGCAAAAACCCGGGACTGGGAGGAGTTCGGAGAGTCCATGGAGCATGACTATCGGTCGGCCTCAAAGAAATTCTGGCAAACCGTCCGGCGCCTCAGGAGGGGGAAGCAGTTCTTTGCCAACACCATGTACGGTGCGGGTGGAGGGCTGCTGACCTCGACGGGGGATATTGTCGGGCGGTGGAAGGAATACTTTGAGGTTCTCCTCAATCCCCCCGTCACGTCCTCTGTCTCAGAGGCAGAGGCTGAGGATGTTGGGGCGGATACATCCATCTCCCTGGCTGAGGTCACCAAGGTGGTTGGTAGCCTCCATGGTGGCAAGGCTCCGGGTGTGGATGAGATCCGCCCTGATTATCTAAAGTCTCTGGATGTTGTAGGACTGTCTTGGCTGACACGTCTCTGCAACATCGCGTGGCGATCGGGGGCGGTGCCAATGGAGTGGCAGACCGGGGTGGTGGTCCCTCTCTATAAGAAGGGGGACCGGAGGGTGTGTTCCAATTATCGTGGGATCACACTCCTCAGCCTCCCCGGTAAGGTCTACTCCAAGGTACTGGAGGGGTCGGAGGGGGTCCGGTTCGGGGACCACAGAATTTCATCTCTGCTGTTTGCGGACGATGTTGTCCTGTTGGCTCCAACGAACCAGGACCTGCAGCATTCACTGGGACGGTTTGCAGCCGAGTGTGAAGCGGCTGGGATGAGAATCAGCACCTCCAAATCTGAGGCCATGGTGCTCGACCGGAAAAAGGTGCCCTGCCCTCTTCAGGTGGGTGGAGAGGTCCTTCCTCAAGTGGAGGAGTTCAAGTATCTCGGGGTCTTGTTCACGAGTGAGGGAAGAATGGAGCGTGAGATTGACAGGCGGATCGGTGCAGCGTGCGCAGTGATGCGGTCTCTGTATCGGACCGTTGTGGTAAAGAGGGAGCTGAGCCGAAAGGCAAAGCTCTCGATTTACCGGTCAATCTTCGTTCCCTCCCTCACCTATGGTCATGAGCTTTGGGTAATGACCGAAAGAACGAGATCGCGGATACAAGCGGTCGAAATGAGCTTCCTCCGCAGAGTGGCTGGGCGCTCCCTTAGAGATAGGGTGAGGAGCTCACTCACACGGGAGGAGCTCGGAGTAGAGCCGCTGCTTCTCCACGTCGAGAGGAACCAGTTGAGGTGGCTCGGGCATCTGTTCCGGATGCCTCCTGGACGCCTCCCTGGGGAGGTGTTCCGGGCACGTCCCACCGGGAGGAGGCCCCGCGGAAGACCTAGGACACGCTGGAGGGACTATGGCTCTCAGCTGGCCTGGGAACGCCTTGGGGTCCCCCCGGACGAGCTGGAGGAAGTGTGTGTGGATAGGGAAGTCTGGGCGTCTCTGCTTAGACTGCTGCCCCCGCGACCCGGCAACGGATAAAGCGGAAGAAAATGGATGGATGGATGGAAGATTATTCTTTTCCATGTCCGCCTGTGATTCGCATAACTTAAAACAGTCACACAAAAATATACACAAAATGAGACAAAACTGCAGCACAAGTTTGACCTTTTTCACATAAGATACTAAAGTTTCCTATTATTCTAACAAGGTTCTTTGTGTTTCAGTTGCTCTTAACCCACCTCACTCTTTCATTTCTGGTCTTGAAGAGAGACAGGTGCCTCTGCAGTCCTGCAACAGTGCAGTGCAGCAGTTCCCAGAGTCAAGCTGCATTGTAACGAAATCCTGCAGGATTCTAAAGTCAGGGAGCCCCCTCCCACCTGACTGTTCTCACTAAAACTACATGTGCACAACTGCAGCAGACTAAAGGTACAAGCACCGCACTACAGGGCGTCTCCAGGGAAACCTTTAGTTTATACCAACTTCCACAAAGAGTAAGAAATAAGCAAGCCCCTTCTATACCTGAGGCTCTATACGATGCATCAAACTATACCTCAATGATCCGCAAAGTAGAGAAACTGAACAGGGAGCACTTATTCCAAGTGTTCATTTGCAGTTTCACTAGTCTTCTGTTTAAAAGAAGTAAAACTGTCACAAACTAAATAGAGTTGTAAAGTAAACAATGTAGAAATGTGAAATGTATGAAGAACATTGAAGTGGCATGGGTCCAAGTATCGGTTGGGGTATAATTAACTCCATGGTCTGTCTCTGCAGCCTGCGGCACACTGCTCTGAAATGCTGATTCAGTACAGATAGACGGAAAAGCACCGAGAGGGGCGTGGGCTGAGAGGGGAGATGCAGTAACAGAAGTAAGGGTCCATCCAGGAAAAAAATGATACCAGATAGACTTCCAGCAAACACTTATACAGGAACAAAAACACACATATTTACAATGTCAGTATTGTAATCACAACATTGGAAAAATCAACAATTCAAAGAGTCAAATAATTTATTAAATGATCTTATAATTAACAGTCAGACCTTGAAGGCCCTTCATACTTTATGATGAGGAGGTCTTTGCAAAGGCGATCTTATCAAATGTGATAATCAGAAGAACAGTGACATCTAGTGGTAGGTCTATGCATGTGCATGTAGAAATATGTATTTCTTTTCGCCCAGTCAAGATGACGCTAATCTAGTTTCTACAGATAGTAAACAACATTACATTTGAGATTTTGTTTACAAAGATTTAAAAATTCGCGCAAGTATACTATCGGCTGTTTAAAACGATATTTAACCAATCAATAATCTAACATGAATATGAATAGTCAAGCCAACCTAAAACCTAAACCCTAAAAACCAGAGGTAAGGCCACTTATTTAAAAAGAGACATAAATCTGATCACAAAAGACAAGGATAGAAGATGTGTCTGTAACCAACACTGTGTTTGTGACCTCATGTGTACTTCAAGAGCCTGTGTCCAGTGCAGTACTTCCCAGAAGTCAACCATGTCCATTTGCCAGTGTCTTTGCGCTTAACGTCAGTTCACCTTCAGAGTTGTCTTTCTGTAGAAATCCCCAGGTCTTTAACAGATCAATACGCTGTGCAGGTAGAGTGCCAAAGTAGTCTTTTTGTTTCTGTGAGTAGGTCTGGACTGGGCTGATGATGTCCCTATAAGTCCAGTCCTAAACAACAATTGCAGAACACAGTTAATACATTGGAAATGTGTATAATTAGTCACAATTACAAAATATGACCTGCTTCATCAGCTAATCATGATAAAACTATGCAAAAATTATATCTACGTCATACATTTCTTACAAACATATATTTTTGTTTGATCACAGTGTGTTGCATGAGTCTGCAACACCAATCCATGAGTGAAAATGATTTCTCATGCTTCCTTAACCGCATTTCAGCCCGATTAATCCTTGTAGTGTCATCTGGGCATTGACACCAGGGAGACATCCTCCTCCCCTAACCCATTCAATTGCTATAATCAAAGCTAAATTAAATCCCCTTTTTCATTCCAATAGCATAGTTCTTTGTTTGAACTGAACGTGATTAGATAATTATTATTAAAGCAGTAGGTGCAAATGCCAGGCCATCACCTGCCAGTGAAAGTTGAAAGCCTCCAGTAAACGTATCCGGTCTTCTCTAGAGGGAACACAGTCAGGAGGAAGAGGCTGCTTAAGCTCGGGACCCAGTATCACATCTTCAAACACTATCAAAGCTCTAATGGCAAACCAGCCACCGAACCGTGGATGCACACACACTCCATACATCTTCTGCAAAGAGTAAATACAACATTGCCAAGGTTGGGAACAAACGTAAGTCTGTGCAGATAGAGGTACCTTGTCTCCCCAGGGCTGCTGTGGGACATCAGACTGTTGGTAGTAGAAAGCTGCTCCAGAAACATGTGCAGCAGTTTGAGCCAAAAACTTTGGTTTGCGACTTGGGAACAGCTCATAGTCATATGAAACAGCAATTGCATGGTTTGAAAAACACTGGACATGGTATAGGAAGAAAATGAAAGGAAACACCCATACAATTAAACAATGCTGACACAACGATCATATCATATAAACTCATGCTATCTTCACCTGCGAGACAGCAGAGGACACACAGTGCTTCACACACTGGTCTATGGGGTCAGACAGTCTGTGAAAGTGCTGCTGCTCCAGAAATGGCAAGAACGATAATTCAAACATGGAAGGGGTACTAAGGACCACCACAGCAAGTGTGTCCTCTGGATAGGACAGCTGGAGTGAGGCAGGCAGCACATGATTATACCAACCAACCTGCCGCAACAGAAAATTATTAGAATCATATTTATACCCATTTACCAAAATGAATTGGTAAATGGGCGTACAACATACAATACTCTGTTCCCTTAAATATCTTACCTTTAAAGGTTTAATTTCAAATCCCAGTTTACAGAGAGACTCTTCAAGAAGTTTAGTTACATTATCCACATTGACAGTGGGAAGCGCCATTGCTAAAAAGTCTACTTTAAAACTTCGAATGATGGGATGCGAGTTGTTTCATGACGAAGACCCTCCGTTAAATACGGGTATGGAGATATATTCATATGGCAAGGCACACAGATGTAAAGAACCTAGAAAGGCACGATAAATGTTCTATAATAATTTGTAAAATTATTGTAAAGCTCAATTAAACTCAAAACCAGTTTTTCTGTGAACTACACTACCCAGAGAGCATGTCGCGCTTACGTCTTACGTAAGCACGTTGTTGTTTATGTGCCCTGGATTTAAAAGTGGATGTTGGATTTCTGGTGAGTAAAGCTAAAATATAATCGTTTAAAGTCGTGCTCAGTTAAAATACTTTGATTTTAAAACCCATTAAACAATGAATCATAAAAGGGTGAAGAAGATCGTTTCCGAATGTTTTGCATGTGTTTATCTTCTCCCCTGTGCTAACACGTTGCTAACTCTACATTTACTCAGTTAGCCCTGCGTAATCTAACATTTATTAGACCCAGTCAGTACAGCACTAAATAACAGCTACATACTAATATTGACGTCCGTCCTAAATATTAAGAAAATACTGTTGCATTTTTCTGCACAGTGCACAAGAACTAGCGATATTTACGGTATTAGCTTTTGGTCCAAAAGTCAAAATTAAACACTATTCAAAACGTATTATCCATGATTTATCTTCCATCGTCAAAACAATTGCAATATTATTATTGTAACATTTTTCGTTAAATTCCAATTTCCATATTATTTCAAACAAATCGTATGTTTTAAAAATGCTGAAAAAATACGTCCCCATTGGTAAAAAAAAATATACAAGTTTCAAAACATGTGTGGAAGCCATAGACTGTAAAGTGGAAGCACTTTTTTTGTATGCAAGCTCTCTTCATTTAGAAAATGGCTCACATTGTAGTAATATAATCCCCACCCACCAAGGTGTCATAGATCTTAGCCAGGTTGTTACCAGTCAGCCAGTCTAAAGTTACTGTATCAACCAGCTGATTTTTAGTCTACTACACTGACGATTCTTCGAGGATCAACTGTTGTATGGATTTGCGACTTCCATCAGACTTTATGTTCTGTTTGCTTTTTTATGTATTTGTCTTTTTACAGAGAGATGAACTGGGACAGTGAGCTCAGCTCTATCCTGTCTGTAGCAGACAGCAGCGTTGCAAAGATGAGGGTACGTTTCCTCATCAATTGTCCTAAAAGAAAGCTGTTGCTTATTAAATGGTCTCTAGATGGCAGCAATGATATCAATTGTGTGGATTATCTAATCTTTTTTGTTTTGGAATATTCAACAGGAGCGACTGACGACGACTAAATATTCAAATAGAGAAGGTGTTTGTTGTCAACCTTTAGTATTCTTTGTTGGCCATGGCTTTATGTAACATACTGTCCTTTTTAGATTTGTTACCAGTGAAAGAAAAACAGGACAAGTCCGAGTTTGATGTAACTGCTCGGGTCCCCATTCATAGACAGCTCTCTAGTCCAGTCAGTCCAAATGTTCAATGGACTGACTTGGCTGCCATCCAATCACAACTTCAAATGCAAGGCCAAGTGTGTCTTATACACATACAATTGTATCCTCAAATATTTGCAATATGTTCTAATAAGTTATCATGTTTCCATATTTCCTAGGCAATAGAATCCCTCACCAAAAGGCTTCACAATGTGGAGAGAGAGAAGCAGTCACAGCAGTGTCTTATTCAATCGTTACAAGGTACTGTCATACAATAATTCAGTGACATTTATTCATTCACCCAAACTCTGTCAATGATATTGTATCAGTTTGTGTTTCAACAATAATTTATGGGGACATTTTTTTTCTCATGTTTTGTATTATGAATGTTTGTGAGTACATTGCTCTTCTGTAGATGTCCAAACCCTTACAAAAATGCATTGGCAATCAAGAAATCACAAGCACATCATTAGCAACGTCATTTTCCCTCATACAGTATATTATTTAGAAGTTTTGCTTTAGTTTTGAAAATGCAACACTTTTTTGTTTACTTCTAGAAATAACATTGTAACGGTAAGTAATTAAAATGAGTGATTAAGTGATTCAATGAATTTAAAGTGATTAAATTAATGGCACCCTAAATGAAGTTGCCCAAAGTTCAGCTGAATTTGATTTTGGGTCCGTCTGACTCCTACTACTGCATATGGAAATTGTACTCCTTGCTTGTTTATCAATTACAAGTTTATAATTATCCAACAATGCAGCCAAAAAGAACAAAAACAAACATAAAATTGTTCTTAACCTTCCCAGCGGAGGTACAGAGGCTGCATGAGGACCTGAGGGAGAGGGGGGAGTGGCAGGAGCAGGGTCCGGGAGCTGAGCGCAGGATGGAGCAGTGGAGGAGGGAAGTCGGCCGCGAGCTCAGCAGTCTGCGCGGACACGTCACCAGAACCACGTCATTGGAAGAGAGGTGCCGATAGTTACCATGACAACTAAAACACATAACAATTTCCTTCTAGCGAGATACAGACGCATAAAATGTTATTACCGTGCAAACAAATCAACTTCAAAACGCATTATATATGTATTATCGATTATTTTTTGAATATTTTTTATCTCTTTTTAATATTTGTAAAACATTTAAGGGTGACAGACCAGAGAAAGCCATTTGGATTCATTATGGTACATTTACAGAAATGTTTATGAATGTCCCTGTTAAATAAACTAATAAATGCTTAAAGCTGGGATAACGATGTAATTAAATCCATCTAACTGTTCCAAAATGATTTGTAGGGGACTAGTTAAACTTTGGACAGGCTTTTACTTTAAATTGATACAGATACAGAGAACATTGACTTAAGCACAGTACTTTTATTGTTTCTTTTGTTACTTTCTACCATTGCTTGGAAATACAAATTAAGTTAGAAAGAACATGAATCACAGGGTTCACAAGGAACAGAGAAAGCCTTTCGTTACTTAGTGGTTTTGTTACTTATTTGTTAGTTGTTTTTTTTGCCTAGTTTCAGCTCGAAGCTCCGCAGAGAGGAGCTGGATTTTCTGCGGAAAGAAGTGGAGCAGCTGAAGACCAGGCTCAGTGAGTAAGAAACATCCCCCCCATAACCCTAACCCGAAAACTAGAACTAAAAACGTACCAAAAATGAGGGAATTAAGGCATTCATTGAAATGTCTTGGCTTTTGTGCATAAATATTGTAATGTATTGTGTGCAGTGCATTTATGTGTTCAAAAGTTAAAGAGGCAGCTATTATGAAAGTGCTTCTTTCACTTTACTGTCTAAGTACTGCAGGACACTGATCTTTTGAATGTTTTTTGTAATCTATTTTATAAATGGTAAAATGTATGTAAAATGTTTTGACAGGACGACAGGAGGAGAGTGTGTTCCTCCAGCAGACAGAAGCCAGAGAGAGCAGGCGACAGTATGAGCACAGCTGTAAGGTATCTGCCTGTCACTCAAATGGAATATTCCTCTATTCAAATCAGTGGTTTTTGTGTCCTAACGGCTTTCATCTGCTGATTTCAGACGTTGGAGGAGTTGACAGACAGTTATAGGATTCACAGCACAGATTTGGCAAATACAGCGTCTCGGTATTCTCACACGCAACAAGAAGTCCATCAGATCAGGTACATGGGGAAGGGGTCATTCTTCATAGATCCAAGATTAGGATTAAAATTAAGAGATCCTTTATTCGTCCCACAGTGGGGAAATTCCAAGTTTCCTTATTAACTGCTTTTGAAAGGGCTTCCTAACTTTCAAAAGCAATTAATGGAACAATCCCTTTAAAATCCTTGTATACACAAAAGCATTATTTATGCTTCTTTATGATGCTAAATATGGGGATTTTATTATTTTAAGTATAGAGTTGTGCTATAACCTGTATATACACTATTATATGATGAACCTGTATATACACTATTATATGATGAACCTGTATATACACTAATATATGACAGAACCTGTATATACACTAATATATGACAGAACCTGTATATACACTAATATATGATGAACTTGTATATACACTAATATATGATAGAACCTGTATATACACTAATATGTGATAGGACCTGTATATACACTAATATATGATGAACCTGTATATACACTAATATATGACAGAACCTGTATATACACTAATATATGACAGAACCTGTATATACACTAATGTATGATGAACCTGTATATACACTAATATATGATGAACCTGTATATACACTAATATATGATGAACCTGTATATACACTAATATATGATAGAACCTGTATATACACTAATATATGGTGAACCTGTATATACACTGATATATGACAGAACCTGTATATACACTAATATATGACAGAACCTGTATATACACTAATATATGACAGAACCTGTATATACACTAATATATGATGAACCTGTATATACACTAATATATGATAGAACCTGTATATACACTAATATATGATGAACCTGTATATACACTAATATATGACATAACCTGTATATACACTAATATATGATTAACCTGTATGTACACTAATATATGACAGAACCTGTATATACACTAATATATGACAGAACCTGTATATACACTATTATATGATGAACCTGTATATACACTAATATATGACAGAACCTGTATATACACTAATATGACAGAACCTGTATATACACTAATATATCATGAACCTGTATATACACTGATATATGACAGAACCTGTATATACACTAATATATGATGAACCTGTATATACACTAATATATGACAGAACCTGTATATACACTAATATATGACAGAACCTGTATATACACTAATATATGACAGAACCTGTATATACACTAATATATGACAGAACCTGTATATACACTAATATATGACAGAACCTGTATATACACTAATATATGACAGAACCTGTATATACACTAATATATGACAGAACCTGTATATACACTAATATATGACAGAACCTGTATATACACTAATATATGACAGAACCTGTATATAGGCTTGTTGACACTAAAGGGCACAAAAGTGTGACAAAAGGCTAAAAATTAGATTTTAATAATCAGAAGATATTTTATGTTTTTCATGTTTCCAAACACCTCCTCTGTCCATTAGAAGTTGCTAGAACATAACTGTTTTATACATTAGACAAGTTTCCTATAGCGGCCCTGTTTATTTTATCTAACGGACGTGATGATTTGACGGAATGAGCTTTGTGGAAGTTTGATAGGTATTTTCAGATGTCCACATTTGATTCAGAGATTCTACTTTTTTACACAAAGTAGATGCAAACTGATACTTTCATATTGTCAACCAATTAAATGTGAAAACAGACCAGATGTTTTTTCTTCTCAAGTTTAATTTTTAGAGAAAAGAGGACCGTCCTCATCACGTCCGTTATACATTTTTCAGGGGTCATTTAATTGATTCATTAATTTTTATTTTTTCACGATTCCTTTTTATATCAAGTGATTTCCTTCTGTTGTGTTAACCATGTAAATCTTGTGGGATTTCATCTTCTGCTTTTTTAGACTGAGGACATTTTGTTTTCTATGTAACTGGCGTCACAGTAGAATGGTCCAATCAGAGGCTGATTTGGTCGTTTAAAATGTTGCTAAAAATGTTTTATGTCAATCTTTCCTTTAGTTTTTTCCACACTATCTCTTCAATGTGTCTGTGTTTGAAATCTTTCTTCCAATCTATGAAAGTAATTTTAGTTTTTAAGTAATAACCTTTTAAAGTCCAGATACTTCAATTGTCACTTTACTGTGAACACACTCATATACACTAATATATGACAGAACCTGTATATACACTAATATATGACAGAACCTGTATATACACTAATATATGATAGAACCTGTATTCACTTATCCTGTGTTGTGTTCTCCTCATTCCTACTGTTCTGTAGCTTGTGATGCAACACTGAAATGTCCCCACTGTAGGACAAATAAAGGAAGAATCTTAATCTTAACTGGTTCCTTGCTCTCAAAACTCACTATCACTAGTTTTCACATGTGCTGTATATACTTCTGGCCTCTGTCACATCATCTTTTTCAGACGTAAAATTTTAAAGAACAAAATGTAAATGTTGTTTCTGTTGGAAATAGAAAACAATAAAGTGAGGTACTCCAGCTTTAAAATGTATTATATATCATGTGTTAATCTTATTGTAGTTTTTGGTTTTATTTACATTGTATTGTGTTTTTGTATTCAAACAGAGCCACAGTTTCTGATCTGAAAGATGAGGTCAGAAGTCTTGTCCTGCGCGACCATGAACCCACGTCTCTGTTGTCGGTGCATTCAACCGGTGTGTAATAAACTCATATTACACACATTCGTAAAAAAGGAAATCTTGTTATGATGCAAAGACTGTTGACAATAACGATTGTGTTCATTTCTTCAGGGAGCCCGTTACTTCAGATCCCTCAAATCCAAAACACGACAAAAGCTCGAGTGGATCGGCCCCCGGCAGACTCTGACTCGGAGGACTTCAGCCCAACACCAAGCTTAACTGAAATTAGCTCAGACGACTTGTCATGGCTGGAAGACCTTGATCCAGGTTAGAAAACTGTTTGCAGAAAAAGTCATTCATTCATTAAAACATACATAGACATGCAAAGGTTAATTACACTTGAAATGACAACAAGAGAAACGAGCTTCGAGCTAAAACGGCACAAACCAAGCCAACACTTTAACACTGTGTACATATTGTGTAGCATCACCATATTTATTAGCATAGGTGCAGTTTTACAAGCACAGTCCATAACACAGTGGGCTGAGTCATTTTTAGTCATTTTCACATGCCTTCTGTCTGCGTTGAGTGTGGTGTGAACACAGATTTTTTTATTTGGCTCATTGTGAATGTTGCGGCGGTATACCAGATGGGCCCAATGCCATGACTGTTTGGCAGGACCAGACATGTGCGCTCCCCTCCCTGCCCTCCAAACATCTGCCCCAACCTCCAATTGATCATTCTGACTGACTCACAACCACTACTCTTTGTTAAAACTATTTACTTCAGTTGTACATTTACTCATGTACATACTATATTCAGTAACAAATAAATGTACAAGTAAAATGTACAGATTAATACATTAAAGAGGATTTCAGTGACTTCAGTATGTTATACATGTTCATGATATTTATGCTTACAATTTTCAAGCAGATAATCCATTCATAGAGTCCAATGAGGCTCTCATTTGGGTTGCCTGTTTGTGATGCAAAATTTTGATGGTTTTGGCTTATCTTAAAAATAAAGAGTATGTACTGTTTCTAGCAGGTTTAAACTCCAGCAGGTGGATTGCATCAGTAATCAATGCTTAGTGCTTTGTGTCACAGTTACAATTATCTTGACAACAAAAGTTGGATTGTTATTTTGATGACTTAGACCATTAAAGACTACAGGTGGAAATTAGCATCTTTGCTATAACCTGGTACAATACATCTCTCCATCCATCCATTTTCTTCCCCTTAATTCATTTCTGGGCGGGGGGGGGGGGGGGGGGGGGGGGGGGCGTTAAAGCTGCACCCAGTACACAGAGCACCAGCCCCTCACTGATCCTCCTGCAGGTGGTGAGTCCACAGGTGCCTTGATCTTTCAGCGGGAGCTTCAGGCAAAGTGGGGTTAAGTGTCTTGCCCAAGGACTCAACGGTAGCAGTCATCGGTGGGAGTCGTGAAGTAGGTCTCATGGTGGGCTCGAACCTACGATCTTTTGGCTCAAAGGCCAATGCTCTACCAAGCTGCTGTCGCCCCTGGAGAGAGACAATACATCTCTCCTTTGTGTTAATGTTTAAAAAAAACATACCATAATTCTGAAACAAAGAATAATAATTTAGTTCCTTCAAAGTGGGGTTGAATGTGCGTGCTAGCTCTGAAAGATACCCAGCCCTAATATCCCCTATATGGCGATGACTACTACTTCTACTTGTAGGTAGATAGATGTATAGATCATTTATTTGTCACATACATTATTAACAACACAGTCAATAACATGTAGTAAAATGACTAGTAACCAATACACCCGTCTTTAGTTTGGTTATTAATGCTACTACTACTGCTACTACTTAGTAATACTGTTAGATCAATACTATCAATGCTTAAGTTTGTTCATATTCTTGTTTTGCTTCATCTAAACTTGACCAAAAATGCTTAAGTCACTGATCTCTCGCATGTCCTCCAGCTCTGCAGCAGAAACCCCGGGTTAGACTGAGCATAAAGTCCAGGCGCAGCGACCTGGACGTCCTGGGCTCTGATTTAGATGATGATGATGATGCTGATGGTGGTGGTGACAAGAATGAAGAAGATGGAGGAGACTTTGATGTTCCAGATTATGGATCCGACCTGAGTCTCGATGATCTTTGACCGACAAATGCCAGTGAAGCCGACATCGAGCATATATGAGAAGTTATTTGCAAACTATCCTTTTGCTGGTTGATAGAGAGATATACAGATGTGTTTCCTGTTGGAAACTCTCTAAACTCTGCAACAGGAAGAGAAAAGTGTTACATACATATGTAGACTAATAAGTTGATTGTAAAGTCAGCGACACACCATACTTTACAGTATTTGAATACAGACTTGTAGATGAGTAGTTTGGATAGTTGTTGTCCTTCTTGTGAAAAATAGAATATTGTATCAAACCGAAAGCAAGGATTTTGAACTGAGGTATTTTAAGACCAAGTTGATGCACAGTTTCTTTCAAAAGTCTTTTCTATTCAAGATAAGAAAACACATGCACATACCCAAGTTAAATATGTGACATTGTGTTTTCTCTTGCATCATTTCCTCCGCATGAAACACACTTGACTTGCGCAATAAATCCATTATATAAAAATACATTAATTGGTTAAGTGAAACAATGAAACATCTTACTAATATAACCATTTTAGAATATGTGATAACGCTGGACGATTTCAAACCACCTCTGAATAACAATAGTGAAGTACTTAGTAAGTCATTTAACACTATAATGCTTTTCGTAAAATATATTTATAAATATATTGTGTACTTTTTAAATGAGTCAAGGATTAGAGGGGATGAATAGATACTTGAATAACATATGTTTAATGCCTTATCTGCTGCCACTCCCACATTGTACGTTGTAGATAAGGGCTTCTCAGAATGAATGTCAACTGTTGTTCTTGCTGGAAAAGATAATTTAAGCTGGTGTTTGATGCACTTTCTAAAGATTGTTAACCGTACAGTGTACTTAACTTTCTCTTGAATGTAAAGAAAAAAATTTAATTAGGGAAAGTATATGTTGAAGGCGAGTGGTGTGACTTCTGACTCTGCTACCCACGTGTTCTTTCCATGGATATGTTATTTTTTGCTTGGTATGTACCTCGCTGTGGCATAAAAGATGTACATTATAAAGTTAAAAGGGCTCCATTAAATCTGAGAAATGTTACAATATTTGTAATTGCAGTATTGATATTGCAGGTATGTACAATACTTATGTATAATATGTTTCTTTCATGCATGAGATTTTCCATTTGTTGCTAGAGCCAACAGGCTATTAGTACAGTGGTTAGAAAGGACAACACCTGGTCTTAAAATCATCATTATCACTGATGGTGGTGTCATCAGCGTATTTAATTATCCGGTAGAGTCAGAGCAAGACACATGATCCTGAGTGAACAAAGTAAAAAGCAAAGGACTCAAAATACAGCTCACGTTCTTTACAAACTCAATTTGATCTGTTTTTTACTATGTGTAAATAAGGAATGAAATGCTTTAGTCTCAGATCCTGTCTCGAGTCTACATTATGTGTTATGCCACTGTATTTCAAACTAAATGTATTCAAGATTGTGGGATATGTGGGTCAGATTACATAACGAGGAATGCCATATTGTTGTTTTACCATTTCGAACGTTATGAATGCCCTAAATGACGTGGTCCACCTCCACATGGGCCTGTGTGTGCCTGCCCTCATATTAACATGACATGAATCACACTGAGCAAGCCTTGAATCAAGCTGTCAAATATTTCAGATTATTGAGACCACAACTGACTGCACTATTGGACCAGACTGCTGTAACGAGTGGCTTTGTCTGTGTGTAAAAAGAAAATTGGTGGGCGTGGTGATACTATTGACATGTATTCATAAATTGTATTAACTCTTCATTGTGTGACCCATAGACTGGTGTTTGCACTTCTGCCAAATGAAACAAATAAAAAATTAAAAACTACATGCACAAATCTGTATTGAGTTTACCCAAAGAGTTTTATTACAATTGTAAAGATTTTGAACCAAAGTACAACACAAAACAAAAAAGAACAACTTCTTCAGCACACCATCAAAGTGAGTTAACAGATCAAATGGATACAGCCTTTTTAAGGGAAAATAAGGGACCATTTATGGTTTAATTAAATGTATTAATGACTTTTGATGGTTCAGTATCATTATTAAACATAATTTCAAAAGGACAAGAATTAGAACGTCAAAACATAAATAAATACTGAACTCCCAATTTCCTCTCATTGGCATTTTGATTGACCCAAAAGTAAAAATGAAACAGAGGTGGCAAGTATTTTAACTTAAATATTGTGGATTAAAGGAATAACTTTGAATATGTCTTTTGTATGGTTAAGGCTTAGGTTCTTTATTTTTTTCTGGTATCAATCCTTTGCTAAATTTTTTGGATAACTTTTAACTTTTACTTCTTACTTTTAAATACAAATATCTCTACTGTCTACATGTCACATTTTAAAATTACGAGTTATTTTGAAAATGGCAACGAGACATAAACAACGACTAAATTCAGAAAATAACCATTCGTTAACCATTGTTTAAGTGTGTAAAAGTCTCTATATTTTCCATCCAATATAAATATATGACATTATTCAATATTGTACTTTTTGACTTAAGTATACATACAAAAGCTTGCACTTTTATAAATGTACTGAAGTAAAGGAATAATTTCAATACCTCTAATAAATCTTACCAGAGTATATTTGTATTGAGTACTTATGACTAGTAGTATTTTTGCCACCTCTGAAAATGAAAGTGTTGTGGGGAGATGGATTTGGTGTATGTACATGTATACGGTGAAGTGGTTGAAAGATGTCAACATAACTCTCAGCACATGGCAAAAAAGATCCTTTGGTCAGTAGTTTTACATTGCAATGAAAAGCCAAAAGATCAAAGTAAATCTATGAAGCATTGAAGGCAATTTGGTCAAACTACAAGTGTGTCAGAAAAACTCAAATTCGTTCATTGTAACTCGATCATTAAACTATGGCACGCCTTTTTGAATTCAAATGCCTAAACCAAAATGTATATGTATATGACAAGACGGTGCAATGTTGCAGGCACTTTCAAATTCAATGAATGTGACTAGAATATACAGCAGATCAAATGAAATCTCTCAAAGCCAGTGAACAAATGCATGGCACACACAATTAGGCACGAAAGTTGCAATTTATCACATTCACAAAAATAGTTCTTATTTGTTCAACCCCTGAAAAAATAAAGTGCAAACGCTTTAACACTCAGACCTGAAATGCCTCGGTCTATTATTTTTAAACAAGTGACTCTAAAGTAGACAGCATCCCAAGTTATTCAGAAACTAGACTCAATCAATATTCACCGAGGAGCCACCCGAGTGTTCAGAGATGTCTGCCTTTCACCAATCACTAACTCTCTCAAAATGGGTTGGAGCAAAAATAATGATCTTCATCATTTTCATCCATCGGGGCAAATTCTTGTATCAACCCGAACCCTTTTCTTTATGAGGCAGATGACGTACGTCTGTGACACAAAGCCCGTTCAAGTAACTGGCCACAAGTTTAAATGTGGCTTTTCTTCAATAGCTGTACATGGACAAGGGGGTGTCCTCCATCATATCGTCCTGAAAGAAAAAATATTTTATTATGATTTTACAATGTTCTGATGCAAAAAAGGGCCCTGGTTTACGTGGTTACTCAGGGGTAACACAATTGAGTAAAATTGTGTTTGATTCTCAAATACTATGAGCATGTGTACTATGAAACTTTACTATACATACTTTTGATAGAAACATAGAGTGACACATGGATTACAGTTGTATTACACTGTTTTACAGTTCAGTTCTATGTTTTGCGGTTTGAAAGTTAGCCAATCTGTTGGGAGGAATTTTCTAGATGTCCTGATTTCAGTGTTCCCCCGCCATGTGTGAGACATCCCGGCTGAGACATATTGGAGTGTCTCACATGAAGGAGAAGCTGCCTGTCTGGAGGCCTGGCAGGCCCTGAGCCTCCCTCTCTCTCCACCCATCTCCTTGTGTGTATGTAAGGTTTATTTTCTGTTGTCTCTGTGTGTATCTTGTAACGTTTAGTGTCATTAAATGTCCTTTTACATCTGTTTGTTTTATGTCAAACATTGAGCCACAACTAGATTCTCGTTATAACACAATTGTTCTCTAAGGAGTACTTGCTGCTTTCCACATTATTTACTCCTTACATTTAATCAATCACATACGTTTTATGCTACATTAAGACTATGAAGGTTCTGGAGTGGCATCACTTTTACTTTGTTTTGGTCAAATTTATATATAAAAAAACCTCATTTGACAGATTTAAACGACTACCCAAATAATGAAAATAATAATCTGCCAACTAATCAATGATTAATATAATCATTGATTACAGCCCTGTGCGTGCTCTTCTCTTTCAGTTGAATCTCTTACTGCACTACATTCTTGGTAAAACATTAACATGTGAAGACAAGCTGTTTGTTATTCTATGGAGTTCAAGTCTGATGTTTGTGATGAAGTGCTGACCATAGGAAGGTCCTGAAGCCTCCTGAACTCCGGGCGACTGTCTCTCCTCCGCAGTTTGAGGAAGAGGAGCAGAGTGATGATGACTGCAGCAATGATGAAGGCTGACACCAAACCGGCCAACAGGGGGTCCAGGGCGGGAACCTCATGCACCACCGTAGCTGCAACACAATCATTAGTTATAAGAGGACGGTCAATGCTGAAAAAATGAATGGGTCATCTCGTATTGTTAACTTTTTTGATGGAGGGGCTACCACTTTTACATAATATATCTTCCACAAAAGAGACTACATTTTTTACTTTTTTAACATCTTGCACACTTCCTGTCTTTTTGCACAACCCTCCCCATTGTGAGACCAATAAAGTTGATCTTATCTCAGATCCTCCAGCAGAAAGAGTGCTTAATTGATGAGGCCGAGGTCTACAACATAAAATGGTATTACCCAAGATATAAGATCACCACCTAGACATTTAAAATGTGTTCCTATTCAAGCACTGCTTTTTATTGTTTACATTATTTAGCAAACACGCTTTGCCTGAGCAAAACAAATGAGTTGACTCTGATGACTTAATATGGTGCAAACAAAAAGGGCTAAATATAGCTGCTCAGAGCGATGCTCAATAAGTGTCGTCAAACAGAGAAGCTGGACTCAAGAACATTTTAAACAAATAACATTTCAACTTGCCAAACTGTCTCATAAAAGTATTTAAATCTATTGTCTTTTACTCTTGGTTTATGTATTTTTTCTCTCTTTTGGATATTGGAAATGTATGAAAGCGACCACAAACCAACAGTCTGCTCTGCTTTGTGTATGGAAAAAGGCCTAGAGCCAAGTATGGAGTAATGAAACCACATGACTGAGAAGCACTATATTATGACTGCTACTACATGTAAAGAAAAAAATACTAAAAAGATGATATGATAAATCTGTTCATTACTTTTTTGCAAAAAGTGAAATTATTACTTTTCTAAGATCAATCTGACCAATAACAAGTGAATATTCATAACTTCATTGTTCCTCAGGGTGAATTATGAGTTCTTATTCTATTTCGTCCAATGATGTGTTTGTCCAAGCCGGTTGCACCTTAATTATGGAATGCACTCAGGTGCATACGTTTTATTTCTAATTTCTTTCCTGCACCCTGTGGGATGTTCTACCACATTCAAATAGTACATATATTGGCTGCATTGCTATGTAGGCTGCAAAGTTCAAAAATAAATCCAAGACAGAACATTATAAATGTGCAAAACATTTATGTTTAAATGATGTTTGATGTAAGGGGTGATATTATTGACTATGTCGTCTAGTGTGATTGTGTGTTTAACTTGGTATGGTACTTCAGTACTTAAGATAAGATACACGTTATTGATCTCACAATGGAGAAATGTATTTAGTATTAAGTCCTTTCTCTTGACCTCAATAGACAACCATTACATTTTGCCAATAAAGATTGAAGTAAAGTGTTTTCTCAGCTCAAGTCCCATGACAGCTGCCTCATGGAAACAGAGCCATATTTGTGGAGAGCTTGGTGGCGACGGAGCCTGTTGAAGTCATGGACAGTGGAAGCAAAACAAAAAACAACATTGTCTTTGTTTACACCCCAATTGACTTCTTCTAGTGCTGTCTATATCAGAGTAGAAAACAGCAGCACACAAAGACACAAAGAGCAGTTTCTCTAATATTTATACACAGCACTTACTGTCTTCTCCAACATTTAGTGGAGATGGTGTGTTGACTTTGTGACTAGTCGGGGATGTTTTTGTTGCAGGTGCCTGAATACTTTGTTGTGTAGTAGTGGTGGAAGGGGTAGTAGCTGACACATTTGTAGTCACTGTTGTAATAATGGCAGTGGCGCTAGACGTAGCAGGAGCAGATGAGGATGTTACATTGATTGCATGGTTTGACATGTCTGGTTTTAATGTATTGGTAGTTTCCACAGTGGTTTTCTGGGGTGAAGTGGTTGGAACAGGTGACGTCTCTGGTTTTTTGCTTGAGCTGAGTTGAGTTGTTGAGGGGGCGGTAGTGTGTTGAGTGGGCGAGTTTGGGTTTCTTGAAGAAGGACGTGATGTGGAGGCTTCTGCAGTGCTCCCATTAAGAAAGTCTACAGAGGTGGTCGTGGAAATATCTGAGGAAGAATAGAAAAGTCGCTGTCAATGCAAAATGGAAATTAAACAGGATGATAATATATTCAGATGAATCCCAACATTAACATATTACATTCAGTAATAAAGTAGAGTGACTGTGCCTGTATGGCGTGCAGTATTTGTGTCACAAAAGTATTTTATTTCCACAAACTTCTGACTTTTAAAATCAGTCTTCTAAAGTCACAGCCCATTCAATCCAGGACCCCAGGAATCTTGTTATGACAGACTACACAAGGGGCCATTTATAACATTTTTAAACATACATTATTACTAGGACAACGTCATAATGGAAAGAATAGCGAATGCAACAGCACAAACTTTGGTAAGAGCTTCATTCTTGTTACACGGCTTGTTCCGCTGTCGTCATGCAAACATAAAGTATTGTCCCTTGTATGACTTACTGACCCACATGGAAACAACAAGCTATAAAACCATTGATTTAGTTTGGTTTCATTGCTGTGAATTATCACTATATTTGGCCGTAGTGTTCCCTGTCTGCAAGAAGACTAGGTCAACAGGAGAGTTAAAAGGGCAGTCATATCAAACCACCAGCCTGTGTGTAAGGAAGAGGCGATCCAGGGTTTTTGGACAAAAAACATGTTTTTGCTCAGAGCTTAAATTTGAGCAACAGTTGAATCAAAACGTGTGGATTCCTCTCCAGTAAAGATGCTGAAACAGGTCGATGTAGACTTATGTAGCACCTTCTACTTGAGTTGTTCCCTTAAACCATTCCAATGATTGCAGTTCATTCTAAATTCTGCAGCTCAGATGTGGGCTCTCGTGCAAGGCATCCTGAGTAACTCCAGACGTCAGAGGAGGAAGCATAGCAACAGCTCATTTCACTGTGCTGCCGAACGGAATATTTGAAGATATCATTGTTTCTTCATTGGTAAGACTTGTATGTTTCTGGTTTGCTCGTGCACTGTGACCTGGAGAATCTATCGTTTCTCATTATGCTTTATCACAAAGTCACAATGTATCGGAGATCTGTAATGTTGGAAAGAATACATTTAATCAAAAATGGAATTGGAGGTTCATCAGGTTAATCATTATTATCATTTATTTTGTACTGTATCACATCTGAGTGTGCTTGTGTGTGTGTTGTTGTGTCGATGACACAAAGAACACAGTGAATAACTATGATCACCTTTTTTTATTATCAGTAATTTAATGTATTAACATTTATACTAATCTTTGATGTGTTTCAAATTAATCTTTATTGTGTTCTATAGTCCTCATATTGTGTTTTAGATGAATAATGTGCAATGGGGTAGACTAATTCTCTGGTTTGTGCTCAAAACATTTTAAGTCGGAGGGTCAACGTATGGGCAACAGACTGGCCGCTTCCAGTTTATCGCACTTCAGCCAAAACTAGCAAGCACGCCGATTTGAGTTTGTATAAAATAATTGTAATTTTTTAATTATTAATTAATTGTAATTATTTTTTATGACCAAATATGTAACAGCATCTATATTTTTCAATTTCATTGAGATATTCCACATTTTTCTTTTTTGTGCCAAATGCATTTCCGCCTGGATTTTTCACATCAAAATCTGCATAAATTGTTATTTTTTTGGTATCTAGACATAAACTTTGCTCCAAGATGTCAGTAAAATGTTGAAGTTGCATTTGATTATGTTTATTTTCTTCTTTACAAGTAATTATGTCATATCATTTTGTGTGTTTTTAGACGAACCAACTTATTTTGATAATGTAGCCAAATGTACTCTAGGAAAATATTGTAGACATGAAAATGTTCACATCCACAGAATCCCCAAAGACTAACTTACAATTTGCTCTTGTTGCTACTTCCACATCGGTGGCCAAAAGATGACATCTCCAGATACGCCCCTTTACACATTTGCTGTAACTATCAACTGAACTTGTGTTAGGCAGGCTGAGCAGGGAGAGAGAGAACTTAGCAGAGCACCTGGACGTTCTCTATAGAGTCCTGTCGGGTCAGTTTTTGGCTCAGCTCATAGGGATAGTTCTGGAAATAGGAGCTCAAACAGTGTTGTATTAGTATTTAATTGTAAAGATAATTAAATGTTATTTATTTTAACTCTTGAATATCTTAGTCTTCTTTTCTGAATCATGTCCCAAAAGTGTGTGTTTATGGACGTTTGTGCGTGTGTGGAGAAGGGAAGTTTTCACAAGTATCTTTCACGTCCTCTCGTTAGAAGTGACACAGTATTTCATTTTAGCTTTTTTCACCCCCTTACTGTGAGGGCCTAGTTCGTAACACACAGCTGTGTGTGTATTCTTCTATGAACAAAAAAAGATGAATCATTGTAAGGAGAATACAAAGCACCAGTATTAGATTACAGCCACTACACAATAGTCAACACACTGACCCACAAAACACAAAAGACCCAAAAGGTGAAGATTAACGTTTTTGTCCAAAGCCTACAGTAGACCTTAAAGGCGCTATACCCGTTTCTGCAATGTTTGAATGTTTAGCACCGCCCCCCAACTCGCTCAATGGCTTCTTATTTCCCCTACGCTCTCATAACACAGAGCCACCTAGTTTTATTTGCGATCTGATAAATATGCTAACATTAGCATTAGCGCAACTTCTTGTAAGCTGTGCAACAATCACCGATGAAATGGCACTAAAGCAACGCACTGCTAACACAATATATAAGTAAAAGAATACCGCTAGTTTTGCGTCCGAATGTATTAATTTAAAACCTTAGAATATATTCTAATATTGAATTATAATTTGTTATAGAGCTCCTCAAAGCAGCAGCAGCAATTCTTCCGATATTTTTTTCTTGATAACAGAACTCTCAAACTAATAATGACCGAAGCCCCAATGCCACCTCTGTTTGTAATTCAGGTGTGTAAAATACTGCCATTACTCCGCAAGTACAACAAGCTATCAGCGCCTGTCACTACACACTTGTCTGTGTAGAGAAGCCAACGGAGCTAGCCACGCTCAATAAACAACTACATATCTATCAATCAACACCATTAAACGTCAATCGGACAATACAGTACACATATACATCCTTAACACACATGCACGGATGATTTCAGAATTTGCTGTTAACGTTTTCATAACAAAAATACTGTTTCAAAGTGACAAAAAGCGATTGCGAAAAACCCGGAAGTTACCACGAAACAGCTAGCTAGCTTAGCTGTTACCTGCCTAGCACGTCCTGGTGAAACCTTTGGGAGCTAACTATTTTATTTGCAGTCATTAAATACATTTCGAATTACAAGGGTTGTCTAATATTTGTTCACATTTTTTTATTCAATTATTTTGTTCATCATTTTTTATTTTAGAATTTATATTCGAATTTTGAAGTTGAAGCCCTGGTGTTAAGCAGCGCTGTAGAGGCTAGAGGACGCAGGCTGCTCGCTGCTCGTTCTGTGAGCGGAGGAGAAAGAGCGGCCCGCTCAGACTCTACTCAGCACTTTTCACTGCTTGTAATTCTTACACAGCTGAATCAATTACCTCAAGTTTTCAATTAAATGATGTATTATGATACAACTTGTATGTAGTAAAAAGCATTTTTATGAACTACTTAGAAAAAAAATCGGGTATAGCTTCTTTAATAAAACAAAAACAAAAGAGTACTTAATAGCGGCCTTTTTGAATGGACTTGTACTGTACTTTCTTGATCCAGTCTGGTTTCACAGCATACTCCATCTTTGAGCTCTCTTATTTATAGCCCCTGCCTGTGGCTGTGTCGTTAGTGGTTTTGACTCTCAACACTGTAACCCGGTCATCCAGTGCCTCTGTGGGCCACTTCTGAGCACCAAGATAAAACTGTTAAACATAGCTTCATTATCAACCGCCAGTGACTTTTTTTCACAACTATTTTAAGAACAAAAATAAACAAACATATAGGTGAAAACTTACTGTTGGACGTGCTCAGTGGTATCAAAGGAGTGTGCTCTTCCTCTGTAGTCAAGTTCAAACCGCTGCTAGGAATGGTGTTGTTGTTGGAGGCATTGACTTGACCAGTTTCCTCGAGACTAGATCCAGGTCCAGGTGCCGCAGCCAGTGTCCCAGGAGCTGAGTCCGGACCAAGACCAGCTGGACTGTGTGGTGCTACTGTGCTAACCACAGGGGCTTCAATATCTGTAAAGCAATTAGTAAAAAAGTTAAACAGAAGGAGGACAAGCAGCCAGTAATAGGCAGCTCATGATCTTATGGAATAAAACGATATAGCTTGAATATGCTACCTTCGTGAAAACACCAAAATGTTCCAAGTACACCATTTGCTTCTGGTTTGGGATAATCTAGTAATGTTTCAAATACTGTGCCAAAGTAAGTGTAAATCATTTCTCAACTTTGACAAGGGCCAGGGAGCTCTAATCCAAAGTAATGTGATTATTGCTGGGAAACATGCTGCCACGAAGCCTTTGATTGCTCTCATAATCAAGTGTAAAACTCATCAGCCTGGTCTGAAGACGGAAAGGCGGAAACAGGACTGAGAGGGACTTATTTAAACTAATATGCACACACTGACAGAGGTGAAATAATGTGTTGTTACTTTATATAAATACAATTTCTGCATTGCAGGATGGGTCAAATGCAGAGGACACACTAGCACAAAGGCACTAAGACAGTGCTTCTCAATTATTTACTAAACACCCCCCCCCCCCCCCCCCCCCCCCCCCCCGGACGCCTTCTGGGGCCCTGCTAAGATCAGCTCAGGAAATCCGCTCACAACCCAAAGAGTCAAAAAAATACACTGCTCTTTGTAAAAAAGTAAAGAAAATATTTAAAAAATACATAGATGAAGACAGCCAGATGGTGTGATCTGATTTGTTCACAGTTTTTTACTTTTGAGCACAAACTTGGCGGAGAACAAGACTGTTGTATATTAAATTACATAAAAAGTCAAAATACAACATCTTTTCAGAAGGCCTAAAAGCTTATATATAATATCTATGACATTTCATTTGAAGCTTGTCTTATGGATGAACAAGCATTAATAATGGAATATAGACACTGCTCAATAATGAACTGCATCAAGATATGAAAATAATCCATAAGTGACAAACAATAAATAATTGTACACATTAAAAATAAGTTTTATTGTGCTGCTCTTTTCTCAGTCTTTGAAACACTGCTTCAGAGTGTCAGGATCACCATATTCTTTATTTTACATGATAAGTAAGTAAGTACCGTAATCTTTATTTATAAAGCGCATTTTAAAGACTAACGTTGGTTCAATATTACAACCCTTCATACGTATTCGCATGGCCAAAACATGGAATAATGTTTAGGTTTTCTCCGCTAAACTGTGAGATATCAGACAGCAAGAGGAAAGTGCTTAGTTTGCATATTGGGTAGAGCCGGCCCTGCTGACCTGTGCAAATAAACCGAACAAATAATGGACAAATGATCAATTAAGATGTAGCATATGTAGCAAGCCTAAGTCCTCTATCGGTGATAACTCTGCTGTTGGCTCAAAGCAAACGGCAGATGTGTCAGTGTTTTTGCATGTAACTGCCTGTAAATGGGTTTTTGGGTGTGAGGGCGCAGGTTAATAAAGACTCTAGTGTTGCCACAGCCGCTTACAGATATTGCACTGAGTCAGTCTGTGTGCTCCTGCGTGACCCCAAACTAAATATGAGGCCAATCATTGCTTCACAAACAGATGTCAGCTATGACTTTAAACAGTTCAAATCACTGTTTTCGCCCTTTACGGCTGCTAAACAGATGTGTATGATTGTCACATGTCATAAAGGGAAACAATGGTGGAACAAATATCAATTATAGGTCATAGCCTATTAGTCATAGACACAATTACAATTGATCTGTGAAGACAGTGGTTATAAACAATCAAAAACGTATTTCAAATTCAACACTGAAATCAAACTGTGTGGTACTTGATGTGATCATCATATCAAACACAGAACTAGACTGTTGGATATTAAAACTATTAAAAAGCAGCATAAAAATTCAAAATTAAACATAATTTCAGAAGGCCTAAAGATTTTTAAATAAAATATCTATGACATTTAATTATAAGCTTGTCTTACAGATGAACAATTCAATATATTGTTTGCATAGTTTGTCTACATCTTGACAGGCAGCATGGCCGATGTGTAAGGTCCCAAGGCCAATGTATAGCGAGTCCATGTGCCTTGATCTCAACTTCAAGAATTGACTGTGTCTGAAAATGTGCAAAATCAGTTACTGACAATTATTAAATGTTTTTCACACTGCATTGTGTTTGAATGCATTTAGAAAGATCCTTCCTTGAGTTATAACACATTAAAAAGGTATACTAATTGATCAAATAATGAATGAAGATGAAGATGCAGGCCAAATTTCAACCCCCCTAGTCTCATTGCTGCAATACAGCATTAAAGAGGGAGTCCAATTAGAGTAGATGTTGAGGATGACAGTACGGCTGCTGCACACTGTTAGAGCTGCCATTTATCACCACGTACTTCCCGCTCATTTACAACTAATAAATGTCTTCCAGCTACAGCCCTGCTCTCTTGATTCACAGCATGACTGACGATTGGACTTTGCGTTTGATAAAACAGTATCCAATGTCACAATGGTGATTTTACAATAATAAAGCACATTCTAAAGAACATTGTGACAAGAGAGCAGGATGTTTGGTGGGGCTGCTAGAGAGGAAGAAGGCTGTGAAAGATCACAGAGGTACTGTATAAACAATCCTTAGAGAAGTTAGTGTCACTGACTGAGAACTGTAATATTTAGAGGGGATTTTGAAACTACACAATGTCACTATAACAAAACATTGTAAGAACAACTCACATAACAACAACAACACATCATTAAGTTCTTATTCCATATCCAATGTTTTCATGCCACTATTTAATGTAACAACAAAGGACAGTAACAGTAACAACACACAAAATACATCTTGTTCAAAATGTTTATGCGCGTACATCAAATGAGGCAACAATCAGGACGTGAAACACAAAACTAGGTAACAACTAATTGTACGTTACCACAATATGCGCGACATGAAAACTACATGTCAACCAGACCCGTCTATGGCTTTACTAAATGCGCGTCCTTACCTGTAGAAGCCAACACTCCGAACGCAAACAGAAGCAGTGCGAGTATCTTGAAGCAGAGTTTGTGCTCCATCCTCCACGCACCTCCAAACAAACAAAGACAGGACTGACGTTTCTGTACGTTCATAAACTTATTGTGTCGTTTCCCCTCGCGTCCGCACAGAACTGAGCCGCCCTCTCTTGTGCGGGGAAACCAAGCGGTGGTACCGGTGACTGCGTGGACAGGGGCTGGAGCGCGCCTCCTCTTTCCTCTGCGGTGCCACGTGTTTTCTGGTCAAACGTCGATTGCATTAAAAGTGACACAAATGCAAAACTGGCGCATCCAACTCCACTTCAGTGGATGACTCCATAAGGGTCACACAAAAAAAAGAAATCTATATTAAATTGGTCACGTAACTTTCCGTGAGAGCCTTTTAGGTTTGAAAATCAAAATTATAGGTGGTATAGGTTATTAATTCTTTTATACAAGATAAAACGTTGTCTAATGTATTTGTTGTTGGTGACATGAACTCTGATATTTCAGACAGTAAATCATTATTTGCAAGCCATCTGAACCAATTTTGTGAGGATAATGGGTTGATATTATCTACTAAAGCTCTCTTGCCAGCTGATAGCTTTACATACATAAGTGAGGCGTGGCATACAACCTCTTGGTTGGACCACTGCATAGCTACAGCAGATGCCCATGCGTCTCTGGTGAATATAAAAATTTACTATGAATTTGCAACTGCTGACCACATTCCACTTGGGATGCAAATAAATTTTCATTTTCTGCCCCTGACAGAAAGTTACAAAATTGAAAGTGGTACATCCTACATTGATTGGAGTTGTCTTTCTAGTGAGGATATACTAGTGTACACTATGAACACAGACACTCTTTTGAGTAATATCTATCTGCCAAAAGAGGCTATGATGTGTAGAGATGGTAACTGCAATAATTCTGATCACAAATCTGTCATCAGTTCTATGTATGAGGATATTGTTAAAGTGCTGTACGAGTCATGTAAACCCCTTCGAAGACCAAAATCTAAAAAGAGGGTAAGGCCTGGGTGGAATGATCATGTGGCGGATGTTTATACTAGAGCTCGGGAGGCTTCTACAGAATGGATACTGGCGGGGAAACCTCGATATGGGCCTGTTTTTGAACATAAAAGGCTAACTAATGCCCAGTATAAATATGCTGTGCGCTACATCAGTAAAAATGAGAGAGCGATGAGAGCTGATTCTATGGCCAGGAAACTCTCCTGTAACAATGCATACGACTTTTGGAAGGAAGTGAAAGGAATATCTTTGAATAAAAGATCTCTGCCCTGTGTGGTGGATGGTGCCTCTGGTACTGAGAACATCTTAGAACTATGGCGGCAGCATTACCGCAGTTTGTTTAATTGTGTTCCGAGTGAACTCTATACTGTAAATGATGTTGACAATGTTGACGTAATTATGACAAGTGAGGTCTTTAGGGCAATAACCAATTTGTCTAATAACAAAAGTACAGGATTGGATGGAATCTCTGCTGAGCACTTAAAGTTTGCAAGTGTGAGGCTGGCCCCACTGCTTTCTATCTGTTTCACAGCTTTTCTTGTGCATGGTTTCATACCAGACTCTATGTTAGCTGTGTTATTGGTTCCAGTCATTAAAAACAAAACTGGGAAGCTTGGCTGTTCAGATAACTACAGACCAATAGCCTTGGCTAGTATAGTGTCTAAAATCATTGAAGCTGTCCTTTTGGAAAGGATTCTCAAACTTGTGAGATCTACGGATAACCAGTTTGGATTTAAGACCAGGTTAGGCGCTGACATGTGTATATTTGCACTTAAAGAGGTAATTGCTAAATATAGAAGACAAAATTCTTCTGTTTTTATGTGCTTTTTGGATGCTTCAAAAGCATTTGACAGGGTCAATCATAGAAAACTATTCTTGAAATTAGCCCAAAAAGGTGTACCCAGTTATGCTGTGCGTTTTTTAGCATACTGGTACTCACAGCAAACAGTGCAAATAAAATGGGGGAGCAGTGTATCTACCCCTTTTAAAGTGAGCAATGGGGTCCGACAGGGGGGTGTTCTGTCCCCCAGTGTTATTTAACCTGTATCTAGACGAACTGTCAACTAAACTCAAAGACTGTCACACTGGCTGTGTCTCTGGAAGAACTATTATGAACCATTTTTTGTACGCAGATGATTTAGTCGTGTTTAGTCCAAGTACGGCTGGTTTACAGCAGCTCCTTAATATCTGCTCAACTTATGGTCTGGAACATGATATTAAGTACAATAGTTCGAAGAGTGTGGTTATGATTTCTAAAACCAAGGAAGATAAGAACCTGACATTTCCTAACTTTTGTTTGTGTAATGATGTTTTGCATGTTGTCACCAAAATCAAGTACCTCGGGCACATCATCACTGAGGACATGTCTGATGATGATGACATTTACAGACAATGCAGAGTGTTGTATGCCCAGGCTAATACCCTGGCACGGAAGTTTGGCTGTTGTACAGAGAGAGTGAAGCTAACGTTATTTAAAGCGTACTGTACTCCCTTATACACAGCTCATCTCTGGTCTCATTATAAGAAAGCCAGCATGCGTAAGCTCCAGGTGGCCTATAATGATGCTTTGCGTGTGCTTTTGAAAAAGCCGAGATGGTCAAGTGCCACAGAAATGTTTGTTAATGCCAGAGTGAACACTTTACAGGCCGTGCTACGAACTTTGATGTACAGCTTTATGTGTCGATTGAACACGTCTGAAAATGAAATAATAGTGTCCCTCACGAATATAAAATGGAGTGCGACACGGTATCAATCTGACTTGTGGAAACATTGGCATGGTTGTCTTTTTAAAATGCCATTTTAATTGTCTGTCTTGTGCTTTATTTTTTATTTTATTTAATTGTATTGGACTGTGAGTCCGGAATAAAGTTGAATTGAATTGAATTGAATATAATTTAGTAATATATTGTGTTACTTGAGGTACATTGAGATACTACTGGTTTATAAACAAAATTGTGGTTTCGCTTAGTTTCTTTGTAAGGACACGTGGGGGCGCTAATGCTCCATTTTAAACCTAGAAATCATGTAAGTGTAAACAAAAACAAAAAATTAATCCTACCAAATTAATGACAAATAAATGAATAGTATTCAGCAATATAGATGTTAACTGTTCTGTGTGATTAGATTTTTTTTCTAAACCGTGATCATGTAATTATTAGATCGTTTATATTATCATAAACTAAATTAAAGACAGCCTAAATGCAGCATTCATTAGATCCAGTACTTTCATATTATCCCTCTCACTGGAGTTTATGTGGTATGTGGTGGTATGGTGGTAGGTACTATTGAGTGGGTGAAGCGCAGCCTCTGGTGACGGAGCACAGGCAGAGCTGCAGCATCGTCTCATACCGACAGAGGAGGACACAAAGGTGCGGACATATCCTGCTATTTATCTCCCTGTGGATTTGAAATAAGAACATTTTATACGATTATATTGCCACTTTGATGGCTCACTAATACACCAGCAGCATGGGTTTGTTGCATTGCTCACCGTGAAGTTATATGATTGCGAGCGCACGTTAGCTAGTGGCGCTAGCACAGATAGCTGTTGCTAGTGCGTTTCCATTGGTGTCAGTGAGCTAATGTTAGCAGCCGGTTAGCATCTGGTGGCACAATTTAATAGAACCTGGAGCTGCTTGCAGCCTCCCTGACTGGGCTGAACAATTGGGGAATCATCACTGTGTAATGCTGGACCTGTTGTGGTCGTGTATGTTTCGCTCATCTTTGATTGTTTTGACAGCTCCGTGTCCGCGACATGGAGACACCGGGGAGGATAGTCCTCACACCGGACGCCCTGGACTTCACCGTGGAAAACGTAGAGAAGGTCAGTGTCAGTATACATTTTATAATCTATAGATCCTTATCTAATCACGATAATGGCGTATTTATGGCTGTTTTTTTAGCATATATACTAGCATAACATTACTGTCCTGCCCTCTTGTAATTGTCTGCGTTGTGGGTGATCCTGTTGACATGTCTGTGCTGGGGCTGGGGTGAAGGACTGCACCTGGGCAGTGAAACAGGAGTCAAGGATGGTTGGTGGCACAGGTTCTCTGAGGAGAGCCCCTGTGGCGCATGTGATTAAACTTGTTGAAAAAGCATGAATGGAGCAACAAATATTTGTAACGTCTTGTTATATGCAACATTTTGAAGATCCTTACAAATCGTTGAAAAAAAAACCTTTATTATTCATGGGTACATTCTTCATCTATTTTGCATATACATTACTTTAAGCTTCTTGTTTCATACAACATGTTGAGGACCGCTACTCAAGAACAGTGATAAAGCGCCGAGCCATTCTGGGGTCTTTTATCAAACACCAGGTGCATACGCTGTAATTTATATGCATAATGGTCATGGTGGCGGACGGTCATGTGACTGTTACTTTTGATTATCTTGCAACAACTTTTGTTTAGGATTGTCAACTTCGGAAACCCATGAATAGTATGGACACAAGTTTGAGACAATGGTTGTCCTGCTCCACTATTTGTGCTGTAATAGATGGAGCGTTGTTCCATCCTGTCTCCTAAAACAAAGTACCACATTGTCACCATCCTGCAGTGCATTATGAGATGGATGTATTCAGCATTGTCAACAAACAAGCAAATGTTGCTTAAAGAGCGACTAAACACCTGTGCCCAGCCTTACTCCACCCACATGAAGATTTGAAAATTTTCTCATAAAAGGGCGTTGCCTGGAGGACTAAGGGACAAGAAGGGGGGCTTAGAGTTGGGCATGGTCTGGGCTGTGATTGACAGCTCACTTGTCACACAAAAAAAAAAAACACAGTTGTCATTGCTGCTTAAAGCAATAGTTTACAGACCAGAACTACTATTAACTATTGAATATAGACTCAAAGTGAGCTACAGGCATTTGGATAAAAAACAATTCAAGTTAGTGTATGCCATAAAAGTAATGAATTATTGGATTGATGGAAATTGTTCATTCTTTTTTATTTGTAACTATAGTAATTATTTTATTACATATATTTACTTGGGTTCCAGCTTTTTAGACTTTTGTTTTCATGCACATGTCAGCATTTCCTCTTGGATTGTTTGATTGTGGGGGATTGTGGGGTTGTGCGTTGTCCGGGCGGTGTGTTTGGGATCGTTGTCATGCTGAAAGACCCAGCCACGTTTCATCTTCAATGCCCTTGCTGATGAAAGGAGGTTTTCATTCTTTCCTTTACACAAATCAATCGTCCTGTTCCCTTTGCCAAAAAACAGCCTCAAAGCATGATGTTTCCACCCCCATGCTTCACAGTAGGTAGGTGTTCTTTGGATGCAACTCTGCATTCTTTCTCCTCCAAACACGACGAGTTGAGTTTTTACAAAATAGTTCTATTTTGGTTTCATCTGACCATCCTCCCAATCCTCTTCTTGATCATCCAAATGCTCTCTAGCAAACTGCAGAGAGGCCTGGACATGTACTGGCTTAACCAGGGGTCATGTCATATCTGACTGACTTGCTTACTTTGCACACTCCGGGAAGAGCACTGAGGTCCTCTGACCAGCTTCTTATGCACTGTCCCAGGTCTAGATTAGAGACCAGAGGAGACAGAACCTTTTCTGTGGCAGGGTCCAAACTCTGGAACGCTCTCCCTTATTGTATCAGCGCTGCCCCCTCTGTAGAGCTAAAGACACATTTCTTTGCTTTGGCTTTTTAATACAAGCAATATTGAAACATTTATGATAGTGTCCTGCATTTTATTTTTATGCTATGTCTTATTTGTATTTTATGATGTCTGGTAAGCACTTTGTGACAATCCTGTCTGTTTAAAAAAAAAAAAAGTTCTATATAAATAAACTTGACCTTGACCATGTCTGTCTAGGTCCTCCTGTGTGATTCTGGGATTTTCTTGTGATCATCTTGACCCCACGGGGTGAGATCTTGCGTGGAGCCCCAGATCGAGGGAGATTCTCAATGGTCTTTTATGTCTTCCATTCTCTAATAATTGCTCCCACTGTTGATTTCTTCACGGCAAGCTGCTTACCTATTGCAGATTCAGTCTTCCCAGCCTGGTGCAGATCTGCAATTTTGTTTCTGGTGTCCAGCAGAGACAGCTCTTTGGTCTTAGCCATAGTGGAATTTGGAGTGAAATTCTGTGATTTTCTGGATTTTTTTTTTCTCATTCTTTCTTTCATAGTTGAGGTATACATATGAAAATTACAGGCCTCCCTAATCTTTTTAACTGGGAGAACTTGCACAATTGGTGGCTGACTAAATACTTTTTTGCCCCACATACATAGGGTTAGGAATTTATTAGAAATCTTTTTTATTGAACGAACTTGTATATTTAGATAGTTGAAAAATAATGATAATAATATATATATATATATATATATATATATATATATATATATATACATTACAGACGAAAAGTTTGGACACACTTTCTCATTCAATGAGTGTCCTTTTATTTTCATGACTGTAGATTCACACTTAGGCTGTGTAAGGGCTATTTGACCAATAAGAGTGATGGGGTGCTGGGTCAGATGACCTGGCCTCCACAGTCACCGGACCTGAACCCAATCCAGATGGTTTTGGGGTGAGCTGGACCACAGAGTGAGGGCGAAAGGGCCAACAAGAGCTAAGGATCTCTGGGAACTCCTTCAAGACTGTTGGAAGACCATTTCAGGTTACTACCTCTTGAAGCTTATCAAAAGAATGCCAAGAGTGTGCGAAGCAGTAATCAGAGCGAAAGGTGCTACTTTGAAGAACTGAGAATATAAGACATATTTTCAGTTGTTTCATACTTTTTTATGTGGTACATACATAATTCCACATGAGTTAATTCATAGTTTTGAGGCCGTCAGTGTGATGAAGATAAAAAACTCTTGAGATGGGTGGGTGTGTCCAAACTTTTGGTCTGTACTGTGTGTGTATATATACAGTGTCTTGCGAAAGTATTCGGCCCCCTTGAACCTTTCAACATTTCGCCACATTTCAGGCTTCAAACATAAAGATATACAATTTTAAATTTTTGGCATGAATCAACAACAAGTGGGACACAATCGTGAAGTGGAACGAAATTTATTGGATAATTTAAACTTTTTTAACAAATAAAAAACTGAAGTGGAGCGTGCAATATTATTCGGCCCCTTTACTTTCAGTGCAGCGAACTCAGTCCAGAAGTTCAGTGAGGATCTTTGAATGATCCAATGTTGTCCTAAATGACTGATGATGATAAATAGAATGCACCTGTGTGTAATCAAGTCTCCGTATAAATGCACCTGCTCTTTGATAGTCTCAGGGTTCTGTTTGAAGCGCAGAGAGAACCATGAAGACAAAGGAACACACCAGTCAGGTCTGAGATACTGTTGTGGAGAAGTTTAAAGCCAGATTTGGATACAAAAAGATTTCCCAAGCTTTAAACATCTCAAGGAGCACTGTGCAAGCAGTTATATTGAAATGGAAGGAGTATCAGACCACTGCAAATCTACCAAGACCCGGCCGTCCCTCCAAACTTTCATCTCAAACAAGGAGAAGACTGATCAGAGATGCAGCCAAGAGGCCCATGATCACTCTGAATGAACTGCAGATAACTACAGCTGAGGTGGGAGAGTCTGTCCATAGGACAACAATCAGTCGTGCACTGCACAAATCTGGCCTTTATGGAAGAGTGGCAAGAAGAAAGCCATTTCTCAAACATATCCATAAAAAGTCTCGTTTAAAGTTTGCCACAAGCCACCTGGGAGACACACCAAACATGTGGAAGAAGGTGCTCTGGTCAGATGAAACCAAAATCAAACTTTTTGGCCACAATGCAAAACGATATGTTTGGCGTAAAAGCAACACAGTTCATCACCCTGAACACACCATCCCCACTGTCAAACATGGTGGTGGCAGCATCATGCTTTGGGCCTGCTTTTCTTTAGCAGGGACAGGGAAGATGGCTAAAATTGATGGGAAGATGGATGGAGCCAAATACAGGACCATTCTGGAAGAAAACATGTTGGAGTCTGCAAAAGACCTGAGACTGGGACGGAGATTTATCTTCCAACAGGACAATGATCCAAAACATAAAGCCAAATCTACAATGGAATGGTTCACAAATACACGTATCCAGGTGTTAGAATGGCCAAGTCAAAGTCCAGACCTGAATCCAATCGAGAATCTGTGGAAAGAACTGAAGACTGCTGTTCACAAACGCTCTCCATCCAACCTCACTGAGCTCCAGCTGTTTTGCAAGGAAGAATGGGAAAGAATCCAGTCTCTCGATGTGCAAAACTGATAGAGACATACCCCAAGCGACTTGCAGCTGTAATTGCAGCAAAAGGTGGCGCTACAAAGTATTAGCGCAAGGGGGCCGAATAATATTGCACGCCACACTTTTCAGTTTTTTATTTTTATAAACAAGTTTAAATTATCCAATAAATTTCGTTCCACTTCACGATTGTGTCCCACTTGTTGTTGATTCTTGACAAAAAATTAAATTTTTATATTTTTATGTTTGAAGCCTGAAATGTGGCGAAATGTTGAAAGGTTCAAGGTGGGCGAATACTTTCGCAAGGCACTGTATATACCTGTATGTATGTATATATATATATATATACACAATTTTTTTAACATTATTATAACTATCTAAATATACAAGTTATTTTGATTAAAATGTATTCTAATAAATTCTCTCGGACACCATATATTTGTAATATATTTTGTAATCATATGACTCAATTAATGACTCTCATATATTTACACTGACAATTTCATCTTAATCCTGGCGCCGAGTATGTGCATGAAAGCTGTTTGTTACACCGTTACCTTAGGGCTCATTAGAAATAGAATCAGACCCGTTGTGTGGCGTGTGAACAGATGGTTCACACAGAACAAAGCTCTGCAGCAACACTCTGCCTCCTCCTTGTGAAGCACAGCCTGAAGATAATGGTCGAGGACAGTTGCTGCCAACAGTGTGCCATCCTCAGGTTAAACATGGCCTTCCTCCCTTTGGTTTCTGCTTTTTCGGCAAAACAAATTTAAGTCATAACATTGAGAAGATATTCTATTACTATAGGATTGCTGCTGAAGATTTAAGCCACCAAATGAGCAGGCTATTTAATGACTTTGATTAGAAACCCTGGAAGAGGCTTCCAGGCAGAAATGCAGCATGTAATGAGCTGGTTAATCTCTTGCATTGGTTATGGTTCTTAACAATATATTCATGGGAATAATTAGATTTTATTTGTGTGTTGTTGTTGCTGGATACTACATTATTCCTTATTTCCATTCAATTTAGGTTGAATTTAGGCTTTGTTGTGTTGGGCAATAATGTTAATTATTATTATTATTAAATCTTGCTTTATAGATTTAAATGTAATGACTTGATAAACTGTACTTTTCATTGAATCTATCTTGAGCTGTGCACGTGGTAAAACCACCTTATTAACACCATGTTCAGAGTCAACACTTTATAGTAAGGCAACATGTTCTATGGTGTGTGCTAGAGGATAAAAGTGGTAAGGGTAAGCATCTTGACAGCATGCAAGCAAGGACTGCCTGACACTCCCTTTCTTCTGCATCTATTGGTGCTACTGCAGCATTATACCCATCCTGTTAGGCACACAGAATCTATGAAATCGCTCGATTGACATAAGATAAAGACATTTTTGGAGGAAAAGCTATAATAAAAAACAAGTAGGACTTTTGAATTGATGTGGTCAGGCTTGAGGGAAAGACAAGAATCTGATTTTCTTTCTACCATGTTGCCTTAGAGACGCTTGGAGCTGGTTTCCAGTGGTGCTTTTTTAAGTTCAGTGAGTTTTTGCATGTGCTGGAGAGCGTGAAACAAAAAGGGGCTTATTAGCTGCACTGTGCATAGACCTCACTAGATCTTCTGACAGGATTAAAGGTAGCTCGACTTTAATTAATGCTCCCTTTTCCTGGCTTTTTTGTCCTCCCACGCCCATTCTTCATGTGTTTTTCTATCTTCGTCTTTCTCCTTGCATCCAATTACTCAAATTACTTTGAACTATACCTCTGAGAGTGGTGCTATTTTCAGGTGAATGCTCTCTGAGTCTCTGCTTTACCACGTTGTTGGCAAATTATGTGTATACCTGATCATGTCAAACACATACATTGTGACATTATATTTTTAACAGCCATATATAATATTTGCTTTTTCTTCCATACAGGCACTCCATCAACTTTACTATGACCCAAACATAGACAATAAAAACTTGGCACAGAAATGGCTGATGCAGGCCCAGGTCTCACCTCAGGCGTGGCAGTTTTGCTGGGTTCTTCTCGGCCCGGACAAGGTATAGTAAATAAATACTATTGTGATGCCACCAACAAAACACAGAAAGAAATGTTTTCAGTTTCAGAATCTGGCATGTTGGCAAACCCAAAATAAATAATTTGTTCTGATTAGACAGCCTTCTTAAATAGTGGGGTGGGCCCTGTTACGGGGGCGCAGCGTGATGCAAGGGGGGAGAGACCGCGGGCAATATGCTGATTTTCGCTGTATGTTTGAGATTTTCCACGTCCTCTTTGGCCGATGCGTTCTGACCGTTGGAGCAATTGGAGCCACTTTGTAGTGAATGGCAGTGTACATCCCTCATCTCTGCCACTCCAACCACCTCGGAAAGTTTGAATTGGGGATCTTGTCTGCCTGAATGTGTCAGATCAATCTCCACAGTTCAGCTTGCGCGCCAGACGGGATTTAGAGAGAAGAATATCCTTGGTAACAAAGAAAATGCAGTCTGTGAGGACTATGTATTGATCAGATCACTGATTGGTGAATTAATACAGTGGATTTGACATTCAGAAACAGTGCAACAACAGCACGGCTAGACAATAAGATTAGGTGAACGAAGCTACATTTTAAAAATGAATAACACAAAATGGTTTCTTCTTCCTTATGAGGGCCTGGCAGAAAATAATTGAGTTTTGGTGTCTCAAGCTGATAAGATGATCAGCTTGAGACACCAAAACTAAATTTTCTTTTATATGAAATTTATACGCTTCTTTATGATATACTTTCCATCGTCCACAGGTGCCAGAAATCCAGTACTTTGGTGCCAGTGCCCTCCACACCAAAATCTCCCGGTACTGGTCAGACATTCCCACAGACCAGTATGAGTCTTTGAAGAGTCAGTTGTTTTCACAAATCGCCTGCTTCTCCAGCGGCTCCAAGATGGTGCTGACCCGGCTCTGTGTTGCCCTGGCCTCTCTGGCCCTGAACACAATGCCTGAAGCCTGGCCTAGTGCCGTGTCGGAGATGGTGCGGGTGTTTCAGGAGGAGAATGGTGGTGTGGACGGGCGAGCGCGGTGCCTCGCTCTGCTTGAGCTGCTCACGGTGCTTCCTGAAGAGTTTCAAACCAGCCGGCTACCGCAGTACCGTAAGGGACAGGTGAGAGGACCATATGTACAGGTATACAGTGCCTTGCGAAAGTATTCGGCCCCCTTGAAGCTTTTAACATTTCGCCACATTTCAGGCTTCAAACATAAAGATATAAAAATTAAATTTTTTGTCATGAATCAACAACAAGTGGGACACAATCGTGAATGGAACAAAATTTATTGGATAATTTAAACTTTTTTAACAAATAAAAAACTGAAAAGTGGGGCGTGCAATATTATTCGGCCCCTTTACTTTCAGTGCAGCAAACTCACTCCAGAAGTTCAGTGAGAATCTTTGAATGATCCAATGTTGTCCTAAATGACTGATGATGATAAATAGAATGCACCTGTGTGTAATCAAGTCTCCGTATAAATGCACCTGCTCTTTGATAGTCTCAGGGTTCTGTTTAAAGCGCAGAGAGAACCATGAAGACAAAGGAACACACCAGGCAGGTCCGAGATACTGTTGTGGAGAAGTTTAAAGCCGGATTTGGATACAAGAAGATTTCCCAAGCTTTAAACATCTCAAGGAGCACTGTGCAAGCAATTATATTGAAATGGAAGGAGTATCAGACCACTGAAAATGTACCAAGACCCGGCCGTCCCTCCAAACTTTCATCTCAAACAAGGAGAAGACTGATCAGAGATGCAGCCAAGAGGCCCATGATCACTCTGGATGAACTGCAGATAACTACAGCTGAGGTGGGAGAGTCTGTCCATAGGACAACAATCAGTCGTGCACTGCACAAATCTGGCCTTTATGGAAGAGTGGCAAGAAGAAAGCCATTTCTCAAAGATATCCTTAAAAAGTCTTGTTTAAAGTTTGCCACAAGACACACCAAACATGTGAAAGAAGGGGCTCTAGTCAGATGAAACCAAAATCAAACTTTTTGGCCACAATGCAAAACGATATGTTTGGCGTAAAAGCAACACAGCTCATCACCCTGAACACACCATCCCCACTGTCAAACATGGTGGTGGCAGCATCATGCTTTGGGCCTGCTTTTCTTCAGCAGGGACAGGGAAGATGGCTAAAATTGATGGGAAAATGGATGGAGCCAAATACAGGACCATTCTGGAAGAAAACCTGTTGGAGTCTGCAAAAGACCTGAGACTGAGACGGAGATTTATCTTCCAACAGGACAATGATCCAAAACATAAAGCCAAATCTACAATGGAATGGTTCACAAATAGACGTATCCAGGTGTTAGAATGACCAAGTCAAAGTCCAGACCTGAATCCAATCGAGAATCTGTGGAAAGAGCTGAAGACTGCTGTTCACAAACGCTCTCCATCCAACCTCACTGAGCTCGAGCTGTTTTGCAAGGAAGAATGGGCAAGAATTCCAGTCTCTCGATGTGCAAAACTGATAGAGACATACCCCAAGCGACTTGCAGCTGTAATTGCAGCAAAAGGTGGCGCTACAAAGTATTAGCGCAAGGGGGCCAAATAATATTGCACGCCCCACTTTTCAGTTTTTTATTTGTTAAAAAAGTTTAACTTATCCAATAAATTTCGTTCCACTTCACGATTGTGTCCCACTTGTTGTTGATTCTTGACAAAAAATTAAAATTTTATATCTTTATGTTTGAAGCCTGAAATGTGGCGAAATGTTGAAAGGTTCAGGATACTAGGGATGTAAATCGGTGACCGGTTAACCGGTGGTTGACCGTCACAGCGTTAACCGGTCAAAGCTGTCGGTTAAAAAAGAGAAAAGGGGGAGAGGGGAGGTCTCTTCATAACGCTATTTTAAGCCCTATTTGCACGATGTGACGAGCGGGTCCCTATCTAGCTGTGTGCGCCAATGTAACAGTAAACTCTGGGCCGACTCTCACGCCGTACGCGCCACATATGCACGCACACATGTACACGCACACACACACACATCCCCCCCCCCCCCCCTCCATTGACACGTAACATCCACACGCATCATCTCTCCCCTGTGTTACCGTCTGCTAGTTGCACACTGGTGCGGGTCAGAACTACATTGGAGCTTATATTTACACATACATACATACATGTATTGCACACACACACATAGCTTACATATACACACACACAGACATATATACACATACATACATGTATTGTACACACACACATACCGGTCTGTCGCGCTCCTCTGTGTCACGGAGCCCAAAGCATTCTTGCAAATACACGGCTCCAGTCAAACCACATGGACCATGTTTGTGCTGCTGGTCCTTGGCATCAGCTCCACACTGATCACTTTTAAACTTTAGCGGAGACCTGCGAGACGCGGCTCGTCACTCGCTGCCCTGACCATGTGGACGAGCTGTCTTTTGCTTAAAAATGCTTTAAGCCGCAGCACAGAAGAATGGGAAGATTAAAACAGCAGTTCTCTGTGCGCAAAGGTGCCGAAGCTGTTACGGGTTTTGGCGCCGCTGTCTCGGCTCTGATCCATTATGCCGTGTTCAGACCGATCGCGATGGAGGAGTCAGGGGCGAGTGATTTACATGTTATGTCTATGGCCGGGTGCGCTCAGGAGCGAATGACAGGCCGGCGGTGCGAATGACGAGAGTAGAGCGAGGCGAACAGGGCGTTTTGAACGAAAAGAGCGGAACGAAAGTGGCGAAAGGGGCGTTTGACGCGCGCCTAGAGCCATTTCGCCTCCACCGCCCTACTCGCTCGAGTTGAAAAATCTGAACTTTTTGGTCAATTCGCGGGGCGTTGACCAATCAGGGACTGAATCGAGCAGTGACGTAGCATTGAACAACATTTAGTTATCTAACCTAATGGACTATTAATTATCTAACCCCCACCTGAAACGAGCTTATCGTGTCTAGTTTGGCATAACTAACTGATTAGTTTGGCATAAATCTAAAAGCTAAACAGTGGCACAATGGCTTTACATGTAAAGTACTTGGATTATAACATTTGGAATCTTATTTATTGAGAACCGCTTGATTTACTAACCGAAGACAGATGGACAGGCGCTCTGCAGGGGAGATAGAGCGCCTGTAGTTGGTCTCCCGGACGGTGATCCGAGCCCCAACGCGGGACAGCAGGTCCTCAAACTGGGTCCTGGACACACGGAAATACCGCTGGAATCGACCGTCATCCAGGCGCAGCTCCTGGAGCAGATGGTGGTACTCCCCATATTGGGAGCGTCTCTGGAGGATATCGTGGACCCAGAGACGGCGTCGCTGCCGCCGCTGTTCGGCTTTCCACATTAAATAAAGTATAGTGACTCGTTCCAGAAAATCAAAGCCCGCCATGCTGAGTTGAACAACAACCGGAACCGGCAACTGGCCATAAGCTCCTCCTATTGGATGACGCGGCGAGGCGAAATCTCGACGAAAATCCGCAGGCGAACAGAGCGAGTAATCGCCGCGATAGAAGCGAGTGTCATCAAATATTCAAGCGAAAAACGCCTGGCGTTTGATGCGATTTTTTCGCCTCCATCGCGATCGGTCTGAACACGGCATAAGAATGCTCAGCTGCACATATGAAAAGTACGCGGTTCGAAATGGCTGTTATTTCAAAGAACGTGGACTATTTTAAACTACGCGGTTAACCGGTTTCAACCGGTTAATGAGGCTCGGTGGTCGGTCATGAAAATTCATAGTTTTTTACATCCCTACCGGATACTTTCGCAAGGCACTGTTGATGTTGCCATAGAAACAATAGTTCTATTCTATACCCACTCACAAACAATTAGAGGTATTTTTTTTATGACTAACACAATACAGTGGTTTGAAGTTCTCCCCATGTTGTCACATCACAACCATGTATAAAATGTATTTATAAAAAAAAAAATCTCACTTTTTGCCCTCCGCGGACGGTTATTCCTCTTTAAGCTTGGGTCCTCTGAGCTTGAGGGTTCTGCGCAGTATCTTTGCTGTTACTAGCACTTCACATTTCTGGACCGAGATTTCCGAGGTTGTTCCAGGGATCTGCTGTAACCTCTCCTCCTCCTTTGGGATATACTGTATGTATATATATATATATATATATATATATATATATAATATATATATATTATATATATATAATAATATATAGCTCAGTTGGTAGAGCATTGGCCTTAAGGCCAGAAGGTCGTGGGTTCAATTCCCACCTCTGCACCTTCTCCATCGACTCCCACTGAAGACTGCTGTCGTTGTGTCCTTGGGCAAGACACTTAACCCCACTTTGCCCAAAAGCCCCCACTGAAAGATCAAGGCTATGCTCACACTCAGAGAGCAGCCGTCCTCCTGTGGACTCACCACCTGCAGAGGGTCAGTGAGGGGCTGGTGCTATGAGACTTGGGTGGCATCTCTGACTGTCACCCCCCTGACCCAGAAATGGATTAAAGGGTAGAAAATGGATGGATGGATATATATATATATATATATATATATATATATATATATATATATATATATATATATATATATATAACAGCTTATAGAGAATATTGCACAACTGCAAACCTACCAAAACATCGTTGTCTGACCAAACAAATGGCTCAAACAAGGACTAGTCAGAGATACAGAAAAGAGGCAGTGAAAACTCTGGAGGAGCTGTAGGCTTCCACATTTCACTCATGCACAACACAAACCTGAGCTTTATTGATGAGAAGCAAATGAAAAAATATATTTTTTTGAAAGCACTGTACGTGAATCATTGTAATTCCAAATGTATGATTTAATACAACGCAATGATTAGAAAAGAAAGAAAAGTTTTTAATTATGCTATTTTAACTCCAATTTTGATAAAGGCCTCGCACTTCATAACGTCTTTTTTATTTGACTTGTACATTAAGCAATTAAAAATGTACGCAAAAAAAAAAATTGTTTGTGTCCTAATTAAATATTGCTATAAACAAACCGGTTTCTTTCTGGCTACAGGTTCGGTGTGCCTTGGGCAATGAGTGGGGGTCAGTGAGTCCTCTGCTTCAGCAGCTGCTGCGAAGGTCGGATAGTCCTGGGGCAGTGAAGGCCCGCGTGCTGCGCTGCCTGTCGTCCTGGGTGCTGCTGGATGTGCCTATAAACGAGAGCGAGAGCCTGGTGCACGACTGCTTCAGCGCCTTGTCTGACCTGGAGCTATTCGACACAGCTGTAGAGGCAATAGTCAATGCCATCTCACAGCCTGACTCCCAAAGGTGCGTCTATGTGTCACTGTGTGTGGTCAAATGACAACTTAAAACATTTTTCTTGTTGTGTTAAAACAAGTCAACATCAGTTCCAGAGCACATGCAGAATCCGATTAATACAGTGTGGTTCAATCTACGTTGAGTGACTGTGGACTAAGAAAACCTGTAGCAGGGTGGGCACTGCACAGAGGAGCCATGAGGAGGGTTCAGCAGGGAGCACTGACAGCCAGAGGGAGCAGCTTTTCCCAGGCCGCTGCCGTTGCTATAGTTACAGATCTAGGGAGATGTCAGCACGCCCTGGTTGATTCAGATACGACAGGCACCCATTACTCCTCCCCTGCAGGAAGAGAGGACCCAGATGATGGGATTCAGCAAAAGCGAAGGTGCTAAATAACAACTGATGTTGTCAGCTGATGTCTAAATTGTGAGTGGTGTCAATGATCACTGATATGCTGAGGAGATGGGACAGCCAAAAATAGAACTGTAGAGTCTTTGATTTATGTAGTGAAATGTCATGTTCATGTGTCTGTCATTTCCATGATAATCTATAAATAATCTAAAAATATTTTTGAAAAACCTTTTATGCTACTTGGTTCTTCTTCTTCCTCCATGTCTTTCCTGTTTTAAGTCATTACCATCAACTCATTTGGGGGATGCCATTGGTCCAGCTGCATCCTGTTGCCTGGCAACCCATTTCCTCATCCTCCGATAGCGTTGCTGTAATTGCAGAGGGGCAGAGGGGAGAAGTGGCGGGGGGTCGATGATAAAGGAGCAGAGTGACAGAAAGTGTTATACACTGAAAATGTAACTGTAGTTTGCCTAGAAGAAAATGCAGTGCCTTTGGTCAATTCCCTGTTCATAATGCAGTGTTTAAGATGGATAGCATAATTATACATTAATCTTATAGATTTAATCTAATCATACTCTCTGGAAGAATCCCCTTTTTCTAAAATGTTCAAAATCAAGGATTCAGTCCACAGAAACCATACACCCCAAATAAATGAAGTGCAATTAGTCAAATCTCTCAGAGCAGTTGTAACAGTTGAAATGAAACATTATCTTCAAATTACAAATTCACCAGCCTCTTTGGAACGTCACTTCTGGGAGAAGGTCTCAGTGGAGAGCACTGACTCAGAATGAGTTGTTGTTTCGGAATAGCAAAGCTGCATAAAACAAGTCAATGCAGCACATTATAAAAACACCCAAGGGAAATAAAACAAAAGTCCCACACTGTCATATACATGAGCAATATTGTTTTATTTTTGTGGACAACAAGCAGACTCCTGGCTGTAAGTCTCTTTAGCGGTTTCATTTATGTTTAAGCTACACAACCTTGTCATGTCATTGATGAAAGCAGTTGTTGATGTGCTTGACAAAGACAAAGCAGAGCCTGCTCCAGCCCCTGGGGCTGACACATGTTGTATGCTTCATGTGCACAGCTGAACACCACATCTGCAGCCACACTCAGACACTCTGCTCCCTTTAAAATGTCACCCTTTCACTTAGACATTATGGGTGGCCGCAGGATTTCTGTGATATTTAAACGTGAACAGAAGTGACTCGGCCCTGAAGAGCAGACAGGCTCTCTTGTTCTTTGAAACATGTAAATGTCAGCACATGCACCTTAGCTGAAGTGAGGGAATTAAAGATGGCTGAGACAGCAGGCTGAAGACGGGACAATAACTGACAGCTGCACAGTGTGACCTTAAGGTCTGACTGAAAACCATTTGTCCATCTCTGAAATTGTTTAATTATAATAATGTTATTTGTCAATGATTCCTTTTTTTGTTTTTTGATATCAGATACACAAACACTTTACTGAAAATGGTTCCCCAAGTGCTCGCCCTTCAGGACCAGCTCCGAGAAGCAGTACAAACTGGAGACATGGAGACGTGTCATGGTATTTGCAGGATCGCTGTCACATTTGGAGAAAACCACTCCAGGTTTGGTCCTTGTTATTTTTCTTTTTATTATTTATTGAAATCCAAACAGATACCATATGTTTTAATAATTGTATTTTTTTCATTTAAGAACTCTTCTGGAGCAGGTGGACCATTGGCAGAGCTGTCTGGCTTTAGTCAATATGATCATGTTTTGTACTGGAATCCCAGGCCACTATCCAGTTAATGAAACCACCAGTTCGCTAACATTAACATTTTGGTACACATTACAAGTAAGTATTTGCCGAACGTATGTATTGGGATGTAACAATGCATTGTACCACGTTTGCGATGCAAAAATGTCATCACGATTCTCATGTGTCACTCTATCATCGCTGTGCTTCCACTACAGAGAGTGCACACACAAATGCGCACACAGAGGTGTGTGGATTAAGAGACATGTGAATCAAGTGGATCCAACAAAACCAATTTACAAAATTATAGTAGAGGATATAGGCACTGGCCGAGTGTCAGCAGAGTGTCATATGAGAGCCTTTTTGAAGTGAAGTCAACATAAATATCTTAGTCTTATAATTATGCAATTTGTGTTGATATAACTACAATTCATATAATGCATGAATAAATCACAAAAGTCACAAAAATTAGAAAATTGTAAAGAAAATAGTGATTATTTTATTTACTGCCTTGGATAACGATACACGGTGAATCGTGGGTCCTGCATTGTGAATCAAAGTGAATTGTGAGATTCATGAATTTTTACACCCCTTGTTTTTAGGATATTATGCCGTCTTTGTCACTGAACATTTTTATTTCCTTCATCCTTTGGCAGGATGAAATCATGTCTTTCGAGTCAGACAAGCAGACAGTGTATCTGCAGGTCTACAGGCCGGTCTATTTTCAGCTGGTGGATGTGCTGCTTCATAAAGCACAGTTCCCCTCAGACGAGGAGTACGACTCGTGGTCCTCAGATGAAAAGGAGCAGTTCAGAATCTACCGGTACAAAATGATTATGACCCCATACGGATATTTTGTCCACTACACAATGTTCCCTTTTCGTGACGTTTTTTGAAGTAGCTTCCTGAGAGCATGATTGTTCTATAATTGAGTATGTTACTCTCCAATAGACTCCCTGTGGCAGTGAAATTACTAGCTATCATTTCAACAGGGTGTGTAAATGTCTTTCAGGGTGGACATCTCTGACACACTCATGTATGTGTACGAGATGCTTGGTGCTGAGCTGTTGAGTAATCTCTATGACAAACTAGGAAGGCTGTTGACAAACACTGAACAACCCACATCATGGCAGGTGAGATGAAGTCAGACAATGTGCTATAGTCTCAAATAATTATTGTTGTTCATATTCATATTTGATGGTTTCCTTCAGCACACAGAGGCTTTGCTCTATGGCTTCCAGTCTATAGCAGAGACAATAGATGTGAATTACTCCGATGTCATTCCTGGGCTAATAGGACTAATACCCAGAATAAACATCAACAATGTGCAGCTTGCAGACACAGTTATGTTCACTATTGGTAAGTCAAAGCCACTTTGATAAACCATAGATTATAGTTTTCTTACAGAGAGTCTGAACATTCCCCAGGTGCTCTGGCAGAGTGGTTGGCAGACCATCCAGTGATGCTCAGCAGTGTGCTGCCTTTAGTGCTCCAGGCTTTGGGAAACCCAGACCTTTCTGTATCTTCAGTTTCTACTCTTAAAAAAATCTGTAGAGAATGCAAATATGACCTGCCACCCTACGCAACTAATATAGTGGCTGTTTCTCAGGTATAAAGTTATTCAATATTTGACAAACAATTTGTTGATCTCACAACGTGCTGTTTTGACACTTTTTAAATATCTCTTTTTAGGAGGTGCTTATAAAACAAATACACAAGGTAAGTGAATGTTCACTTTTTATAGAAATGCTTGGCTGTATGCTAAACTCTTTGTACCACTTGTTCCTCACTTTCAGACAAGTCAGTGTATGTGGCTGATGCAGGCTCTTGGCTTCCTGTTATCAGCTCTCCCAGTGGAGGAGATCTTGAGGAACCTTCACTCCCTCATCACCCCCTACATTCAGCAACTCGAGAAACTGGCGGAGGAAACGGTATGAGTTGCAAATGACGCCAAAATAACGTTGTGCACAGTTGGACTCTGGCCAATCACAACAGCCCTTGTGTCTGTATGGTATAACAGCGGTAGAACATTTCTCTGTGGGACCAGATGGTTTTTACCCATGGGCTTTGGGCTAGAGATTCAAACAGGAACAGAAAGATTCACAATATAATAGGAAAGAAAGGAGATTGCAATGTTTACATACGACATTGCAAACAAAACTGTCATCTAATCCGGAAAGGAGCCCAAGATTTTCATAGATGTTTGTTTTGGGGGTTTTTTGGGGCAAAAAAAAGAACATTTAGTAACATAATTTTAAGTAAGTTTCCTAAGATTGCTTTCCAATGACATCAAGGTTTCTTACAAAGTCATTGGCCTCAAAACCAGAAAAACAATTGTAAGATCATTATTTTCAATCCGCTTACATTAATTAAAAATGTATCTGGATTCAGTTGTTGTGCTTTGACGTTACTGATAATAAGGCCGCAACAATTAATTGACTAATCATAATCATCTGTACTCTACACTTCCTAAAACATGTGCCAACTCACTAAAACAAAAACTGCAGGTTTTATAATTTTCATCAATATATTGGTTATTTGCACATTTCAATCCATAATGAAAGAAAATAATGTAATTAAGACAGTACTGGGAAATTCCAGTGATTTTGAAGTGGTAATGATGGAAGTCACTTGGACCCATCTAAATCCAAAGTCACATTAACTTCAGTTTATCCATATCAGATTCCGCCAACTCACTAAAACAAAAACTGCAGGTTTTATAATTTTCATCAATATATTGGTTATTTGCACATTTCAATCCATAATGAAAGAAAATAATGTAATTAAGACAGTACTGGGAAATTCCAGTGATTTTGAAGTGGTAATGATGGAAGTCACTTGGACCCATCTAAATCCAAAGTCACATTAACTTCAGTTTATCCATATCAGATTCAGATTCATTTTATTTGCCATGTGCAGTATAAAAACCATATTGGAATACATTTGCAAAGAGAGGTGCTCTGTGTGCACCAACAGAATAAAGAGCACATTTAAATATATCCAAATCACAAAAGAATATTGTGTGGTTAACTGGTGCTGAGATGCCAATAATAGGCATTTTCACTTGTCTCAAATGTCTGCTGATTTGTAGGCCATTGTGCTGAAGATATAAATATGGCAAGGACACGATCTAAAAATACTTGAATTAATATTTGCTGATTCTCTTCCTGAGGCTTTTTTTTATCTTTGTCACTTCATTCTCACAATATGCACACTCTCACACTGTTGTAGCACATCCATCTTCTCTCACTTCCTCCCGCTCTCATTGTTTTCTGTCTGGCTGTTTGATCTATTGCTATTACATCAGACTAGAAAATTGGCCCTGTGTCTGATGCTGATGATGTACAGTGGCACCTAGTGGTTAGACCCTCTTAGGTGAAATAAATATAGGGTTATAATGGGTTCTAACCTCATTATTTTACAGCTATACATTATTTTATGTTTGACTAAAAACCTGCTTTTTAGGATCCTAAAAGCAATTAACAGATTGAATATGTTTTCCTTTTTCAGCCAAATCCGTCAAATAAACTTGCCATTATCCACATCTTGGGTTTGTTGTCAAATCTGTTTACGACGCTGGACATCAGTAAACAGGACGATGACTCAGTGGACAGCTCTGCGCCTCCTGTCAAGTCCACACCACAACCACCTGGTCCCAACCCGGTCAGTCTCTGCACAAATTACTAAACTAAATATGCAAATAAATGATACATGTAACAGAAATTATTAGTAATGGAATCTGTTTGAACCATTTTATCCTATCTTTTTTGTCCATTCATTTTTGACACAAGAAACACCCCATATGACACAAGGATTAATTGTTATTTTCTTGGTTTCAGGTTGTAGTTGTTTTGCAACAGGTTTTTGCTCTTATACAGAAAGTACTCAGCAAGTGGCTCAATGACTCGCAGGTAGTAGAGGTAAGGGTTTCCCCAGAGTTATCTCCTTTACATTAAGTACATTACAAGCAATTGATCACAGTCATTTAAAAAAAAAAATGTTTTGCTGAAATCTGACCTTGTGCTGAAAAGGCGGTGTGTGCGATCTTTGAAAAGTCAGTAAAGACTCTGCTGCACGACTTTGCCCCGATGGTTCCTCAGCTCAGTGAGATGCTCGGACAGATGTACAGCACCGTCCCTCAAGCATCATCCTTAGATCTCACTCGACAGGTATTTGATAAGTCCACACATTTCTTAATGATAATTACGTTTATATATTATGGCATTTTCTGTGTTCAGATGGTACACATTTTTGCCAGTGAGACGAACCACTTCCCGCCCATCAAGGCTCTGTTTGAGCATGTTACCTCTGTAACATTGTCCATCTTCCAGCAAGGTAGGGGGTATAGCATGGGCCGACCGGAACATTCAATGTGCTTCTTATTTTACAATCGGTACAAAACCTGCATGTTCCAAATTTTAACCCAGTCCAAACAAGGACAATGTGAGAACCTCAGCGCATTTATTAAAACTGTTCCATATCTGTGTCATATTCCTGGACTAATTTGCTTTGAGTCTGGGGGCCACAAGAATGAGGTCACTGGACTCCTGACCAATAACCTTTGGACGTTTGTTCATTACTCATTAATCTAAATGCGGCTCTCTGAGATGTGATCAACACAGGGCTCCGTTTCTTCTGCACAAACCATTGACTTTTGGATCAATAGCATGTCCTGTGTAATGGTAACTCCTATGATGCTTCATGAAAATACCCTCTGAATGCATAATGCACACTTTACGGGATTAGAGCTGATGCATGGTTTCCCTTGGGCCAGAACTGCCCCCGGGTTCCTCTGCTTTTCCCTTTCTGTTTTGTGCCCATCCTTCCGCTTTCACTGGTAATGGCTGCCTCACCTCCTCCTCTAAACACCTTTCTCTGAGCAGGTGCCCTGGACAATGTGGGGAGACCGCAACAGCACACACTTATTCAGCCGGCTGCAGAGAGCTTCTAGTCCTGATGTGAGGCATGCGGCCTGTGCAGCCTGCTCAATAAGACATGTATCCGGGGTTCAGTGTGGTTAAGAATTACAGGGTTTAAAGAAAGAAAAACGTTTGGAGTCTGGGAAACAACTACAGCTGGATACTCTCTACAGACATATTCAATCTTTGCGGCTTGTGGCTTATAACATTAAGTTCTGTAGTTTGTGTCCAGCAAAAGGGAGGACGGACACCCAATCCCTTTCAACTGCATGTGTCGTACAATATTTCCTTTTGAATAAGATGGGAACACCCTGGACAGCTCCTTGTTTGTAAACTACCCCCAGAATGGCTGTACAATGTAATGTAAGCTATGCGGCTGGGAGCAGGTTCAAGGGCCTGTTCAGGTTGGCCCCATTCTCGAACAGTAGCAGAGGTGCCTCCTGGGTTCCCACTCCAAACCCACATTTATTTTTTCTTTAGGTTGGTTCTTTGTTTCTTTGATTTAATCCAGACAGTCCCATGTCTCTGTCCTCTGCCTGTTTTTGTTTTTGTTTTTGGTTGGTCTGCCACAGACTCTGCCAAAGCTTCATATGCCCCTTTTCCCCTTTGTTCCTTATACGCGTGTGAATTATTTCTGTGGGATATTTTGAGTTCTCTTTGATTTTCACATGACTGTTGAATCTGTTCAGTTGCTGTTTGTATATTATTCTTAGTCTTTTATGATTTCTTAAGTTTCATCTTTATTATATTTTAGGACCCAGGGATCATCCTGATATTGTTGATTCATTTATGCAACTCCAAGCTCAGGTGTGTTTTTGGTTTCTTATTTCATTCACTTTGGGTTTCTCTCTCTCTTTTCCTGATTTCTTCCTGTTTCTCCGTCTTCCCTTCTCCCTGTCCTCTGGGCCCTGAGGTGCCCATCATAAAGGCGAGACAATGGAATGACATACTAGGGCATCTTTTAAGTGCTGTGGAGTCAAATGGTCACGTTTTCAAACAATATAGATTAAAAAAATGTTATTGAATAGTTATAAGTAAAAGGGATAAATACCGGTACATAAAATGAATTACTATGTGTCCTTTACTGTATGAAGATATTATTTGCTAAGATGTGTTTGTGAATCATAAAAAGCAAAGGTGCAGAAATGGCACATTGTAGGTTCATTTATCTTGTGTTTTGTTGTTTTTAAATTTTACTTCATCATTGATTTGAAAATATATATATTGATAATATTGAGTTTGAATTTAGTTTGAGATGACCTTTTTTGTCACAGCCATGCCCTTTTCAAACTCATTCCAGAGCCAAATGAATTAATATTTCAGTAATATTAATCAGTTGAGACAAGTTGGCTGATGGCTCTCCTTTTTATATTTTTGTCTTCTGTCCTCATCCTACTCTTCATTTTCTATCTTTTGATAGATCTGCTCTCCATCTCTCTCCTCTCCATCTGAATGAGTTCATTATTACAGTTATATTTATCTGCACATGTTGATTACTCACTTAAGTTGCATTCAGTCCAGTCAACCAAAATAAGCAACATTCAATTCAAACTGAGTCAAAGCAACAAAGCCAAAGTCATCATTACATTTAGTTTGAATTTCTAATTGTTTTATAGTTTAACTTTTTGGAATTAATTTGTTTACACTTTTTTTCAATAGATGTATATATTTGTATAGTTGCAGTAGTAGCCTGGTGGATAGATTTGTCCTTGTTTCAGTCAGATCTTTCCACCAGGCTGAAGGGGATTCTTGATTGTAATAACACAGGTTTAATTTTGTGATACAGTGAAACTTGACTTCGACCTACAAAACATTCTTGGTTAAGTGTCTTATGTCCATTTTAGGCTCTCAAGCGAAAATCCGATTTATACTTGTCTGAAAGTCTGGATATAAAGGCGGTGTTCCACTGTGGTGAGTCTCTTTATGCTGCCTCAAAGAATGTAGTTTTTGTGAGACGTATAAACATAATGTGTTGTTGTTTGTGTCGGTTCCAGGAGTCCTGTCGCTGAAGTTCCCAGAGGCTCCAACTGTCAAGTCGACTTGCTTCTTCTTTGTAAGCTTATTGCACAATGTTTCACATTGATCGACAGCTTGTGGCTGTATCTAAATCTATTTTGCCTCTTGTAGACTGAACTATTACCCCACTGCTATGATATTCCCCCAGTGGCTAGGGTTGTTGAGCAAGAGGGTAAACTTTTACTCCAGGCAGTGTTAGAGGTGGGTGTTTTGAAACTGGAAGCAAACGTACATTTGAACTGTAACTAATTACTATAACTTAATTGTCGTACCTTTCAGGCCGTTGGGGGCGCAGCATCTCGTAGCCTTATGGACCAGTTTGCAGAAGTGCTCTTTGCCCTGAACAAGCACTGCTTTGCACTCCTCAACATCTGGCTGAAGGAAGCGCTGCAGCCGCCTGGCTTTCCCTCTTCACGGGTCACAACTGAACAGAAGGAACGCTTCTGTCAGCAGATACTCAGGTATCACAAACACGTAGTGTGCTGTTGTATTTGATTTGATTGCTTATGATATGATTTTGATGAATGTTTGATGACTCCACAGAGAACGTGTAAACAAAAGGAAGGTGAAGGAGATGGTCAAGGAGTTTACTCTACTGTGCAGAGGGCTTCATGGGACAGAGTACGCTGCAGAATACTGACTTAACTTTTAGTGTCTCCTCATCATGACCTCATCTGCTAAGAGCTGGATCCCATTATCACACCTGTGAAGACATCATGAAATGATTGTAATTACAATACACTCACTGCAGGACGAGACTTGACCTATTATCCACTGTGGCTTTTGGGACACGGCCCTCTGCTTCGGTTTCTTCTGATTGTTATTTTAAAGTCTTTAGGGGAAGCAGCAGTCCCAGCATGCTGCCTTTTGTCTCCTATCTTCTTGTTCTGCCTTTCTAGATCTTCCTGTGATAATGAGGTTGTTTCCTAGTGGTTAGCATTGATATGAAATGGTAGTGGTATCATACATAGCTACTTCAAATGAATTATATTCGTGTACTCTGCATATATATACACATGTAAATGTATGGAGGTTGTCAGTCCTGCTGCTAATGGGAAGAATTTTGCCAAAAAAGTTCAAAGAAGAAATCTACAAGACTTAAAAAACAAACACAGAACACACTGCTTTTCTTCTATAAGCAAGGTTTATACTCTGTTGCCTGCATTTGCCAAATCATACTTGGTGACCGTTGCTTCTGTTTGATCAAATGCATTTTTATATTTTCTCGTGGTACTTTTACACTACAGAACTTTGACATAAATCATTGTAGCTCAAAGATAATATGGTAACAAAGAAGGGACTTGTGAGCAATTGGTTATCCTCAAGTTGGATTGGTTGGTCACTGTAATCCTGCAAAAATGTATCAATATGTGTAAATGATTGTTCTTATAACCGAACACTTGTGTGTTTATAGATATGTACTGTATGTATGTATGTATGGCTGTGTGAATGGTAATGTGCACTCTTTTCACTTGTGCACTTATAATGGACCTACAAATGTTACCTTATTGTTTTAGTAAAAACTTTGTTTTACTAATACTCATTTATACTCAGCAAATGACCAGGCACATTATATTTTATCACCACTCAATTACACATATCTTATTAAAGGGCCAGAAAATTATATCAAATCTAATCTGTTATTTATCTATTCTACACCGACTGTTGCCCTTATGCTTACGAATAAGACCCAAAAACTATCCTTTTGGGTCACTGCCTTGGAGAGGACCAAGAAGGATTATGAGTTAGTAGAGAAATGCATTTGGAGTAACATAAATCTTTGCTTAACTGTTCTTGTACGATATTGTGGATAAAGTGACGGTTGTATAAAGTAGAAAGCTGTGTGGATATCTATTAGCTCTCAGTCAGCATTGAAATGTACTACTATGTGCTCTATCTTAATCTCAGTCTAATCCTTCTGTCTTATCCAAGGTGCCTGCAAACATGTAGCATGTATGTGTTTTGTGAGGGGGTCTGCTCTGTGGTCTCGGGCGCAAAAGACGAAGAAAGGCTTCTGTAGATGCCCAAGAACATGTAAACTGAATCAGCTGTCCTGCCACTTAGATGAATATAACTGTGAATAATTGGTGGCTCTACCTTTGTTCTCCATCAATGAGTAGGAAGTGGTGGTTGTTACAAAGTTGAAGGTGGAAGAGAGGAGGGTGATGTAAAATGTACATTGTTTTTGTACCTCTGCTTTAATTTATTAAATATATCTAAGAGAACGAGTGTGTCTTTTTAGAGTTTTTGAAGTTAATCCAACTTGGTATTCTAACGTGGTAAGTTGAAAACATGAATCAGATACATAGACGAATCTCCCAGCTGGAATAGTTTTAACAAGTTTGAGTGGAAATAATAAGCTTCCAAATTGAAAGAGCGTTGTCTGTTGTGCGAGACTGCGCATGCGCTTTCCAGCTGTTCGCACGTGGAGGTCCATCCTGTCCAGTCCCGTGTCTAAACCACGCGCGCTTCATTTCGGAGCTGAGGTCTACCCCCGGGACCCTCTGTCCTGCCCTGATCCTGGTGCTCGTCCTGGTCTGAGAAACTTCTGAATCCAGCTACAAGTAAGTTTTACGCGTTATATTTCGTTTGTGCTAATGCTACTAACTTTTAGCTGCACGCAGGTTTGATCTGTAACTTGTATCTAGCAGCGACAGTTTGTAACTTTGTGGCGATGGAGCATCACGTTAAAACCGTAACTCTGATTACCAATGGCTTGTCAGTAATAAGTAAACTGTTTGGGTTTCAGCTTCCTCGGTTCCTGTTACATGCATCACTCTGGCAGCCATCTCACTGTCACGATGCATGCATTTTCAGTGCAATAAACAAAATTAATTTCCTTGTATTTGACTAAGAATGCCTTTAACGTATTTAACTTTCCCCTGAGAGTCCATTGTAGAACATACAAACCAAGAATTAATCTAGAGCTTCATAGCAGAAAGTTCAGAAAAGTACCTTTATCGGCATCATTGGTTGCAGTGTTTACATTTACTGAAGAAGCTGGCAGCTGTAGCCAACGATTACTTTGATAATCGAAACGTTCACTGATCATTCCTCTGATACTCGATTAGTTTAGATTCCATAAGGTCAGTGAATATGGAATTTTAAAAACATTTTACCACAATGAAGCTCAAGTGATGCCCTTGGAGAACCTCTTCATAGAAAACTTAAAAATATTATCGCACAATTTTAATTCTGCTGTAATTATGGATTTGTTCGAGTCATATTTAAGTCATTAAATAGGAGTGATTAATCTATGAATTTGTTGCAGCCCTACTTAAAACCTAATCAATCTCTCAAAGGAATCAAACGACAAGAATGTACAGAAGCTTGTTGGTTTGGCTCTGATCTTATCTTGACTTTTGGCCTGTTGCCTCCATTAAAGGTCCAGTGTTTTGTAGTCACAAGACAAACGTCCTTAAACATGCTTGTGATTATTTTGTCAGAGATGGCTGTGGTGCAGTTCTACAGTTCTGAGTGTGTCCGTGCTCGGGCCTTACAGAGGGCAGCCAAACTCTACCCACAGCTGTCAATCACCACTGAACTCTGCTACAATGTGGGGCTGTCAGGTAAGCTATAAACTGTGTAGAAGCTGCCTACTCCATCTTTGTTTTGTCCAATATCTCGATAAGACTGCACCGGTCCAGCATTGTGCAGCACTGTGCAGCTTCCCTGGCCATATTTCTCCATTTTAAAGATCATTTTAGTTCAGTGTCAGTGATGAGTCAATTACATTATTATAGATGAATATGCAATATACATCAACCTATCAATGTTCACAAACTTGTTTTTAGTTGTAACAAATACAAAAGTAATACATTTTGGCTGTCCTAACCTTTATAGAAAGCAGATTATCTTTAACATACTTATTGGCTGATAGCTGATTGGCTAAGCATGAGTAGTCTTGTGTTTTTCACTTTTCTGTCTGAAAAAGTTGATCTGAAGTGACAGAGGCAAGAAACTAGTTTTATTAATCGTATTACATAGTTTCTTTGTTCGTGTTTTGAAAGTTGTGTTTCCTGGCTTATATTATTGAGACCATATAATTAATTAGGAAGTTGAGGTAAATGTAACAAGTCTTTAAACACCGGACTATATATTTTTTTCAGGATGTGAGAATCTTAAAGAGGACCAGCGTGAGATTCTGCTTTGGTTGTTTCGTCCGCCTCTCCAGTCCCAGCCCCTGTCTGATAAACCCACTCTGACAGAGGGCAACAGGGCAACACTGGTGGAGATTGGACCAAGGTAGGTGGACACTTGTGGCTTTCAATTGCAGATGTCTTTTAAAGGGGATGTCTGCAACTAGTATTAATGTCTGCAACTTGTATATTCATTTAGAAAATGATACATATTTTTTGACCGTATAGCCCTGTAGAATCGCAATTTCACAATATATTTTAACAATGCTCTTGGAATAAGCATCACCAGTAAAATATTTGGAGAATAGTTAGACCACTGGTTAGAGGCCTATCTATCAAGGATTTAAATGTCCAAACGGAAAGCTGTGGTTATGCGTCTAACAGGCAGTTATATTTAAAAAAGTCTCTTCATCTTCACAATTTGAAAAGTAACTAACCACTTTAAGGTTAAAATATACTGCTAAACTGTTTTTAGGCTGAACTTCTCCACAGCCTGGTCAACGAATGCTGTGTCCATCTGTCAAAGTGTCGGCCTCACAAACGTCTCACGCATCGAGCTGTCCCGGAGGTTCCTCATCAAGGTTTGAAATGGCAAAACACTCAACATACCTCTTTTTGCTAATGCTAACATGTCTCTGATCGACAGCCCTCAAAATCGTATACTGGGAACTATGAAGAAGACATAAAGAAGCTGATCGAGTCTTTGTATGACGGTATGACTGAATGCATTTATCCAAATCCCATCACATCATTTGCTGTGGAGACCAGACCTCAGCCCGTTTTTGAGGTGGACATTTTGGGAAAAGGTCGTGCGGCGCTGGAAAAAACGAATGCAGATTTGGGTAAGATTTGCCCCACTGTATCCTTGGTTCTTCTCTTAAATGTCACGTCCTCTTGGAGAACATGTCAGCTGATGTGTGACATTGATAATTAACTTGTTAAAGTCACGAGACAGAAAACATGCTTCTCATTAGTCCTCAATGCATTTGCTAATAAGTTCTTAAAGCGTTATGAACTTCAGACTTGGATTAAGTTTAACAGGGACAGAATACAAACTAGCAAATGTGGCTTTTGGGCCAACATTTTTAAATAAATGTAACTTACGTGTTTACTTTTGTACCTACAGACATCGGCCTAATTCAGGATTTATTATTGGGGGAAATTAGTTCATTTGTAATTAACATAAAATTCAAAGGGGAATTTTTTCCTCAGAAACGTGTAATGTGAATATTATTTAGATTTGTTATGATTGTTTGCGTGTTCCTGTCATCTCCTTCATTTACAAAGTCCTCAAGCAATTCGGAGAAGATCTGAATCCCTCCAGAATAGTTTAAACTTTCACTTTTATTATTAGTATTAGTAGCTTTTATTTCAATACACAAATGCAGCGACACTTTAAAAATCAGACTATGTACTGGCCTGCTTTACGCTTTTGGGCCAACATTTTTTAATTGTGTTTTTTTTTTAAATCACAGGTCTTGCCTTTGACTCGTGGGATTTGGACTATTACACATCAATGTTTCAACGAGTGAAAAGAAATCCTACAAGTGTGGAGTGCTTTGACCTGGCACAGTCCAACAGGTGAGCTGTCTGCATTTTCATTCATCCAGTCACTATTACAGATTATCGTTACATTACTGATTTACTGCTTCCACTACTGCTCAGGTGTACATTCTGGTTTGTATGTGGCAGGCATGTCCAAACAAAGGTCCCTTTGTGACATTATTTGTGGCCCTCTGACTTGCTAACATCATGTAGTCATTGTGGTACGTTCACAATCATCCAGCCAACTTCAGCTCCACCATTATAGTCATGCTATGCTTTGTTTTTTTCTGGATTCTGGCTGTTCTGGGCCATTTACAGTTTTACAATCCATGTTGGTGACCCCTGGACACGTCTGGTTAACTCAAGTGGCTCTCTTACTAAAACGTTTGGTCACCCCTAGTATACAGTGTTAATTGAGACACGTTTCCAAGTTTCCGCTTAAGTCTTCAGTTTGAGTGAGAAGTTTGAGAAACGCTGTTGTAATGCTTTAAAAAGCTTTGCCTGCACACTTTTCCTTCAGCGAGCACAGCCGGCACTGGTTCTTTCGTGGCCGAATGCTGATTGATGGAGAGGAGCAGACGGACACACTCTTCAGTCTCATCATGGACACACAGCAACACACCAACCCCAACAACATCATCAAGTTTTGTGACAACAGCAGGTTAGAAAGTGTGGGGGGGAACAAAAATATCACACCAGACATTTGATGTTGTACACTGTGACAATAAAATATGGCAGAACTTATTGGATTATTACAACAACAAAAATCATAATTTATTTTTATTGATTTTACAATGCGAAATGTCTGCAAATGAGTTGGCATCTACATATCCCCAAAATACTTGAAGATTTCTATTATTTAGAAACCCCAGTTTTGTGGAGTAAAGTTCCATTATTTTGTATGAAATGTTGTGTGTGTCTCTAGTGGAATCAGAGGTGTGGAACTGGACTGTCTGTATCCTAAAGACCCATCTCAGGCCAGTTTGTACGAGACCCGACCATCTCTCCGTCACGTCATCTTCACTGCAGAGACGCACAACTTCCCAACAGGTTTGACAGAATCTATTGCTGAATATTTTATTTTTTATTACCAAAAATACGATAAAATTATGGTTGAAATATGCTGAAATAAATAATATATTTTATTTACTATTTATATTGTTCCATGTATAGGCTGTGTGCTTTATACTGCCGTAAACTCCGGTCAATTATTATGTCCCTACATGTTAATCTCAGTTATATCCCATCTGACCACTCAGCGAGTGGGCAGGCGGGTGTTGTAGGTAAGTTTTGTGACGTCAAGAGTTTGCAAAATTTGCTGGTTGTAGTTTGGCAATGGCGGCGACTGCGATAATGAAGTACTCCTTTCTTGTTTGGCTCCAAATATCCAGAAATTGAAGCCAGAGCAAGAGGAATGTTTAGGAAATGTAATTGCTGGCAAAGATGTGCTACTCTCCATAGTTAGTGGCAAAGGAGATGGCTAAATGCTTGCTCACTCGGGCGCATTACATACGTCACGACAAACTCCGTTTCAATCTGCAAAAGGAGTTATTTGTTCTGTGTTTTGATTTGTGTGTGTGTTTTTTTTTTTAAATGTGCGTGTATTTTTTTGCAGGCGTAGCCCCCTTCAGTGGAGCCACCACAGGCACAGGGGGCCGCATCAGAGACGTCCAGAGCGCAGGACAAGGAGGTCACGTCATCGCAGGAACCGCTGGCTACTGCTTTGGAAACCTGCACATCCCTGGTCAGTCCTTGTTAATTCTCTCCTTCTGAACACTTCCTGTATATTTAACCTAGTGTGCATTCACTTTTCTCTTGAGTTGAGATTATTTTTGTCCAAATATTATTGAAAGTACATTGGAAAAACACAATATATTCTTTTATGCATGAAGGCTACACGCTGCCCTGGGAGTGCACAGGAGAGGGCTGGGATTATCCTTCCAGCTTTGCTTCTCCGCTGCAGGTCGCAATAGAGGCCAGTGATGGTGCCTCCGACTACGGCAACAAGTTTGGAGAGCCGGTCTTGTCAGGTACTGTATGGAAATATTTTAAAGGACATTGGTATTTCTGTGAGTGAGAGAGTGAGCGGTCTTAAATATATTAAAATGTTACATAAAATGAAGAAATACAATCAATAATTTATTGCACAAAAAGTCAATATAGCAATCAAGTCGGTCAAGTAATCACTAAAATGCCGTGCACACAGCAGCAATTGCATCAAAATTCAACTGTAATTTGTTACTGTTGTCAATACAACTCTTTGAAATAGAAAAGGAAAATGTCCAAATATTTTCCCAGATCATTATTTGATGTGAATTATTTATATCTGAAAGTATCCACTGGCCAACTGTGTATGTACATTAGGGTGGTCCTTAAATATGGAAGTTGGCAATTCTAAACTACAAACCCATGAAATTTGTTGTATTAACTGAGAAAACTCTCCTCATGAATTGGACCTCCTTTACCCCTCCCTCGGTGACCTTTAAATATTTCCCTCCGGCTCCTGGAATACAACATATAACCGAACAATTTTGAATAGAATTTAAAGTTTTAACATCAGAAGTGATATCAAGCAATTTAATCTACGATTTACGTGTATGAAAAAGGACAAATATCATTGGTGATGAAAATTGTAAACATGCAAAAGTTCAAAATATCATCATATGACTGAGATCTTTCTGGAGCTGCTTTTCAATCCGGATACAAGCTCCATTGCATCGACCAGTGTTGGAGGCTGTTGTTTCAAACGACATCCCCCCGATACGCTCAGCAAGGCCCCAAACTTCTAGTGCCCCCACAACTGCTTTGACTATTTAATAATAATAATAATGCATCGGTTTTATATAGAGCTTTTTTGGACACTCAAAGACGCTTTAGAAGCGAGGCAACAAATATGCGCCATCGGCCCCTCCGACCACCACCAACCATTTTCATATATATATATATATATAATTAGGGATGTCAAAATTATTGCGTTAACGCACGTTAATTAATTTTTTTCATTAATCGCGTTAAAAAAATTAACGCATTTGACGCATGCCCATGCGTCCCATAATAACACTCAGAATGCTGCGGACACATGCACGTGTAAGATGGGGACAGAGCAGGTAGGCCCTCTGGGAATTCAAGTTTTGAAAGAATACACGCGTGACCGCGGGGCACTTGTTGTTTCCTGTATGAACTCTGCATGATGAGCTGCGGGCGCGACAGCGCTCTGGACAGTTCCCACTTCCAGCGACTGTGATCACGGCGAACGGCGCTGCGTAATGGGATCATATCCAAGACCACGCACAGAACTATTACAGAACCCTTCTCTAGTGTGCGTACGTGTCTTTGCGTAACCGATGCACACAATATCTACAGCGCTGAAGCTGGACTGCGGAGCCTCAGACTCCTTCGTGTCTTCTCCCGAAGCGCACTCGCTAAATTAAAGCTGAGGTACCTAATTTTCCTTTCGACTACCAGTTCATGTTAATTGTGCCAAAAAAAGTAATGGTGAGAGAAAATCAAACAGATTTAATGACATTCTGCTTCAGACTATTTTGAAATGTCCCTCATCTGTAACAAACAATGGTTTTGGTCTGAGTCTAAACAGAAAGACAGAATGTTAATAATGTTGATTCCATTTTATATGGATTTATTGTTATAACAAACAAATACAGTACATATGTTCACTAAGCTTTCCGTTCAAACAACCATTTACAGAAAAATATGCCATAATTTTGCCAATAGTTTGAAATGCGATTAATTACGATTCATTAATTTTTAAGCTGTAATTAACTCGATTTAAAAAAATAATCGTTCGACAGCCCTTATATATATATATATAAAATTATATTTCATAGCCTGTTCCTCTCGGCAGTTTGGGGACACTGACGAGTTGTACAGAACCATTGCCTGAGACCAGAATGGGAAGTTGTTCTACATTTTCTTATGTCGTTTTGTTTTCATTTTAGAAGCATAGTTTGATATGTTATTTCCCTCTGGTAAGTGATGGGGATGAATAAGGCTGAACTCGTGTGTCATTGAGGGAAGGGTAAATGTTGTTGGAATTAGGAAAAAATATACCAGGAGAGTTTTTTTCAGCTATTCCAACAAATTGAAGGGGTTGGAGCTGAAAAAATATGAATTTTAAAATGTGCTATTCTGGAAGCACTGCCCTAATGTACATGAACATGATTTTGAATGTCGTCACCACTTCAAGACACTTAATTTATGAGAAAATTCATATGGATTCATTGTTCAAGGAAAGTTCTTCTCAAACTATAAGCCCTTTGGAAGGTTGTGATGTCACATGAATGCAACCTAATAACAAAGAATAGTTTTTCATGGTGGTGAGTGGTTAACACACTCGCTTCTCAGCGAGAAGGTCCTAGTTCAAATCCTGTTTGGAACCAGGCCTTTTGGAGTGGAACCCTAACCCTCTCCCCGTGTCTGCTCTGGTTTCCCTCAGATGCTCTGGTTTTTTAAAGTGTGTTAATTCTTAACCTGAAGATTTGAGGATTTGGAAGTCTGCTCTGCTTATGCTTTGTCTGATAGAAAACCTGCTGCCACACTGGCCCTTCCGGGACTGGTTGCAGACCCCTAGATACATTTAAGTTTACAAAATATAGTTAAAGGAATAGGCCACCGTTTTTACATACTGACATATGTTCTTACCTTACCTTAGACTAGTTGATATGTACCTGTCTGGTCTTTGTCCGTGCGCTCTGTCCAGTACATACTGGTCCAGTACATTCCACATACTGTCTAGTTCCAAATCAGCTCCTGTTAGAAGCTACCAAACTCTTCCACGTGTTCCCTATTTAAATACAGTTACGTGACGTGTTACTCTACAAAGTAGAGTAACACAGAAATTTAACATAAATCTTAGAATTAAAAGTGATTCAGAGGTAATCGAGTAATGGGTCTGGGTTATCTGCCACTGAAAGGTCATTTGTGTGCAGGTTTTGCCCGTTCTTTTGGGATGCGGCTGAAGAACGGTGAGCGGCGAGAGTGGATCAAGCCGATCATGTTCAGCGGAGGCATCGGCTCCATTGAAGACGGCCACATCAAGAAGGCAGAGGCAGAGACGGGTAACTGGCCTGTGAAAGATCCTTAGCCGATGCAAATTCTATTTTTACGCTTGAGTTCAAAGCTCTGATCATTGAGTCACCGCTGCCCCCTGCTGTTTGTGCCGATCAGGGATGGAGGTGGTGAAGATCGGAGGCCCAGTTTACAGGATCGGTGTGGGAGGTGGAGCGGCTTCATCTGTGCAAGTATGAACCTCAAGAAAAACTGACGACTGAACTATAATAACACAAGCCATGACCACTGGAAAGTCTGACTTATGGGTTAAAATTATTCACCTACCTACTGACGGAACACACACTAAGTATAGTTTTATAGTTAATCCGGCAGAGGTCATCTGGGACTCGGAGGATACTAAACATTGGCACTTTAAGGTTCTAAGGACATTCTAAAATTATTCATAAATTTAAGCAGCATTGATCTTAAGTCTATTTTGTTCTTTTTCAAATGTCAAAGTATGACGGATAACTGAAGGAACATTTATTTTGTATTTTTTGTCAATCTTCTTTAACATTTCGTATTATTTAGCTAGATATTCTGTAAATGTCTATTTTCCAAAAATTTATTAATTTATAGTTTCTTTCTATTCTCAAACCGATGGATGTACAGATTGTTGGCCATATTTTGACAATTAAGAATGATGACGCAAAACAAAAAAAAGTCTGCCTTTAAACTCTTAAGAACAACTGCAGTTTATTAACAGTGGTAGAAATTCAGTTTTGCATGTTTCTCATCTGCTTGCAGAATCTTCAACAGTTCTATACAGCAGCTCTTTACTCTGCTCTATTCTATCCCCATTCGGAGCATTTCCAGCAGCTCTTTAACTGGTTTCTGATCCGTTTTAGTTCCTGCTTTTTCGGGTTCTAATTTAGCCGCGAAGAGTAGAACCGGTGTAAACAGGACTACGGCTGTATTCGATGAATTTGTAGCGTGTTCTTTTTTTCTAGTCAAAGTGATGGCTCTCTAGAATTTTTAAATGAATGTATGTGTTTTGTGTGTTTTCAGGTTCAGGGGGACAACTCCAGTGAGCGGGACCTGGGTGCGGTGCAGAGAGGCGACGCAGAGATGGAGCAGAAGATGAACCGAGCGCTGAGGGGCTGTTTGGAGAGGAGCGAAGGAAACCCCATCTGCAGCATCCACGACCAGGGCGCCGGTGGAAACGGTAACTCGACAAACATGGAATGTGTTGTGTGGCGAAAATTATTATTAGATTATTATTGATTGGTAATAATTGGGATTGGTCCAGAATTGTAGTAATTGAGAGAAAGAATTGTTATCCTAGCTGTCCTGTCATTATTAAAATATTTACTTGTGATATTTAGTTTTCTTCATGCACAAGCTAAGGATTAAACCATTTGGGTTTAACAAAATGTGTCTCATTCACTTTAATAATTTCATCATTAGGTAACGTGCTTAAAGAGCTGAGTGAACCGGCTGGAGCTGTGATTTACTGCAGTAAGTTCAAGGTAATATTTGCATTATAACTCTAAAAATGTAACTGTAAGCACAGTGAGTCAAGGACACTTTCTATACGGAAAGCTCTCCCACAAATGTTTGCTTTTTCTTTTTATTTCCGTTATTAATAATAATAATAATAATTAATAGTAATTCAAAATATGTCAGACCCACTAAGACTCAGACTCACTAAGCTGCAGCAGTAGTTATGGAATTATTGTTTAGCAGCATATATTGTATTTTTACAAGTTTCTCTGGTCGAAATAAGATGCTTGGTCTTGTTTGTCCCCTCAAATATTGAGCTACACAATAAATGCATCTTGAAGCTTTAGTTATTTAGGACTGTAATATTTTCTGCAGAAAGGTGACCCAACGTTGAGTGTGCTGGAGCTGTGGGGCGCAGAGTATCAGGAGAGCAATGCTTTACTGCTGCGCCCATCTGACAAAAACTTCCTGCAGAGGGTCTGTGCGAGGGAGAAGTGTCCGGTCGACTTTGTGGGAAACATCACAGGAGACGGCAAGGTACGGCCAGACCCGATCCATAAGTGCTCTTTGGGTTCAGTTCTGATCAATAAGTGCACTTTGGGCTTGTTATAATCAATGTCCTCTTATGTTCTGAGCTTATTGACTTGACTTCTAATCATAACGCTCTCTTAGATCACACTGGTGGATGATGAGCAGGTCAGCGGAGGTCGCCGTCCCGTTGACCTGCAGCTCGAGTGGGTTTTGGGGAAGATGCCGCAGAAGGAGTTCAAGATGGAGCGCGTGAGCTCAAAACACAAGCCCCTGGTTCTCCCTGAGGAGCTCACAGTGAGAGCGGCTCTGGACAGAGTGCTGCGTTTACCCGCCGTGGCATCGAAACGATACCTCACCAACAAGGTCAGTGTGTCTCCTCACTTATTGTTTTTATTTAAACCAACAAATGGTAACAACAAAAAATTGGATTACTGTAAATCTCAAATCTGCAAAGACCGCAGGAGTGGTATATTCCCTCTGTGAGGTGAGCTGGATATAAGGAGGCTGTTACAATTAGTACAATATGTTGTAATTATCCAACATTTGCGAATTTTACAATTTGTGATCTCAAAGTGACCCAATATACGGCATGTAAAAAAAGAACCAAAAAAGCTGAAACCAAAATCTTTGGATTTGGTAAAGATCTCTGCTTTAAATGAACTTTAAATGGAGTATTTATATTATGACCTCTACCAGGGGGTGATGGTTTATGTAAGTGGTAAGTTATGCATGAATTTAGGCAAAGTTCAGGAAACTTTGGAAATGGGATCTCAGATTTGGGAAGAATTAAGGATTTTATTTAAGAAACTGCATTTTTCTGGTTATGAAATGTAGCATAATTGTTTATATGCCATACTGGACCATTTTTAGATTGGAGCATTATCATTGTTCTGATTGAACCTGTATCTAAATGGCTCTGTATGTAGTAGCCTGATGAAGTTGCTGTTGCACAGGTGGACCGCTCCGTCACTGGACTGGTGGCGCAGCAGCAGTGTGTGGGACCCCTTCACACTCCGTTGGCTGATGTTGCTGTTGTCGCGCTGTCTCCGTTTGGCCTGGAAGGAGCAGCCACCGCTATCGGGGAGCAGCCCATCAAAGGCTTGCTCAACTCTGCCGCCGGAGCACGCATGGCCGTAGGGGAGGCCCTCACTAACCTGGTGTTCGCCAAAGTTACTGATCTGAAAGTGAGCCGGTTTTAATGCATGTATTTACGTTTTCGAAATTCAAATATACCCCGTTACCATTATTCTACCCTGGGATTTTTTTACGCAGTGAAGGTATGCTACTTTTTTTGTACACCACTGAGTTTAAGATAATATTTTGTTCAGGATGTAAAATGCAGCGGGAACTGGATGTGGGCTGCTAAGTTGCCTGGCGAGGGAGCATGTCTGTGGGATGCCTGCAAAGCCATGTGTGAGGTGATGGGGCAGCTGGGCGTGGCCATCGATGGGGGCAAGGACTCTCTGAGCATGGCAGCCAGAGTGGGCAATGAGACTGTGAAGGCCCCTGGTAACTTATACATCATCTTGTTTACAGTTGTGCTTGAAAGTTTACTCTGCCAGACATAGGTGTCATTGGGGTTGTGTGAAGTAATGTATTGTCAAATTATACATGTGTTTTCTATTTCCAAATGTACAGTAACATCATTAAGCAGATCTGTAGAGGGCTCAAACATGCAGCTCATGCCCAGGAATGTAAAGGAACTGGGGGTTTGTTGCCAAGAAGAATGGGCATCTTTAACCTCATCCACAACGGCAACAAACTGTCATAGACGTTAAATGACAATTAGAAGTTTAAATCCCCTGACCCTTTTGAGTGTTTTTTTTAAATATAATCTACAGCTATAAAACATGTTTATTTGACAATAAATGACTTCACGCTAAAACTAGCTATGAGTGAGGAGGTTTTTGCGATAGTCAGTCATCTCTTAAATATGGCAAACAAATTGACGTTGCTACCTGGGTGTGTGTTCTTTCATGCACAACTGTACATTTAAATCAACATGTGCTTAAGAGGTCCACCTTAATCTTATACTTAACATCTTTTTTTCAGGGGCTTTGGTTATTTCGGCCTATGCTGTGTGTCCTGATATCACTGCTACAGTAACTCCTGATCTTGAAGACCCAGATGGCAAAGGTAGACTCTTCTTCTTCATCTATTTAAATGTGTTCCTCCAGCACTAGGTAGAACTACTATCATTGTGGGTGAATATTGGGACACAGAATGCATCATCATAGACGTATTTTATGTATATCTGCTGTATTTCGGACTGGTTTCCGCAGGTGTGTTGTTGTGGGTTCCTGCGAGTCCCAACTGCCATCGTTTGGGAGGCTCGGCTCTGGCTCAGTGCTACAGTCAGCTGGGGGATTGCTCGCCGGACCTGGACCAGCCCCAGCTACTGTCCGCCTGCTTCAACACCACACAGACTCTCATTACTGGTTAGAGCTCTCGTCTTTTGAATGTATAATGAATGTGTCTTATTGTATATTTTTCTTAATTTTCTCTTGTATATTTTTTACCATTATATATCATGGTATGATGCAACATACAACAATGTATGACAGAAGATGGCAATGATTGCGATTCTGAAATGATCTCTGATGATTGCAGTTCTGTGTCTAGCAGTGATGTACAAAGAAATAATGTTGTTTCAGATGGTCTGCTGAGCGCTGGCCATGACATTAGTGACGGAGGTCTGATTTCCTGTGCTTTGGAGATGGCTTTTGCCGGAAACAGAGGAATAGAACTGGAGCTGTCCTCACATGGAGCTGGAGGCGAGTTGATTTCATTTGTCTTATTATTATGTGTTCCAATATATTTTTTTAACATTTTGAAAGTTTTTGTTGTTGTCATTTTTTAAGTGATGGAGCTGTTGTTTAGCGAGGAGCTCGGTCTGATCCTAGAAGTTTCTCAACATGACGTTGAAAGAGTTTGTCGGAAATACACAGACGCAGGTGTGCAATGTCATCAGATTGGAAAAACGTCCGGATTTGGACCCAGTTCAAAGGTAGGACAACCATGATATGAACGATCAGTTGTAATAGGGCTTAAATCATACCAAAGAATAGCAGTTTAAACAATATTTTAATTTATGTTTACAGTATATCAAAGGATGTGGTCTGTGGTCATCTGTCAAATCTTTTAACTTAATTTTCAGTCTAATCTGAAATGCTCCTTTTAACACCTTGTCACTTTGGAATGAGTGGGTGAAGCAAATGCTGACGTCACCCATAGCGTCTTTCTCGCCACATTAGTAGCTAATTAGAGCAACTCAAACAGGCCCCATGGGTGGGATTCTGAAGCCTTCTCGAATAGCAACTACCCAGTAACCAAAGAGCAAATCAAGAGCTGCGCTGATGTATTCACTTCTTAAGAAACAGAAGCGTATTATTTTCAGGCACCCAGTCTTTACCGCGTGTCTTTGCCTTAGATCGTTGTGTGTGTGGATGGTCAAGAGGTGCTGAACGAGAGCCTGTCTAAACTCAGAGGAGTTTGGGAGGACACCAGTTTCCAGCTTGAGCGCCTTCAGGCGAATGAGTTGTGTGTCAAACAAGAAGAGGAAGGACTCCACAAGAGGACACAGCCATTCTTCAAACTGAGCTTTGACCCCACCCAAATGCCCACCATGGAGCAGCTTTGTATGGCACTTGCATCATACCAATAATAATTATTTTTAAAATTTTTATCTCAATTGTTTTTGCCTGTTGAAGGTGAGGGATTGCCGCGTGTTGCAGTGGTGCGAGAGGAGGGCAGTAATGGAGACAGAGAAATGTCTGTTTCTCTCTTCATGGCAGGATTTGAGGTAAACTCATGGAAATGAACTACAGAAGAAGTGAATGAAATAACAATGCAACATTTCAATGCAACGATTACATTTCTAGTTCCTTCTGGTGGTCTGAAATCACTCTTTATGCTTGGGCTTTGGGGTATTTACAAGACTAATGCGAAAAGCTATATAAACTTTACTAAGACTAAGCTGTCAATGTGAAAGGGATGTGATAACACGATTTCTGACTTCCCCTGACAATGATGTATTTTAATTTACAGGTTTGGGATGTTACTATGCAAGACCTCTGTTCTGGGTCTCTAACCCTGGATCCTTTCAAAGCAGTAGTGTTTGTGGGAGGGTTCAGCTATGCCGATGTCTTGGGATCAGCTAAGGGTAGGAAGACCATTTTTATTTTTAAATGCACCATTTTATGTTTAATATTTATTTATGTTTTAGGTTGGGCTGCCACAGTTGCATACAACCCAAAAGCAAAGGCTCAATTTGATCTTTTCTGTCAGAGAAGCAACACTCTCAGTCTGGGTGTCTGTAATGGCTGCCAGCTCCTCGCTTTGCTGGGCTGGGTTGGCAAGAGAGATGATGGAACAGGTACTTTTTAAGTGAAAATATTCCAAGTAGGGACCAGAACAGAATGGATTTATTCATTTCACGGCTTACAAATTGTTTGTCACTTTGCAGAGGCTGATGTGGTGCTGACCCATAATGAGTCGGGCAGGTTTGAGTCCCGTTTTGTCAGTGTCGGGATCGAGAACTCTCAGTCTGTGTGGCTCCAGGGCATGGCGGGGTCTGCCCTGGGGGTGTGGGTTGCACATGGAGAAGGTACAGTAATTTTACAGCTAGGGTCTCAAACATACACCACGCATGGCATGTTATACATCATTTTAGAACTAAATCAACCACACCATTTATATTACCATAAACATGGAACCCTGAACACATTAAGCAATAATTAATGCAATCAGAGCTGGGCGGCACGGTGGCTGAGTGGATAGCACTCTCGCCTCTCAGCAAGAAGGTCCTGGGTTCGAATCCCGGTCGGACCAGGGCCTTTCTGAGTGGAGTTTGCATGTTCTCCCCGTGTCTGCGTAGGTTTCCTCCGGGTACTCCGGTTTCCCCTACCACTAAAAATATGTCCAATAGTTCTAGCATGCGCCTCCTGTACTGGCCCCGCTCCCATCTGTGTGGAGTGAGAGACAAATGCCCAAAATTAACAATTGTAAACCGCTTTGAGACTCAGATCTGCAGGGAAAAGGCGGTATACTTACTTACTAAACAGTTACTTACTAAACAGAGCTGCCTTCCAATTCAGAGCGCCGGCCCCTCCCTGATCCTCCTGCACGTGGTGGCTCCACAGGAGCCTTGATCTTTCCTTGGAATTAATTAATCCAAGTAAAATAGTGTGTGCAATTGTCGTTTCTGGTGGTTCTGCAAGTGCATAGTTTCGGTTGGAGTTCATAATGCACACACAAAAACCCGTAAATATATTGCTTGATGGGGCTCAGCTTCACCCAAATTGTTCGGCCATCCGCTGAATTGCGAATGAGACCCGTTTTAGAGTCTGCTTGAGAAAATGGTGTGAATTGATTGCGATCTTTTACATTTTTCCAGGTATGATGCAATTTTCTAGTCCTGAAGCACTGGAGCAGATGGTGTCTGCCGGTCTAGCCCCTCTGCGTTACCTAGACGACACAGGATGCCCTACGCAAGAATACCCTCTGAACCCTAACGGGTCTCCCCGGGGCATCGCAGGTCTGTGCTCCCCAGACGGCCGGCACCTCGCCATGATGCCCCACCCTGAGAGGTGCACTCTCGGATGGCAGTGGCCCTGGGCCCCGCGGGACTTCAGGACCTCCCTCAAACCGTCCCCATGGTTACGAATGTTCCACAACGCAGCGGCCTGGTGCAGCAACCAGCCATGTTAAGTGTGCTTGTTACAGAATAACTGTTTATATTAAAACTTCCATGTACTTTAGCTTTTCTACCCAACACTAATCTACAAATGATTAGTTACTGAATCAGAATAAAATTTTAAACAAACCCTCTCATGTCATTGTCTTGACATCTACAAAGACATGCAACATACTTCATTCCCTGCACTGTAAAACAAGGTCTTTGAAAAAGCATTGATGAAGCCTTTCATATAATAGGTATGTACACATGTTTTTATTTTACAAACATTAATAGATATACTTTATGTACAAACGTCACACTGATAAAGAAGATTCCTCTTGTGTGATCCAGTAGTAAACACCTTGGAGCTAACACGCATTTGACTGGGTAAACACTTAAATAAAACCAGGCTCTATAGTGAGCTCTGCGGCTGTGCGAGCTGTCACAGCCTGCTCGTCCTGCGGCGCCATCTGCTGGTTGACATTAATGACGCAGATCAGTAACAGGAAGACCACCACCAGATCATCCAGAACCCCGAGGAGCCCTCTCAAAGACGGGTCAGGCACAGACCCCGTTGAAGGGACGCGCTTCAGAGGAGAGAAGTTGGACACAAGTGTCCCAACACAGCACAATGCCACACGGAAGAAAAACAGTCCAAGCAGACCCCCCATGGTGCGCAGACTCCGAGCAGCCAACAGCAGCATCAGAGGAGCGTCCCCCAGGTATTCTGATATCTGCAGCACAGACGGATAAAAATATATAACTGTCACCATTATTTTTACTTTGTTTCTTGGATAGGGCCGTTCTAAATCTTTGTACAAATAATAAGTACTGTTACAAAACATTTCACATTTACCGGCATGTCGGCACCAAATGCCACCAGAAATATCTATTTGTGTTTTTCATAGTTTGATCTTTTGGTTTGTCCACTGATAAATCCGCTACTCTTTCACTTCATTGCCACTAGCTCTGATCAGACCATATTAATGCGGGATTATTTGGACGTTTCGTTTAGACAGCTGAAGTTAAAGAAAACCTCTGACTAAAATAAAGGAACTCCTCAATTTGCCACTGACCGTTTTTGGAGCTCCAGAATATCGTCTATTGTAGCTTGTGATTTCTCCCAGAACTTCTGTCGACTTGTGATCCAGTCGACTATCACTGAATAAGTGACAGAGCACACTGACCTGCAAACAGTTCAAAGGGTTATAAGGCATGTTATTTGTTAGACTTAAGGCAAAAAATAGGCCTTATTTTCAAGTCCTACCTTTTGTCTGCATAAAGGACAGCTGATTGCATTCAACCATGAGCCATGTCTCCAGTAGGTGATCAGACACGGAGCTGGGGCCAAATAAAGCAGCAGTTAAGTCTATAGAATCACAGTGTATGTCCAGACCTCTGCACTATTTCATCAACAATAAAAGCTGAGGTCAAGGAAACACAGGATACAAAAGAGGACAGATTATGTCCCTGCTATACCAATATATTAATAATGATAATAACAATGCAACATCCAAACTCATCCTATAGGCCAGTATAACTCAACGTTAGTGTACCTTGAGATTGGTGTGCCTTTGGAATTGATCTAATATCATCTAATTGGTGGAACTAGTGTGAGAAGATTAGATAATAGATACATAACACACCGGTGAGAATTACTTTGCATTTATAACAGGTATGTTTAGCTGTGCATACAACTGAGGGATTTTATGTTTGTATCTTTCTTTTTAATGTACAGATTTTATTGCTATCTTGTTTTGTTCAGCACTATGAGTAGCCTTGTGTATGAATTGTGCTATACAAATAAACTTGCCTTGCCATAACAAGTTCTATGTTCGCATCAGTTTCAGCTGGTGTGCCATGAGATTGTCTTCAATTAAAAAGGTGTGCCTCGGCTCAAAAAGGTTGGAACACTGCTGTAGACAATGTCTTGTAGCTGCTTCAAGGTGAAGCAGTTCAGCAGGTTAATATTGAAAGTCTCACATTGATATTTTTTATCTCATGGTATGGATCCAACTTCAACTGCATCACGTGTGAAGAAGAGAAAAACAATGCATAAATTCAACAAAGAGTCCTTACCACAGAACAAATGGCCACAGTTTGTGTTCACAGGGAAAGATGGAATCTGGAGGCAGACGGGGCACTGAGAGTCCTGATGAACTGCAGCTGAATCCTAAATACGTGAACAGTATGAGCAAGTTTTTAGTTTCCGGAGATTGTGAGTACGTAAAACAGGGTCTATATTCTCTAGGATTATAGTCACCTTATGGCTATTCAGTAGTACAGATTTGGATGAAACTGCTGCGTCTTCACAGCGCCCATGTGACCTGCAAAGTGACAGAAAGCACATGGGAGATAATGTTTTGAGGGATGCTAGAGACGGTTAGAAAAATCCATCATTACACCATTCGTCTCTATATACTGTTTTAAACCAGAACATGTATAACAGACATTACAACATCTGGTAAATAATTTATAATAATAAGATTATTATGTAGCATAAATAGTTGTATTTACTTTTTCTTAACACACAAGATTATGGACCATGTGGAGCTATTTAAAATAACATATTGCTTACCTGGTCTTTAAAGAGTAATGGAGCATTGGAGAAAGTGGAGTTACCGGTAATGGGACTGCAGATCTCATGTGTCTCATTGCAGGAAGTTAAATGCAGGCAAACCGCATCACCCAACAAAATAAATGAGAACTCGAGGTTAATAATCAACTAGTATCAGCCAGGCCACCTGTCAATACTGAAGTCAGGCTGTACCTCACGTCACTACTTTTATGACAAGTAAAAGCATGTGGAAGAATACAGAATGTGTGCTCTTTGACCTATATACAAGAATGTGATAATCTTCTGCCAAATCTGTGCCAAAAGTTTCCACAACCAAAGTAGGTTAGGTCTGAGTTCACCAATCATTTACCAAAGATGCACTTGGCCAAGTGTCTACCACACCACTGTGGAGGAGGGAAACGGAGAATACATTGCTCAAGATACTTTCAGAATTCAGAATTTATTCTATATAAATGCCACCTGAGGGGTTGGATTTGATTTCTGATTTCAGTGAATTGGTTCTGTTTCTGGTAAAACATATCATTGTTAGTTTGATTATATTATATATTTATGTGATTCCGAATTTTCAGAGGAAGCTTCCAAGGAATAAAAGAAACCACATGATTAGAAAACTGCCAAAATTAAATGCAATTATTGGCATTTAAAGGTTCAAATCTGCTCAGATGCAGCCGCTCCTGAGTTTGGGTCATTTATAAATAGCTGCCCTGAGTGTGGGGGGGGGATTGCATTTGTGTGTGCACAAACACACACACGCACGCACACACAGCCCCTGTTAAAAGAGCAAAGTCATGTGAGGGTCAAATCATGTCTAGGTTGGTGCTATTTTAGGAATAAGCAAATCCATAGTCATTTGTAGCTATCAGCAAACAATTCAGATGACACATGGTCTGGACCATGTTGTTACAACCATACACCCACTGAATGAACTTCAGAATACTACAGAACAGCCAAAAATAATAGTAATCATTATCATTATTATTATTGCATTCTGTATAGTATTTTTCATAGTGACAAGTTAATGACTCTACGTTGTACTTTATTCAGTTAGGGTGGTGGTATTGTTGCCACTCCTTGGGGCACCCTACTTTCAGGCATCATACTGACATCCCAACAGTCTTACGTTGATGAATTATGCCAATTAATTTCCTTGTATCACGCTACATCATCGATTGTGTTCAGTTGACAACACACCATCCCAAGTTGATGTAGTCTTGTAGTGAAGTGTTGTTGAAAAACTCTCCTGGTAACCATAGTAAGTGTTAATAATAATGTATCTGTAATTTTTGAGCGTCAAAACGTTTCACATCTTCTTTGTAAAAAAAATTCTATATACTTTAATTATTTTCGTATGTGTCTAGATCATAGTCTAGACATAGTGACAATGTACATGCATGATATTGGCCTTTGAGGACTTTGTGAATCAAATATCAGTGTATGATCAGGGGAAATATTTTAGATTTTCTTTTTTAACTTTGTTTTTAAAAAATGCTTCTCTCCCAGAAAGTTGTATTGCCCTTCAACTAAAAAACTCAAAGTAGAATTCTAGAACATGAACGCTTACATTGCACTATCTCACATTTCTATTGCTCACGTCTGTTTCACTCTCTCTTACTTCCTTGTTTTATCTAATGTGGCTTTTTTCCTCAAAGACAGTACATGATTTACCTGCATATTTCCTTGAAGACTACGGTAAAGTGCTGCAGCAAGTACTTTGTTATAATTTCCCGTTAAAATAACAAAAGAGGCTTTTTGATTGGTGGAGGTTTGGCTCATGAGCTGTCATTCTCAGAAGCCGTACATCTGATTGGACCAATTAAAGTCCCAATGATCGCAGAGCGCGTAAGACGCTGAGCCATTCTCGTACACTTTACGTTCATAAAATGGCGTTGGTGCTGGGATTTGTACGTGACCTAAGCATTCAGCGCAATAGAATTACCTTTGCTTTCCAGCAGGTGTGAGGACAAATGCGAAGAGGAGTTTGATGTCAGGTGGAGAGGTCGTTTGGAATATGGCCGAAAAACAAGCTGCTCTGGTCGAAAGCCTTATCGTCTGGGTGAGTTTGGCGTTTATTCTGAATACATATGACACATACTAGACTAGCATGATTATTTACCTGCAGCACCAGCAGCGAAGGTGGAGGTGACGCTTCAGGAAAACAGGAAAAGCTCTCTGCAATGATCTACTAAAACTAATACCCACTATAGATGTGTTACATCTCGATCAATTTTGTTTCATTTAAAATAAATTTCTCATTTATCATGTTTGTTTAGACCCGCTGGGTTCGGGGAGAGTATTTTATTTGTGGGGAATTCTTGAATTTGTGGAGCACAAAGTTGACCACTACTTCTTAAAGGTATTACAGGAGGATTTTCTACTTCCGGGTGGATCATCATGACTATTGGTCGTCCTAATTGTGAATCATTCTGGTGATATGTGCTCGTCAAATTAGATAAGAGTTTTGTTAAAAAAGTGGAGAGGGCGGTTCTTTCCTAAAAATTGGGAACATCCTCCTTTATACCTTCAATGCTTACTATTGTTTATTTGTATACTGTCAATACTGTTTAGTGCAATAAACACACTACAGATAAATATGTTGTCAGGTAGAGTAGGATCACGGGATGGTGCTCAAGTTGGTATATCTCTCCTTCAGTTATTTAGCTGAATATTAGATCAATTGTTGTGGTCATACTTTGCTTCAAAGATGTCAGTTTATTAGTAGTGTATTACCAGTTATAACAATTACGTATTTTTTTAAAATCTATTTTTAATTTATTTTTTATATAGAAAAATGGGACATAAAAGAACACCATGCATCTTTTTGTTATGAACTTCACATGAATACATGCAGAAACATCTAGTGCTGCTTCATTGAACATTACCTTGACCAGAGCATCTGTTCAATCCCCCTCTGAGTCTGAACCATTACACGTTACACTTCACACTTTTATTTCCAAAGACACTCAACAATTTTGTCGTAACTCTTCCCCCTGTGTTATTCATCTATCTCTGCTAAAGGGATGGGATGCAAAAAAATATCTGTTTTCATACTTTTCAATTAAGATATTCAGACAATAATGGGGCAGTACTTCATGATTGTCCTTAAACATACTTCCAAATGTGAGGGCTGAGGTTATAACTATAAACTAAAAACTCCACAAAAAAAATGTATTTTCTAACTGTAAGCACGTTTGTGATTGTGCCTGTATGTTTTATTGTTTACTTGGGTGTTATATTTTAAAGTATATTATAATAGCATTGCTATTATTATTCCAATATAGATACTGTTTTGCTCATCACTACGCTACTCAGTATTTATGCTTTTCTATTTTGTCTTTTAGATTCAGACATTCAATCTCTCTGCTCCCTGCTCAACAGCGGAGGACCTGACCACGGGAGCCGCAATATCAGAGGCCCTGCATCAAATGTGAGAGGTGTTTTCATTTTAAGCCGCCACTATAAACACAGAATATAGAAGAAAAGTAAATAACAATTTCTAGATATGGGAAAGACTGAATTGAAAGATATTTTAGTTTAGAGATTGGTGCAGTGGTAAGCGTTTTTTTTCCCCGTTTCAGACATGGGGTTCTTAAGTTTACAACTAAAAACATGCATAGGTCTGGCATGCACCTCTTATATGGTGACCCCACTTCCATCACTCTGTGGAGGGGACAGACGGCCACAACATCTGTACAGCTCTTTGAGTCCACTAGATTACCTAGTATTGTTATTGTCAATGCGTTTTTACATTTTTCAGTGACCCCACATGGTTCAACGATGGATGGCTTAGTCGCATTAAAACTGACGTTGAAGACAATTGGAGGCTAAAGGTAATTTGTCTGCATCTCATGATAATTAGTTATGAATTAGTCAGAATATTTCTCTTTTACATTGATGCTGATAATACCAGCACTATGTTACTATCACATCTTCCCAATTTAGTTTCCCTTCTACCTCATAAAACAACTGAGTTTAGGACTAGATATATCATGGAATATGATTCAGATTTTATTTTTATTTTTTTTGGGAGCATCTTTTTCAACATAATTGTTTAAATGTTTACAGGAGCGTATTTATAGTAGAACAATCACCTACTTTTCTCTTCTTGTAATGTTTTTCCAGATGAACAATCTAAAGAAGATTCTTCAGATGATGGTTGACTATTATAATGAGGTACTTTCTTATTTTATTTGAATTTAGATTCAGTAAGGAGAGCAATAAATCGAGTCCTTATGTGGCTGTCATTGTGAAGGTTTTCGGGAGCTTTAACCGTGTCCATGACCAGTGCTGAGATGATCAGTGATATTAAAATACCAAGATCTCAATACCTTTGACTGTATTGACAGTGCTCCCTTTTGTTGTTTGTGTGAAGAAAAGCAAATGAAAAACCTTACAGCCTTCACAGGCATATATTTAGTTTACATAATCAGCCACAAACAATCTAGCTATCTAGAGGGTGGTTCACTACAGGAAGCTTCCTGCTGTCTCGTGGGAAGAACTGTACAGAGGTGGGGATTCCCAGTCCCCTCTCGCTGCCTCGTTAGTCACCTTTTACGTCAAGCAGAGGTACTGTGGTAGAATTCTTCCCCCTTTGCTACAGGGGAAAAATCATCTACAAATGATATTGATAAAGATCCAATAGCCTGATGTCTTTTAGTTTATGTGCCTGAGAACTGTTGCCTGAACTGTCCTGTTTTTGTTAATTATCTGGACAGGCTATAAGACTAGGTGCATGATTAACATCCGCAACTCTCATATACTATCATATTGTTGTAGATCATTCCTGGTTACTGTTCCTGGGAACAGTGATGAAGTCATGATGTCATGATTGCTAATAATCACAAATGAATAGGGGCCATGATGCTTTGCAGTATGTGTGCTGGTACACACATACTATCTATTGTTTTATGGAAAGACAATTTTTTTTACCACTTGTTAAAATTAAATTGCTTCTGGGATTGAAAATGTAACTATTCCTAGTGCTTCTATTGTATCTCTAAATAGAATGAAAAGACCTATTGACTGGTGGTGGCTCTTGTCTGAGGCGCTCATGTCTTCCTCAGGCCTTGGTGCAGGATGTGTCTGGTTTCTTGTTACCGGACGTGTCTCTTGTGGCCGAACACTCTGACCCAGTGCAGCTTGGGCGACTGCTGCAGCTCGTCCTGGGATGTGCCGTCAAGTGCGAGCACAAACAAGGTCTGTTCTGTGCTCATTAAACCAAGCCTCAACAATATCACCCATGGATTTATCATCCTGCTTTATCTCTTTGAAATCCAGGGGCTCGGGGTCAATTATTTCCCCACTGGGTTTTGGAAACTATAACTATAGTGAATTGAAAATGTGCAATGACATGTTAATTGTTCCTATAAATATATTTGAATTTATTTACTAACTTTTATGTAAGTGGAAAGTAAAGTAGAAACCACTTTGAAGCCCATAACTTTTGCTTCTCTTTCAGATTACATTGAGATAATAATGACTTTGGAGGAGTCTGTGCAGCATGTAGTGATGACAGCCATACAGGAGGTTAGTACCTCAAGGGTTAAAAATGCAAATATGGGATATTGTCAATGTTACATTTGTATTGGTCTCAAAATACGATTGCAAAAATTGCTTATTTTTAAATTTTTTTTCTCTCTGTCGTTAGCTCCTGCACCCGTTTGGAGCAGAGTTGTCGGGGGACGTAGAACAGCAGGTCAGTCTCTCAACATGGACAATTAATATTCATAACATGCTCTCATAATATTTATTATGACAATTGAACCGTGAGTTCTAATGTTTTTGTTGTTTTTTTTTTACCTTCCAGCTTAAAAAGGCACTTGAGGACCTGACAGAGGTTTCTGCAGAGAAAGAGGCTCTGTCTCAACGTTGTCAAGAGCTGGATGTGCAGGTGAAGATTTAAATTGAATTAAATGTAACTTCAGTATCAAACGTGGAGCTGCAGTTCTCTGTCAGCACATCAGCTTTAAACATGAGTACAGTCGGCCGCCTCCTTTGTCCGGAGCTGCTGTGGCAGAAACTCTGAACTCACAGTCTGGGTCCACTGTCTCGACTGCACGATTCAGCACAGGCTACGAAGGAAAACTCACATTCAATTGAAATTGAATTAACTCACTGTTCAACTGGACTTTCAGCAGAGATTTGTTCATCCCTCGTCACAAACTGGTAAGCCCCATCCGACAAAAACTAAACTAAACCTTTTCATTGGTTCTAACAGATGGTATACTTGGACTGCAATGGGCTTCATGACTGGGGACAACAATTTATATATGCTTTTGTAATGGTTAATTAACTCAGCTAACTATAATGGAATGAAAGTGAACATATTTAAGGTAAATAAGCAGAACAAGATATTGAACTAACACCATGTTTTTCTCAAGAATAACTGCTTCTGCTTCTGTGTTCATGCCACATTGTCCAAGTCTGAAATGTCCATCTCCACTATAGCCTGTCAATCTATTTATATTGTGTGCGCATCTTGATAGAATTGTTCTTCTCCAGGTGGCAATTCTTCAAGAGGAGCGCAACAGTTTATTGGCGGAGAACGATGTGTTGACTGATCGGACCAATCAGCTGGATTCTTTTGACGACCCCAGCACTGCCTCAGGAAAAAAGCACAGTCTGTTACAGCAGCAACTGGAAGCCATACAAGAAGAGAACTTCAGGTCAGTGTGTGCACATTCCTAATGACTAACGCGGGGCAACCTCAGACCGCATGTAGCTCCTCGAGTAGCTCCTGGAGCTTCGTCAAACAGGTCGGAAAAATGGTGGGGAGGGGTATATTTTATTTCTAGTTTTAATGTGGTTTCTGTAGGAGAAAAAACATTCGTAACGTTTTTCAATGCTGTGAAAATGTGCATAAGAAATATTAAATAAAAAAATTCTGTCAATGTAGATTTGCATCATAGCCTGCGACTTGGCCCCGGGCGAGGAATACGATCGATTGCTGTTCTTCTTGAGTGGATTATTTTCTCCAAACTTCTGCTGCTGAAGTTTTTTTTGCATCACATGGAACAATGCTTGTGCCCCTTTTTGCCTTCATATAAGCCTTTTGGAAGGCTTTTCATTTTTTGCGGCTCCAGACACTTGTTTTTTTGTGTGTCAAATACGGCACTTTGAACCTTTTTTTTGAGTTTTGAATTTTAGTATTTTTAGTATTTCTGCTGTACTAGTAGTAGTTGTTTGTTTTGAGTGAGGAGGCTAGTGATTGTCTTCAATAGGAGATTAAATGAACTAATTTCATGTTTATCCATCCATCCATCCATTTTCTTCCACTTTATCCGTTGCCGGGTCGCGGGGGCAGCAGTCTAAGCAGAGACGCCCAGACTTCCCCATCCACACACACTTCCTCCAGCTCGTCCGGGGGGACCCCAAGGCGTTCCCAGGCCAGCTGAGAGACATAGTCTCTCCAGCGTGTCCTGGGTCTTCCCCGGGGCCTCCTCCCGATGGGACGTGCCCGGAACACCTCCCCAGGAAGGCGTCCAGGAGGCATCCTGAACAGATGCCCGAGCCACCTCAACTGGTTCCTCTCGACGTGGAGAAGCAGCGGCTCTACTCCGAGCTCCTCCCGTGTGACCGAGCTCCTCACCCTATCTCTAAGGGAGCGCCCAGCCACTCTGCAGAGGAAGCTCATTTCGACCGCTTGTATCCGAGATCTCGTTCTTTCGGTCACTACCCAAAGCTCGACCATAGGTGAGGGAGGGAACAAAGATTGACCGGTAAATCGAGAGCTTTGCCTTTCGGCTCAGCTCCCTCTTCACCACAACGGTCCGATACAGCGACCGCATCACTGCGCACGCTGCGCCGATCCGCCTGTCAATCTCACGCTCCATCCTTCCCTCACTCGTGAACAAGACCCCGAGATACTTGAACTCCTCCACTTGAGGAAGGACCTCCCCACCCACCTGTAGAGGGCAAGGCACCTATTTCCGGTCGAGCACCATGGCCTCGGATTTGGAGGTGCTGATTCTCATCCCAGCCGCTTCACACTCGGCTGAAAACCGTCCCAGTGCATGCTGCAGGTCCTGGTTCGTTGGAGCCAGCAGGACGACATCATCCGCAAAAAGTAGAGATGAAATCCTGTGGTTCCCGAGCCGGACCCCCTCCGGCCCCTGGCTGCGCCTAGAAATTCTGTCCATAAATACAGTGAACAGAACCATAATTTCATGTTTATAAATCACTAAATTGAGTTGGTGGTTAATCACGTTCAGGAGAAAGTTGCTGTATTAACATTTATGTCCAATAAAGGAAAATAAGTACCTTTTGTTAAAGCGTGTTCTGCCTTGATCAGGCTGGAGGCGGCTAAAGATGATTACCGGATCCACTGTGAGGAACTGGAGAAGCAGCTGATCGAGGTGCAGCACCGGAACGACGACCTCACCGCTTTGGCTGAGGAATCTCGAGCGCTCAAGGACGAACTGGACGTGCTCAGGTCGGTGCAGAAACTCTCAAAATAATACCACTATGCAGTTACTTCTCATAGAAAAGTGACCTTGTGTGTACAGGAACTGCTCTGACCGTGTGGTGATGTTGGAGGCTTCCATTGAAACGTATAAGCGTAAACTGGAGAACCTCGGAGATCTGAAGAGGCAGATGAAGCTGCTGGAGGAGAATAATGTGACGTACATGCAGAACACCGTCAGCCTGGAGGAGGAGCTGCGCAAGGCCAACGCAGCTAGAGCACAGCTGGAGACTTACAAGAGACAGGCACGTGTCACTGAGTGCAAATGTATTTGTGTGTGTTTATCAGTATTTTCTCCTGAGTAGAGTGAAATCAGGCTGGGGAGAGAGAACTGTTCTCTAGATGCACAGGAGCTGTTGGCTCACTCACCAGTGGTATTGGGTTTAAATGGTTAAATGGACTTGTGGTGTCACAAACTACTGGGGTTGGCGCGTGCCCTCCTCTCCCCCTGGGAGTCGGCAGATACTGACTCAAGAGGATGCCTTTTTCATTTATATCGTATTAAAACATGCATAATAACGAAGGATCAAAGGGTCTCATTCACCAATATCTTCTTAAGAATCTTAATTTTCTTCTCAAGTCGTTCTTAAGTAGATTTTTAAGAAGACCCTACGTGGGATTCATCAACGCGCTCGTAAACCGCTGAATGGTTTGCAGCTGTTCTCTTAGATTGATGAATGCCAACTCCTTGTAAGTAGAGCGCGTGTGCCCGGTGCTTCATTAGCATAGGTACTTAGCATAGGTAACCGCCCAATAATGCCCATAAAAGGGACTGCAGGGCCGTGTGCAGACGCCAGAGGAAACTGCAACATGCCAAAAGCAAAGAGTTACACGGAGCAAAAGAGTCCTTTTGCCAGACTGAGATTAAAGTCATAAAAAAGTTGACTTTAAAGTCAAAATATTATGAGAATAAAGTTGAACTTGCAAAATTATGAGATTATTATGAGAACAAGTTATGAGATTAATTAATTTGAAAATGGTATGTATTAAATTAAATATTAATATCAAATTATTATGAGATTAATCTCAAAATATTTCGGACCCTGGGAGGAGATCCAGCGCTGAGACCAAGGCAGACCCGTGGAGAGACCATAGGAGAGACCAGCGTGCAGAGACCAGCGCGGAGAGACCAGCGCGAACCCGTAATATATATACTGCTGCTGCAGGAGGTGGCAGGGTCTGCACTGGTCTCTCTCATGGATCTCTTACGGGTCCGCGCCGCGCTGGTCTCATGGATCTATTACGGGTCCGCGCTGGTCTCATGGATCTATTACCGGTCCGCGCATGGTCTCTCACATGGATCTATATGCCATTGTTTTGTGGCCCGTGGATGAAGAAATGCACCGTATAAAGCGTTGGCACATGTAATTAAAAAAATGAATAAAAAAATAGGCTAAATTACCAAAAACAATGAAATAAATAAATACATACATCAATATGACGGACATATCACTGTAATGTTGTGTTTTATTAAACTTCACAAAAGAATACTACACAGCGTGCGAACATGTCGGCACTGAATGTGCGTCTCTTGGGTCCTACGAGTGCTCAGGAGCACTCGTAGGACCCAAGAGAGTTACCCAAGAGAAATTCTGGTTACGAGAAATATTCATGAATGCCACAGTCTTCGTAAGATCCTCGTAAGTAGGATTTATGCACAAATGTTCTTAAGAACCATTTGTGAATGAGGCCCAATGTACAGGGGTATATGGTGTTTAAACACAAGATTCAACACTTTCAGGTTCAGGAACTACACCGGAAGCTGTCGGAGGAGACGAGGCGTGCAGATAACCTGGCCTATGAAATGAAGAAGCTTGAAGAGAAGCATGAAACTGTAATAAAGGAGAAAGAGGTTGGTAAATGGTTATAAACACTCTTGTTTCTTGAGTTAACTTAAATGCATACATTTTCTTCACCAGAGGATTATTGTGGAGAGGGACTCTCTCAAAGAGCTCAATGAGGAGCTCAGGTGCACTCAGGCACAACAGCAGCAGTTCTCTCAAACTGGTAATGACTTCAACATCTGAAGGAACAAAAACTTGACTACAATTTACCTACGTGTGTTTTCATTTAGGACTGCTTCCATCAAGCAGCCACGACAACCTGGCAGCTGAATTGATGCCTGTTGAGTACAGGTAAAAACAATCAATGCCTTGTTTTTATCTCAGACCCATAGTATTGAAATGATCGTGTTGTTTGTTCAGGGAAAAGTTCATTCGTCTGGTGCATGAGAACAAGATGCTGCGAGTGCAGCAGGAGGAGTCTGAGCGGGAGAAGATCTCAGATCTCCAGAGGCAGCTGGAAGAGGCTCATAAGAGCCGCAGTGAACTGGACACAGAGATTAGGTATAGCTCTGAGGGCATCTCTGCTGCTGTGAAAACATATTTATATTTGTCTGTATCATTCAGGTTAAGCCGTGAACGGTTCAGTGAGCTGCAGCAACAAGTGGAGGACCTTCAGAGAGCACTGCAGAGTCAGGCCAACAAGCCAGATGATGTTAGCACCAATTCTATAGGATTGTCTTTTGAATATTTACCTTGATTGTGTTTCACCAAATGTTTTTGTTTTCTTTAGTCAAACTTGAAACGAAAACTTGATGCACATATGTGAGTAGATTGTTATTTTTTTGTCTAATAATATGCAAAGAAAAGCTTACAACCTCTGTTCTTTTGTTTTTGTTGTTTTGTTACAGGGTCCAGTTGAATGAGGCTCAGGACGAAATTATGAAAAAGAAGGAGCTCCTCGAGGACCTCCAGCCGGACAACACACAGAACTGTGTGTGAAAATGTGACTTTTGCTTCATGTTTGGAACCTGCCGTTTCATGTTGTAAATACTGTCTACGTTGTATTTGGTCAGCCATGAAGGTGGATGAGCTGATGGCTGCTCTCAAAAAGAAGGACGACGACATGAGGGCGATGGAGGAAAGATATAAAATGTACCTGGAGAAGGCTCGCAACGTGAGTGGTCTGTGTGTGAGTGCGTTCGTGACTGTTTATGTGTCTGTGCGTGTCTGTTTGTCTGTGCGTATGTTAGATGTCTTAACATTTTCTTTTTGGCAGGTGATCCGTGCGTTGGATCCTAAACTGAACCCAGCCACTGCCGAGATCCAGGCGCTCAGGAATCAGATCACGGACCGGGACAAACAGATACTCAGCCTGGAGGTATCGTCACTTTAAAACAAGTTGTTGCATGATGCTGTGTTCTCTTTTGTTTAACTTTGTTCCTTTTTTATGCAGCGTCAATGTGAACAGGCCAAACTGAAGGAATATGAAGAAAAACTTATTGTCACTGCCTGGTATAACAAGGTATAACATGAGTTAATATATATTTTTAGAACATCCAACATGAATGTGACATCACAACACTCCAAAGAGCCACTATTTTATAAATTGTGGTGGAGGGCAGTTAAAAAAATCTTTCCTGGTCACTGCATAAAGTCCGACTTCTAGTCTTTATAGCGAATAAATGTATTGCTAGTTTCTTAGTTTATACTAATTCCTGAACCAATCCACATTGAAGTAAAAAACTTTGGTGACCATATTAACCAATATGCATGATGTTGGACATGGAGCGAACTTTCAGACAAGAATATGTCTGTGTGTGTGAATCTAATCGGAGAAAACATTTTCTTTTTCTTATTTCATATAGTTGTATTTTGTACCCGCTCTCCAAGTGAAATGGATCTTAGTTCATGTTTTAGGGGTTTATTTTTATGATGAATGTGTAAAAACTGGAATCGGAACATCATCATAGTATGACTTGTTCATGATACAAACGTCAGTTTTTATTTTATAAAGTATTGGGCTCATAGTAGCCTTATTCCATAAAGATGCAAAAAGTAATAGTAGTGTTTCTTTGCTCCACAGAGTTTGAGCTTTCAGAAATTGGCCATAGAGTCCCGTCTGGGGGGCCGCGCCTCCCCTCTCCTTGGCCCGGGGCAGTCGTTCCTGTCGCAGCAAAGACAAGTGGCCAACGCTCCTCGGCGAACGCTCTCGGTCAATGTTCCTGCTGCGGCCACTTCCAAATAATCACTGCCCCAAAACCCACTTTCCATACAAACGAGCAGAGACAATCAGACCAGTGGGCGATCGAGTGGCCTTAGCACACGCCCCATCACTCAGGTGTGACTTTGAAGAGCACTTGTCTTGTCAAAATTGAACTACCTTTTAAGATCAAGACTCAAGATTAGTGATTATGACAGGTTCAGCGAATCCTTTTACTTCAACGCAGTTTCAATAATTGAACATAGTTTCACATGTTACATTACCAATTTAGCAATTTCTTTAAGATCACTCCAATGAGTAAATGCTGTACACTGGGTAATCCCGCCATTAATGTAACACGTAAATTATGATTATTTTATAAATTTATATTGTCAAAAAACTTCTAATAGAATTTGTACTAGTAGGATGATTCTTTTTTATTTATTTTTACAATCTGCTTCTTGATTACATTACAAAACTCATATATATTTACACAGCATTTACCCCACTGAAAAGATTCTAAATCATAAATTGTAATCTGTCATTTTTTTTCTTATGAGTTTAGAACTACCTTGGCAGCATCTGACCTCAGCTTTATACCTCCTTGTCATTCCATCTTTGTGATTGACATTTGTGGCAACATGTGTTCTATTTCACTGGAGCAACCACGTTGTCAAGTATACTGCCGACTTGGTGCACTTCTTATCACGTAATCATTTGGGCTTGAGATTTTGTCACTGCCATTTCATAGTAAAGGGTTAAGTCAATTTCATTTTTAACTTGTATTCTTTAACTGGCCTGATGTGGAGTCGTACAGCAGAATGTATACTTTTTTGCTATTTTGGTGCAGGTCACCTCAATTGTTATGAAGGTTTTCATATAAATCAAGTAATTTTTATATGTAATTAATCTAATTTGCAATAAAAAATACATATAATTGCTTGTAGATGCAAAGAAGTGAATATTAGTTTTGTCGACCATCTATTGAACCACATGTTTGTTAAGTGAAGAAATGTTTTTGTATGTTTGCTTTTTGGGCTTTTGCTTCTTTTCCTTTCTGATGTTTCTGATGTTAATGTAACTGATGTTTATTAAAGATTAAGATTTATGGATGAACTCTCCAAAGCAATGCAAACGTGCCCTCGTTATTTTCATTTGTGTGAAGAACTTGACAGTAGTAGTGGTTAAACAATATGTATTTTATTCAAATCCAATTGGTCCAACTCCTGTTTTTGCTAAGATAGATGCCATGTTTCCCATCTTTCTGAAACCAATAAATATTTAAAACAATGCACTTTTCTCTCAAAGCAGCCGGGCGAAGAGCTGAAAAGGATGTGGAGTGCGCGTTGCTCCAATGATTCCTTCGGTTTTGAGCTTTACTCCGTCCAAAGTCGAAAATGAAAACTTCTGAAACAAAGTGACAAAAAATAGAAAGAGCTCCATCCTAGCCAGGCCTTCTCCCAGACACATCCGCCTTCCTGTAAAACAAGGACATCAGGGTCAAAATCCAAATATACAGTTTTAAGACTGATGCAAATGTGTTAAATGTGTTAATTTTCAAATTGTATACTTGACATAATAACTTTACTTTTGGATCAAACACTATAGTTCTCACAAGCGTGGTTATTGGCTTCTGTCACATCTTTGTCTGCTTTTTTTGCCATAAGAAATGTGACCTACCCTCAGTGATTCAATTAGCACTAACCAAAAGTACCCCAACTTTTAATGAGAGACTACTTTTGACGACAAGGAGTCTGGATGTCTTCTAGTTGCTTGGGGATCTTTGTAAAACATTTTCTAAACTTTCATGTTTACCAGAGATTTTTGTTTATTTTAGTATAGATAAGTGATGTCCTTCAGTAGAAAATTTCCATAACTAAATGAGTCTTTGAAAAATGGTTGATAACCAATTCTATCCATGTGCACAAAAGAGAAGAATTGATACTTTTATAGGAGTTTGTTAAAAAAAATTAGATTTGGAACTTCGAGATACTTCTTTTAAGATAATATTTTTCATCTCACCTGCAGAAAATGGCATAAAGGCCTCCCGCTTGACAAACTTTCCCTGTGAGTCCAGAAAGTGCTGTGGGTTGAATGTGTCCGGAGTGGCCCATTCAGACTTATCGAACAGGACGGAGGTCAGGATGGGCATCACCGAAGTCCCCTGTAACACACAACGGCTCACATTTAGACAAAAACAATATATAAACTGTAGGGCAATTCGAAAATGAGAAAGTTTATTTATAAAACGCATTCCATACAAGAACTAACACAAAGTAATGCCCATTGACCCATTAACCCACCCATTACATTCTAATAAAATAGTCACTGATGTTTCATACCTTAGGAATGAAATACCCTCCAAGTGTCAAGTCTTTGGATGCTCTCCTGAAGCCGTTGAGGGGCACTATGTTTCCTATTCTCTGGATTTCATGGATGACAGCATCAGTGTAGGGCAGGCTGGCTCGGTCGGCCAAAGTGGGCTGTCGAGAGCGCCCGATCACTTTGTCTATCTCTGCATGGACTTTCTCTGCAAAAGAACAACACCAGAGTGACCACTGAATTATCTTGGCCCGTGGGATGATATTTGATTAGTATTGGGACCGGCTGCGCAGAGACATAAGAAGTTGGATTCTTCATTTAATGTTCAGGAAATGTGTTAATGCTCTTTGAAGGAAGTTTTTGTCTTTGAGCTGTTTTCACTTGGAATGATTGAAAGAGCCATACAAAAATATTGGATTATTCATTTAATCATTAGATAAAATATGATACACTGTGTTACTGTAGGTCTTGGTTCAATAGGTGATATGCAATCATTTTAATATGTTTTAACAAAAATGTGACCAGTCTGGGCCTCAGCTTGTAGGAAAGTAGATTTGTTGGCTCTCTGATGTATTTGACTTTGACATCACTGTTCTAGAGTCTTATAATATATCAATTTGAAAATAACCCAAAAAACTTGTTGTACAGAACACCTGCAGACGTCTATACAGTAATACAGCCCACACTCTCTCACCCTGGATGTGGGGGTTGTTGATGAGGTGGATCAGACCCCACTGCAGTGTCTTGGAGGTAGTTTCAGTTCCGGCCAAAAAAAGGTCCAGACAACACAGCACCAGGTTTGTCTCACTGAACCCCAGCTCTGTGTTACCGTTCTACAAGTACATGATATACTTGTTCCATTTCCGTACAGTAATTGTCATTATTGTATCGTGAATCAACCTTTGTTTCTAGAAGGAAGCTGTCAATGTAGTCTCGAGGAGAGCTCGGGTCCAGATCAGGCTTGTGTCTCTCCACTTCGTGCCTGATAAACGCCTCAATGGACCTGGCTCGGCTAAAGATGCCCCTGTGTGGCCCAGGTAGGTGGGCCATCAGTGCTGGAAAGGCGTCATACAGCTTTGTGCAAATAAAGTGATTCATTAGAGCAGGTTTTATGAAGTTACATCTACTAATAATAAGAACAATACTCACAAAAGCCCACACAGAACCTTCTAGATACGCCAGTTCATTTAGATCGTTGAGCATCTCCTGGAAACGCTGGTCACTGTAGACAAATCTTCTGCCAAAAACTATCTGACAGATTATGTTGGCCACTGCGTTGTTCAGTAGTGGAACTGGGTCAAAGGCCTCACCTAAAATAATCAGTCATTGCTTTATAGTTATTGATGAGCCAGTGTGAATAACCAGAAAAGACTGTTGGAATAGAAAAATAACCTGGAGCAATATGTTACAGTATAAGTTTGTTTAATCTATTTCATTTGTGGAATGAAAGCTCTTTTATACCCACATCCTCTCTGAGGCGGATAAACTCAAGAAGATGAGAGCTTTAACTATCCCAAACATGCCTCAGAAAAGTGACCTGGTTTTCTGGTTGGAGCTGGAATTATGAGATGCTTGTGTGTGATAAGAAAGTCTAGACGATTCTCCCTACCTATTTGTCATAGCCAGGTCTTGTGAGATATTAGAATCAAAACCTAATTTGTAGTTGGATGGCAGACAAGGCGCCACAGTGAGAAGGATGTGGTTCTAATGTCCAAACTGTTGTTGCGCCCTTTGTCAAGACACGTCAGCCATATTGCCTGTGTTTGAATCCATATTATAAATAAATAATTTAAAATGCAGGTCATTTTGGGATTTCCATTTGACTGGAGAATACTTTTCCTTCCACAGTTGTGCATATTTGCGGTGGATGTGTCTAGTGTTGCGGCTGCACCTCTCTTCTGGTCCATAGCGTCCTGCAGATAGTGGCTCTCTTCACAGATCCTCTCCTCCATTGAACTGGTGGTGAGGCCAAACGCCCTCAGTGTCGCCATGGCAAAGCGCCGCTGCCTTCTCCACACTTTACCGTTGCTGAAGAACAAGCCAGCTGCACCAGACACCAGGGCACACTGTTAGGTTACATCTAATATTTACATATATTATCAACACTAGGAAAGGGTAGATGAGTTGCCACCAACTGACTTCACAGTTACAATACTAATAGTAGCTCAGTAATTCAATTATTAAAGTTTTCCAGCATTTTTCTTCTCAAAGGGAAAATGCAATTTAAATTTTAGCATTATCCTTTTTTATTTGATTGAATTCAAGTTTATAACATAATATATCAATCCTTGATTTATCCTGATGTGATCCATGGTAAGAAAGTCCAGAAGAACTTTTCCAACTTTCCATCTTAAGAATTCAGCCCATTCAGCCTCTACAAGGAAATAACAGATCATCATTGTGCATCTCTTTTTTGTTGCAGCCAATGAGAGAGAGAACAAACAAAAACATGCAGTCCATCTGTTTTCTGAGGACTCAGCCACATTATTACACCACCACATAAACATTGAATTTAACATAGAATTAATGAGAATGTTTTATAATCCGTAATGTTATGTAATCGTGTGTAACGGCACGGCGGCTGAGTGGATAGCACTCTCGCCTCTCAGCAAGAATGTCCTGGATTCGAATCCCAGTTGGACAGTTGGAACAGGGTCTTTCTGAGTGGAGTTTGTATGTTCTCCCCATGCCTGCGTAGGTTTCCTCTGGGTGCTCCGGTTTCCCCTACCACTGAAAACATGCACACTAAGTTAAATCCTCCAGCTCCGGTAGTCCTGACCAAGCCGAGCATCAACATCTGGAGATGGGTTCCCGGGCGCTGTTACTACGGCGACCGCTGCTCCTGACATAAGCCTTAGTGGCATCAGGATGGGTCAAATGCAGAGGATTGAATTGCCCTACGGGGATTAATAAAGTGCATCTTTACCTTTACCTGTAACTTTTGCTGCCACTTCTTAATCTCAATGGGGCTTTCCTGGCTATATAAAAAAAGTATCAACTAAAACAATGAACCTTGACTGTTAATTACTGGATGACATCAGAATGTGCAGACACATGTGTTTGTTTATTATTCACTTTTTTAGTAGTTTTTAGTAAAAAGTCCATTATCTTTCTTTTATACACTACACACACGGTGGAGATGTGTTCTCTGTGTTTACCTGAGTTGCCAGAGTAAATCCTCGTTACCATGGGGCTGTAGGGCCGATCCACAAAGTGTTCAGCCTGTGTCACGAGCGCCTCCTTCACCATTTTGAAGCCACACACAAACACACTCTTGTCCCGGCCCACACGGATGCAGTAGACATTCCCATAGACTTCAGCGAGCTGCGGACAGAGAAAGAATGTTCTGTTGTTCAGCATGTGACTCTGAGACATGTCAGGAAAAAGTATTGGCAGATTTAAAAATCATATGTTGTATATGTGAATGTGGCCTACTCATTTATCAGACCAAATATTGACTTATTCAATATAGAAGTATTGAAAATTGACAATGTATACATACATAAGATGAAGAATGACATAAAATATAAATTAAGCAATGATGGTCTTATGTTTTCTGGATAACAGTTCTCATCTCTTTCTGCGACATCAGAGGCCTTACTGTCTTGTATGCAGTGGTCTTACCTTTGTTAGGTAAGTATGAGGCTGTTTCGGTTCAATGTTAAAAATATTTCCAATCAGGGGAAGAGGCCGAGGTCCTGGAGGAAAATTTGGTGGATCCTTATTTCTTAAAAAATACACAACCAGCAGCACAGAGAAAAGCAAAAACAGGATTCCTCTCACTTCGAACCATGAAAAACAGTCAGATATCTGCATGTTGGAAACCACTGCATCAGTCACGCAGGACTGGGAAGACTGGCTCATGGTATGTAAATGTAATAATGCTGGTCAGAGGGGCTTGCCCATGTCTCAGGATAGACAATCAAGACCAGCTCAGCACCAGAAACAATTGGGAGCGTCTTGGTCCAATTGTTCAAACCAGGCTGTTTGGTTCTAACTTCACTAACATTCAATTTGTTGGCCTGTTTCAGCCTTTTCAAACTGAAACATTAATAAGAGAGGAACACCCTCACTCAACAAATCAGCCCAAAACAGGTTAAGGGCTTATAATAAGATAAAATCTGCATGTTGCGGTCTGATTTGTTTTTATCTTTCTTTTGGGATAAACAACATTTATAAAACTAAAAAGTTGGGTACCTCAGTTCATGTTTAAAAAAAAAAACTAAGATAAGCCACAAGATGGCGACAATTCTTTCTGACAAGATGGGAGCCACATGACACCATTCTTTTAGAAAAGAAAACATTACGAGTTGAAAGCACAGATGAAACCATAGAAGAACCCAGCTCTCCTCCAGAAGTCTGGAAGGTCATGGGGAGATGGAAGGCTGCATGCTCTGCTCACAGTTAATATATACAGTCTATGACAGTAACACGGGTGTAACTTTACAGTAAATCCTGACGGAGCTATTTGGTGTATTTACAGCTCCTGCTGTGCATGAATACGCATTGCAACACAAATAAACAAAGAAATACAAATACAATACAATACAAATAAAAACCCAAACGGTGAAAGATGTATGATATAAGTTTACATTTAATGGATTGAGGGGATATCGAAGTACCCACCACTTCCGCCCTGCGTTTTCCCCATACCCCAGCTTGACTAAAGTCACGCAGCTGATATTTAGTGGACGTGCGTCCATCATAGAGTGTAAATAATAATATTTACAGCATAGATAGACTGTAAATGCGTCCATGCATCAGCAGTGGGAACACTTACATTGACCAACTCCATGCAGCATTAACGTTCTGTGAATGCAAACACACTGATGTTTAAATTATAATCCAGAGTGAAAGGGTTTACTCTGGATTATAACTTGATCCAGAGTAAACCCTCTTTCTCTTGGGAGTGTTTACATAATATGGTTGTATGGATCTATTATATTAACTGGATAGGGTATTACTAGCTTGTAGCTGAATAACCCACGTGCTCAGGGGATTCTCGCGGTACTGCAGACTGAACCAGACTAAATTCACGCGGGCTACCCAGAAATTTACCCCATAGGACTCAATGCATATTAAAACAGCGCGACCTCAGTTGACACTGACAAAGAACCTACAGCTTTAATAAAGATCGGATTTTGTGGGGATTTTTGTGTCCCTTGTCATCCTGAACTTTTTTTCTTCTTAAATCCTTCGGTTTTGTTTAAATCCACACTTTAGTGCCACAAACTCTGCTCGTCTGGCTCTGGCTCTAACTCCCGTTCTGATGAACTGCTCTGATTGGTCAGAGCGCAGCCGAGCCCCTCTGTGCACGTGCGTGAGACCCGGTGTGACCAGTGGGGGAGGGTCCCAGCTCAAAAGTGGCCAAAATGACGTGCGCTGACATGCTTGCAGTACCACCCCGGGCCGATGGGGGTGGACCCAGAAGTAGAATTAGCCTATGCTAACATATAGCATTGGTAGACCTCTCAAAAACGTATTTACAGGATGGACCAAAAGTTGGCTCTTGGCCCAAAGCTCCATTCCACATGTGTGTCAATGCTGAGGGGGGTGGATTTTTGTGCCGGCTGACGCATGCGCAGATGCGTTTTTTCACAATTTTCATGTGGTTGGGACCACTCGCGGCCATTTTGGATTGCTCCAGTAGAGCACATTTTTTGGCCCATTAGTTAGAACGGAGGAGATAGGCGTGACTCTGTCCATTAATATATACAGTCTATGGGTGTGAGACCCACATGTCACTCCTGTATTCGTCCCGCAAGTTGAGTTTGCGCATGTCAAAAAGTTTAATATGTCCTTAAGTGGTGACTGGTTAAGTTTAGGCGTCTGATTAAGATGGTTGAGTTTAGGGTTAAAGCTGGGTTGGGGTTATTTTATGGGAATGGCTGGTTAAGTTTAGGCATGAATAGGTAGTTTTTTATATTTACTTCCGCTTCCGTCCAGATTCCGTGACGTAATCTACTGCTGTGTATGCTCATTGGATCAAACTGAACTTCCGGACGAATCCGGTTTCCGGGACGAATAAGGGAGTGACACCACCAGTGGCGGCTTGTCAATAGGGGGCGCTCGGGCGCCGCCCTCATCAAAATTTCATAAAGAATTAATACACACAGTAAACATAAATTGTGTAATAAAAAGTCATTACCACATCTGTTCAGTGTTCACTCATACAATGGGTCTTACTTTTATTTTTGTAAGCCTTTCCATTCCATATCGGATTTATTTTGGGTTGTTTTATTAGTTTTTAATATCAAGGGGCGCCGGCCAAATGAGTGTGTATGTATCTACAGTTTTTTGGCCGCGTTAACATTGCTGAACAATTAGACGAGGGCTACAGAGTTGGCATTAGAAGGCACAACGAAGAGGTGACAAAAAATTGTCATGTTCTGTCCAGGTTAATCGACTGTGTGAAATTCTGTGGGGCCTTTGAGTTGGCTTTACGTGGCCACGATGAGAGTGAGAGCTCTGTGAACCCTGGGATATTTTGTGGATTGGTCGATTTTGTTGCCTCTCTGGATGGAGCTTTGAAAGAGCACCTTGAGACTGCCACTGTTTTCAAGGGTACTTCCAAAACTGTCCAAAATGAACTCTTGGACTGTATGTTGTCTGTTGCAAGAGAGCAAATCATTGAAGAAGCTCAAAAGAGTGTTTTTGTATCAATCCAGGCAGATGAGACAACAGATATTTCAACACAGTCCCAACTTGTGCTTGTACTACGCTACATTGATGACAAGCACAGTGTGCAGGAAAGATTTTTTGAGTTCATTCCTCTGCAGTCAGCTACATCTGAGTCCATTGCTGCTGCATTATCAGAGCGTCTTGCTGCCATCATTCCTGAGGATCAGAAAAGCAAGCTAATCTGCCAGGCGTATGATGGAGCCAGTGTGATGAGGGGTGCCAATGCAGGTGTTCAGAGGAAGATCAAAGATGTGTACCCAAATGCCCATTATATCCACTGCTATGCACACCAACTCAACCTGATCATGCAACAGGCCACCTCTCACATTTCCAAGGTGAGAATTTTTTTTTCTGACCTGGGTGGATTTGCGAGCTTTTTTTCCTGGTCACCCAAGCGTACGGCTGTCCTTGATAAAACGGTGGCCCGTAGACTGCCAACATCCAGAAACGTCCGATGGAACTTTCACAGCCGAGCAATCAACACTGTGTTTGAGCAGAGAGATGATCTCATTCAATGTTTTGAGAACATACGAGATTCGGGTGACTTTGACTCCAACACCATCAGAGAGGCAGGAGCCATGGCCATGCTGCTGGAACATCAGGACTTTAAGTTCTTCCTGGAACTTTTTCACCACATCATGCCACTTGTGGACCTCCTCTATGCCAAGCTCCAGAAGAAGAACATAGATGCAGTCCACATCAAAAGGAGAATCCAGCAGTTCGAACAGGACATACAAAACATCAGGTAATATGTCAATAATATAATCATCACATTTTTAATTGTTATCTCTTTTCAACTTTTTGATCATTATTATGACTTCTTCACAGAAATTCTCTCCATTCCATGAGTGAGCAAAGCAGTGGCTCTCTGACAGCAAAACGGCGTCGGGTACTCAGTTCCGAGGATCGTCAGAGTGCTGCAGAAGAGGTGAGTTTATGTTGTAGAAATCTGTCATAGTTTATGAAATAGCTATTTAAATACCATTTTAAATATGTCATGTTACAGAGATGATTTAGCTCATCTCCTAATCACAATTAACCTAAATGTTTAATGAAAATATTAAAAATCATATCACAATTGCAGTTGTCAATAATAGCAAGATGTTTTTTCAAAACCATGCAGCAACAGAGGGTAACAACTACTACTTTTTCTCTCTGTTTTTGTATTCTCTCTGTAGATCTGCAACACCATTCTGAGACACACCAGGGAGCGCTTCAACTTCACCGACCATCTTGTCTGTGCCACCTTGTTGCAGGGGGACAGGTTTGAGGAACATCACGGGTTGTTGCGGCTATCCAAACGCGCTGCACGCTACCTTCTAGGCGCTCATAACGAGCGCACCTCACAGCAGGAGACGCGCTCCTCCCAGTCGGCCCCTTCCAATGGCCGTTGTGGGTGGTGCCCTTTTTCCTTTTTATCAGTGATTGTTTGAACGTGTGTGAAAAAAATGAACAATGACTTGTGCTCACGGAGAGAAGTCAAATTTATAATAAAATAAGAAAAGACACTCCTGCCTTGTGTTCGTTCGTAATTTGGGTCATTACTGCAACATTTTGGTGCCGAAACCCGTGTTAGTATTAGTAAAAATAATCATTTAAGACCACATGTACCCCAATTAATAATAAGTTAGTCTCTTTTTGATGTGGCACCACTTTTACATGTTTGTCTAAAAAATAGGGAATAAATAAAATTGATTAAGGATGATATCCTCTTGTGCAACACCATGTGTTATTACGCTGCAGAAATACGTTCCATCAGTTCCATTTTCCCATCTATTTTGGGGACACTCAATTGCTATATTTATTTTGCATTAAACTATGTATATTACATTGGCTTTTATTTTGTTTTTGTTTTTTTTCTCCAAATGTCCAATTAATAATAATAAAAAACCAATAATCAAAAACATTTCATTCAGGCATTAGCACAGCTGTCATGGCAGTGATGGAGCCAGGCAACAACTGATACAATAATTTGCCTGTGTTTGCTGCTGGATTTGTGTGAATCTGGCAACTGAGTAGGCGAGAGTGGGAGGAGGCACTACAAAATATTGACTGTGGACTGCAGTACCACTTTTGGCATATTTTTAAATATTGCTCCTTTAACTTTCAGTA